CCAAACTCGATTCGGTTGCTTTGTCTAAGCGGCTAATTAACTCGAAGTTTGATTGAATTAGGGCGTTGGCGGAGCAACTGCAGAATACCCGGCCACTCATTTACATGTCATTGAATAAGAATAGCGTCTACTGTGTTATGCCTCGATCTTCAAAGCCTTCCGACACATGTAAGTGAGACGGACCAAAGTGGCCGGGTATTCTGCAATTTAGCCGTATTGGCTTCGAGGAAACCAGAACCCATGATTGTAATGTATTTGAAGAGAAATACATAGCTATCTTTCGGTGAATCAATAAAATGAAACTTTCAAAGATTTTTGTTGTTGAATATAGCCACGGGATATGCGACGATTCTTCTACAAATAACTTAATGGCGTTTTCCCTTTCTTCTTTAATTGCGCTTTTCTGGTCCCTAATCAAGTTCTTAATTTCTATTTTCAGGAGAAGCAAAGTTCTCAGACGGATTGAAAGACAGAGATTCTGGTAAAGAGGATTCACTGGAATGACTGAATAGTTGGTGGATATTACAAAGAGAAGAGTTTTGAAATTATTGAGTAACAGTAGCAAAAATGGTGGCTCATTATATGTAGAATCTTTTTACGAAGTCCTCTTCCTTGCCAAGTGTATTTAAATGGATAAAACTTGTTACCTGGTGAGTGAAAACTTTTCAATTCGCCATCATTTTTGGAATAGTTCGTTATGATGGGAATTGTTATCCAAGCCTTGAGCGATCGGAAGATTTATTTGAACTACAAGCTATAATTTGGTACAATTTACCTCAGATGATCTCATTCCATCGAATTAACCAAAGTAATAGCTGGAAATTGATTTAAACCTGGCTACAGAAAGCTGAAACTAGAAATCTTTGATTCCGAAGCACTACTCACCCTTTTGGTTTGGAGAACAGTTTGTTTCATAATTATACCCCTAGTTAATTTAGCACAAAGTTTATGTTTGTTAAGGTGGCACTCGAACAAAAAATCTTGGACAAAGACAAAACAAAATCTAAGATTCAAATTTTGCCAGGTTTATTTATTTAAAGAAGCGCACTTCTGAACAACGCCGACATTTAAACCACACTAATGACTAGTACGTTACTCGATGTATAATAAACTACCTTGTGATTATAGAGCATTTAAGACAAATAAAATACTTCGTTGAATATGAAACTTTTCTGCTTTATTGAGTGAACACTAAAAGACGATAAAACTGATCGGCTCTTTACTTGTTACCAATAACAATACAAGAAGACAACAAGGAAATAAAGATGAAGTTTATTAGCAGTGGGTAGTATATCTAATAACAAAAAAAAAAAATTGGCGCATGTGTATTTTGGGCGCTGTATTTTTTCTAATTTTTTTGGCGGGAAAATGGAGCACATTTGAACAGATGTGACCAACAGAATAACTAACAAAAAAAAACAAAAAAAAAAACAAAAATTGGAGCATGCACAGTATAAGCGCCCGTATTTTTTTTTTGGCGGGAAAATTTTTAACTTGTGAAAAGCCCATGTCATGAATAATTAGCCAACAAAAAAAAATTAAGTCCAACTAAACCGCGAAATTACAGTTGCTTACTTTTGGTTCAAGTCGTCAGTTTTTTGTGAATGATTCTTGGCTCTAAATCGCCGTATTCTTGAAAGAAAGGTGCTACACCTATTTTATACCCCTGAAGACATCTTGTCTTTCACTTGGATTACAACCATTTTTGTTTGATTCGTGCATCAATCAATCTGCTAGAAAATAAAAGAAACAATAAATTAACAACTGCAACAGATCTCAAACCTTTTGTCTTGGTCACTCACAGGAGTTAAAGGGTTAAACATTTCTTATCTTTGACTCTATCTTCTTATCTAAGCCCTAACCCTAACCCTAACCCTAACCCAAACCCTAGCCCTAAACCCTAACCCTAAGCAATTACTGGTGCTAGTGTGTGTAGGCACAAGTGATTTTTATCATTCATGTCACATTTGAAAATATGAGTATAGATAGAAACCTCCTTTGTAGTGTCATTATTCTTCTGCAAACATGGAAGAAAGGGAGGGGAGAGCCTATTGAAGGTGGGATGCCGCCTGTAAATTTGGGCTGATAGTAGGGATGCTTATCAGATCATAGAGCTTATTTGAGAGGAGGTGATAATTCTAAGATTAATGGTTTGCATGTTATGCCCCTGTCTTACACTGTACAACAGGGAGAAATACTTATGGAAAGCAGAACAACAGGATGGCCTAAAGGAGCTTGGTAATTATCTAAGCCTATTGAACATTTAACCATTGAATACATGTAAGGTGTATTTATCATAACACTATTCCCATATCTTCAGCCTCTCAACAAAGATACATTTAACATTTTCAGTAACAGTTGCTAAACCAATCTAGTTAAAGGAGAAATGAGAAATCATTTCCCCAGTCGAATACAGGTCAACCCTGACTCACTGCTGGTTAGAAAGCCAAAAAGAAAAAAAAAAAGATATATAAAATTATTTAAATCATGTAACAAAAAACTAACTTAAAGAAATATTTTAAGTTCTTCTGCAAGTAATTACATTTATGCACCAATCAATTTTAAGCTTTAACATGCGTCCCCTAGGAAACCCATGTGCATTTGACTATCATCCATGCCCAAGGAGTAGGGAATTTGAATATAAAAATGCACATTTGAGTTATGTGATTTTCTTCTGCAAAGCTTGAATGATCATATAACTTGCTGGTAGATGAGAGGAAAGTCCAGTTTCTGATCTTGCCTTTTTCATAAAATAGTTGTTGTCTGCAGATAATGAACTGCTATTGAATAATGAATGAATAAATGCTGTAAAATGTACAACCTCTCAAACAACATTAAAGTAGTTCATCCAAAGGTATTGTATTCAGTGGCTATATGCATCTAAAAAAGTAATATGATAAATCAAGACCATAAAAGAAGGACAAGAAACATGTTGCTATGATCCTAATAGTTATTTCTGGTTTAACAGAAGTTTGAAATCTGCATTTTATAGAGGAGATAAAAAAAATCAATTTGCTCTCACACTTCCAAAAACCCATCAGTATGGGAGGCAACTGCAGTGTCATGGAACGTGACAGTTTTGATGAAAAGCCATACACCATGCCTTTTTTCCTCCCTATTCAAACATTTTTTTTCAGAATAGGGTTTTTGACTGGCAACTCCAGCACTTGGGAAGAGAATTTGAACTCACTTTTGTTCCAGGGAGAGGTGGAAATTTGAAGTAACTAATCCTCAAAAGCTCAAATGCTAGAGAGGGGGGGGGGGGGAATCGCAGTGTGGGGGATGTTGAAGTTTACAATTGATCAATGCATTACCAATTAATTTAAGGTAGTACATTCACATTAAAGTAAGGAGAAAAAATGATAGCTTTTTATAATTTGCGGGAGGGTTATAAAATAAATAAATCCCCTTATGACTTGCCAGTATGTTGGGTGATGATTTCCATGGCTGAGAGATAATGTCCTCAAAATTTCATATTAGTCCTCTAAGCTTTGCTTTCTTGGCTGAATATTCGTTTTTCAGACAATGTCTCAGCTGAGCACATTATCAGCCCAGGATACTATAAGCTGACATTCTACCCGCCCCTAAGGGGTTTATGTACTTAATATTGCAATTTATTCTTCAAGATAAATATTTTAGCATAATTAAAAGTACACTGTTCAGATAGATTCCTTGTGTAATACAAAATGCCATCAGACAATAAGTGTCCTTGTCTGGTTCAATAAAAAAATAATATATTATCTCTCTAACAAGCACTTTTTGAGGCTTACCTTACGTCAGAAGAACTGTTTGTGTCATAAGAATTACAATGTTGTTGATGTTGCTGAAAACGCTCCCCACCTTTAAAATTAAAATTTTTGTGTCAAACAGTCGCTGTTTTCCATTTTCCTCGCAAAATATGTTACCAAACAATGGGTAACATATCATACAGGTTTAAAGATACCAATGGTGCCATTTTTGTGCGAGGCGTCAAAGCATTAAAGTAACAGCTCCGCCGCCATTTTCTCTTAATTTTTTTCGTTTCCAGTTCTTCCGCGCGAGCGTGAGGAACGTGACATCTTTTGCGTGAACAATATTTCTGCGCGAAAACACAAAAAACGTAAGGAAATAAAACGTTGGGACTGAAACATCACGAGAAGGGCATTTATTTTGGGCAGAAAATGACCAATAAAAACGTCAATCAATAGAGGGTATTTCTTCATACTGTAATCATGTTTATTTTTCCACGTTCTACATGTGAGTAATGCGGTTTTTATAGCGCTAATTCGGGGTGTCTCTAATTCGACAAAAAGTTGCGTCGCCCCTAAATAATAAACTACTTTTCATTAACAATGGTCTAAGGCATAAGTGAAAGTAAACTTCAAATATTGAAAAAAAATCAGGTAAGGTTTCATGATTCGTACATCTAAAGAAAAACATTTTCCGTTGCTCAGTTGTGTCGTCAAAGACGAGTATGAGCACACTAGTGGCTTTTTATAGTAAGTGTTCATCTTTTCTGTTGTAACTCAACGGATTCTCCATGAAGGGACAAGTACAGTAAAGCGTTTTTCGTTTATCAGTGGTCAGAATCATATGACAGCGGTGAAAATTTTCCAATGGTCCAACAGGGTCTATTTTCAACAGGTTTAGAACTACCTCGTAAAATTCACTTCTCTCAGATCTCCTTTTTTCCTACTCTACAAAAAATTATTCTTACTTCCAAACTCTTCTCAGAAGAGAAGTCGGACTATTTGTTTAAGGAATCTCTGCCAACCACGCCCCTGGTTTTGCTATACAGACGGGAGACAGTGATTATGTGAAACTATCGAATCAAATAAAACACTGATAAAGTAAAAAGGAACGACGACAATTTGAAACGCAGATAGAATAGCCTAAGGTTGAAAACTGAATTGAAAACAAAAAGAACCAAAGCAAAATACAAATATGATATCAATAAATATGGCGGATCAGTCGCATATGGTTTATTAGGATCATTTTAATGAAGAAAGAAGCTGACTTGATTGAATAAGAAGAAAAAAATGTGAAATCCAAGCTTTAATGGTCAGCTCCTCAAAAAGGCTACCAATGTAATTTTAGTTTCAAATGCATGTGATCATGTACAGATAAGGTGCATGATCCACCTGAGTTTCGAGGCTGCTCGAAAGCAAAATAAAGTCCTTACATAGCAAAACTTTCTCCGTCATTCTCCTTCGTATTATTTTTGTCCGTGCTTTTTTCTTGTCGACAAAAGAACCAACACAGAAAAAAGCTTGTGGTGGCGATAAATTTGCAGACAGTCATTACTGCGACCAGAACTCGTGCCAGCCCATCATGGTCGTACTCTTGGCAAAACCCCTGGTCACCGCACCTTTAGAAATAACAGAAAAAATAATGATACATGCAATTTTTAAACCACATCTAGGTAATCGACGACCACAAATCGTCGGAGTTGGTGTCACGTTTACAGGAGTTACCGAGAAGTATCCGTTACCTCCCATTACTTCTTGATCGTTTTCTGAAAGTGGCTGGACCCTTAAGCTAAAACTAGAAAAGAAATTTTCCATACAGAAAAATGTAAAGGAATTTTTGGGTTCAAGAACAACAGCGTAACACTTTTAGAGAATAGGTTGAGGAACGGCGAAGATGCTATACCAGTTCGCCAACGCCGGACGTCGTTTCGCTGACGTCTCAGGTCAGTGCGCTAAAGTCTCATTGATCATATATTTCGCTAACGTTTTAACCTTCTAAGTTATTTCATTGACGTCTCTTCTGCATTCGCATTTGCATAATTTGCGTAAGATTCACTTAGTTCCGGCACTTTTTAGGCGCACTTTGGTTTATTGCTTTAGCGAAACGACTCGCAGGCGAAACGACCGGTTACCACTGCATAGTATCAGACGAGTACGAGTTAACACTAGTCACCCCTAAACAATGGCCGTGATAACTAGTGCTAAACATCAAAATAAATATTTGCCCCGCGATCGATTATATACAATGAGACATAACATTAGAGTACCTGGAGCTCCAGAGTATGCATGTCTTGTCCAAGAGGGCCCCAAATATTATTGGCCCCGGTATGGCCCCAAGGATCCTCACAAGGTCCATCTGGAGTCCTAACGCGTATGACTGCTGACCAGGTGGTACACTCCTGAAATGAAAATGATTTTCTTCGTTGGACCAAAGGAATCAGAATTTAACAGCTTCCTTTTCTTTCTACTGCACTGGACACCCACTGTGGGCTTAACGAACCATCAGATAGCGGTATACACTGAGCATTTTAGATACGAGTACACAGTACACAGATGACCCAACTTGCATGAACAGTTTTTTTTGTTTTGTTTTTGTTTTTGTTTTGTTTTTTGTTTTTTTGCATGAACAGTTCCCTGATGCGCCTTGATTAGAAAATCTGACCCTCGAGCGAAAGCTCTCGGGGTTGACTACTCATTACAAACTCAAATACATATGTTACGCTCTCGTCACAAATGAATCTAACATCTTTTCTTCGACATGTGTTGCCTGTGGTAATTGAATTCTAACTCCATAGGCGGTAAGATCTACCAAGGACGCCTTATGCTAACTCTTTGTCAATGTTCCCCTATAACATACAATCAGTATCGTCCTTTGAAATCGCATGCAAATCCAAGTGGTACTTCAGAAGGTTTCTTGCGTACCTCAAGGTGACTACCAACGCTGGAGCATTGCTCATAAACGTAAATAAAGGGGTTAAAACTACGGCAGCCATAAACAGTAGAAACTTGAGCCCGCAATCGATATAGCAGTTGCCTTTCTTCATTTGTCCAGCACTTTCGCCAGATTTTGCAGCGCAAGCGCAGTTGGAGTAAGAAGTAGAACCCTTTAACAAGAACAAACAGCAAAATTACTCTATTAAGGGAATTGATCGTAAATCAAAATTACTTAGTCAGAGCATGCATTTCACAAAAAGTAGGCCATTTCTCATTGAGAGTTTCGCTTTAATTTTTATTGAAACAATATCAAAATGAACAAAACCACATGGGAATAAACTGATTTGCCCAGACAGTTTTGATCAACAACGAAATTCTCCTCATAAAAGGATTGATCTAGCCGGCAAGCTTATTCTAACTGTTTAATAATCCCCTAAGACATTTTTCAAAGCGCTGCCAAGAGTTTTTTTTTTAACAACTTCACGACGAGGCTCGCATTCAGCCGTTTCTCGGTACCGGTCTTCAATGCTCACAGGAAGGAAAGAACGCGGCAGTCAGTAATGAAGATTACTGCACGACATAAGAAACAGACCTCTTCCTCTAAATCTGCATTCAGTGGTGCCTCTTTCATGTGATGAAAAGCGTTCTTCTATACGTAATGTAAGCAAAATGTTTGTAAAAACTTGTCTTAGACTGCATGGTACATTGTATATCGTACCTTTTCTGTTGTATTCATTCTATGGCAGCCCGCGTGACACGGTGAAAAATAGTTCAGCAGTCCATCGCAAACTGGAGTATAACCCACTTGACTGCAGTTACAGGCTTGGTTACATGGCGCTGAGAGCTGATGAGGATCGGAACTATTTAGGATCAAGAGTATGATCAAAAAAATATATTTGCCGCCCATTATGAACATTCATTTCTTCCAAGAAGTAACCGATATGATGCGACTTGGTGTGCGTATGAAATGTGATGTTTTATGGTATTAAGAAGCACGGTTTTTGAGAGGAATATAACCAAAAAAAGAATTTTTCTATATGGCGACAACATAAGTTGACACAGAACACCCATGTGATTCGCGCATCATGATCGGATGAAGCATGCCCGCAGTTAAGACATGCGGAAACTCATAGAAAGGATACAGGAGCCCTGTGTTATTTTTGTTGTTGTTGTTTTCACCTGTTGGGATATGGGGCATTAACACCCGCTATACTTGGTGTGTCACATTTGAGGACGTGCGCACTGGAACTAACGAGTCCCAACAAAGCGACAATAAAACACATTCTGGCGGAATCAGTCAGGTTAAGTTTCAGACGTTTGTTGATGTAAGCTCCTGCAACAAGAGGAAAGTTGGTTGTAAGCTTTCTGAATCTTAATTCAAAACTACCAAACCTAAAAATGCAGTAAATTTATCCTGTAAAAGTTTAAAAAAAGTAAGGAGATTGCATATTAAATAGTTAGGGGCGCATGTCAAAGCACGATAGTGTAGACCGTCATCTAGACACCTTGCAGGATTTGCAAAGAGGTGCGGAGCATCAGGGACTCGATTTACAGCATCTGATCCCCTCCCCCCCTTTCCATATCAGTAACATGTGATAGAATCAACTGTTGACTTACCCAACATGTTTCCACAAAATGCAGATGGTACTACTACCAAGCCATAGAGCAGAGCTGCTCTCGCTGGGGGTTGATAAAACTGTGTTTGAATCACTTTTGGTAGAAACGCTCCTGTAACTGCAACAAGGAAACTTTCCAGGCATGCCCCCACAGTTACGAAAAGGAACGGGAGACTAGAAAATACCAGTTTTGTAGCTTTAGGAAGATCTTTCAGTCTGGAGAATCCAATATCATCTTTTGGAATAGATTCATGATTACTGTCTCTATCTTCTTTGCTGGTCTGAGAGGAAACAAAAAATATCAGATTCTCAACCGAAGGAAAATTGATGAATTGGGTTGTAGAAAATATTGGCGCGAGTATAGATAATCAAGGGAAAAAAAAATTTATCGGGGGCTATGACTGATGCTTCGATAACCAGCTGTAAAAAGGGGTGCAATTCCCTACAAGTGCGTTTTCCCTTTGCGCTGGAATTGCATCAAGTTTTCGTGCATTTATTTTGCGCGTTAAACAATCATAAATATCAATATCATCTATGCAAAGCAGCCTCCACATACGGAGACCGTTAGGCGGACGGGGGGGGGGGAGGGTGAGGGGGAGAGGGGTATCAGAATTCTCCACAACGCAGAGAACGGGTGGAGTGCGTTAATGTTCGAGCGTGACTTCTCACTTCAGCATCACCACCAGTGGAAAGATCTTTAAAATGCACCTACCGTGCTGATCACAGTGTTTGTGGCAGATACTTCTAATTCTCGTCGTTTCTTTGTCAGAGGAAACTCCTTTGGGAATCCTAATAACCAAATGCTCCAGAACACGCAGATCGCACCAAATATGGCAAAGCCTATCCACCAGTTCCCCACCCAACGTTTATCCTGTATGGTCAGCGAGGTCTGAACACCAGGTTCAACGAACATCACAAGAAACCTGGAGATCAACACAAATCCGACAGCAGCGCCTGAGAAAAAAAAAGAATAACCAATTATGCTAAAATGATTTATTTCAGTTCCGCCTTTGTAAGAATGATGTATATCATCAGTTACCAGTATGATGGTAACTTACCAAGAATCCCACTTGCCACAAATATGCCAACGTACATTGACGTCACCTTATCGTTGACATTTTCATCCATGTATGGGATTCCCAACGCATACATTGGAGTACAACCTGCTCCAGCAACAACCATTCCCAGCACGAACAACGCATAGTAGAGAGTGTTTCCGCCTTTGGTTTCTTCTTTACATTGGTTTTTTCCAAGTTGATCGGTGCGATTTGCCCAGCAAAGTCCGGTGTCAGTGACGCTTAAGTCAGTAATACTCGTGTTAGAATTTGTAATAATGGCTGATACAGAAAAAGAAGAAAAATCCAAGTCAAATTAAGGAGAAAGATACAATCTGGCCGAGTTTTGTCCGAAGTCGTGGAGACAAATGGGTCTCATAATTGTGTAATCGTTTGTCGGCAGGGATGGGGTGCACAGGTTCTGCACAGCGCCTCAGATAAAAAAGGAGAAGAGGAGGCCGCAAAAAAGGCGGGTAACATATCAAGAGACGTCTTGTACAATAAGAAAAGCGCAAAGAAGCAACAAGGTATTGAAAAAGAAGGGAGGCAACTACGGAGTAAAGTTCAATTCTTGGTTGTAAACTGCGTGAATGTCAGTCTTATTCACCTACCTGTGGCTTGGTATGGAGGTGAAACAAAATGAGGCAACATGAAGATAAAGAATCCAACCCCCATAGTAAACAAACCCCAGGCACAGAACAGCGGCTTCTTCCTTGAGCCCCCGATGTAGCTGATCAGAGGGGTTATGATCATGGCTGCTATGTCGTAACTGCTAGTCATCATACCAATCATATAACTGGGATAGTCAAGGCAGATATTTCAGCGTTAAAGAGACAATGACAATTAATGGCAGATATACCATCTTCTTGTTAGTTATTTAAGGTCGTTTTATCCATCTTTAACTGTACTTTAAGACGACTGCAAATTGCAATAGAGTGTCTCAGGACCAAAAGCTATGGAATCACAACTACCAGTCAGGACGAAAGAAAACCTTCGCGATGAGAACTCAAGAACCCAGTCGTGGCTTCTTTTTGTTTGTCTTTGTTTTTAAAAAGGTTAATAGGGTTGCGCAAAATTTTTCAGACTAATCACAGAGAGAGGTAAAGCAAAACCAAAGTCATTCCGAGTTAGAAAAATGTTTTGTAAAGCTCGCTATTTCGCACCTCCGGCTGGTGGACAATTTTGTAAACCCGCTTATGCTGTCTGTTATCCCAAGACAGGTATATCACATCCTCTCTACCAATTTTGGCCAAATCTCTCTTGTTTCAAAACAAACGATCACGAAAAGATGACGAACCTGTCCCATCATATGTCATTTTGTGACAGCACAGGCAGAAAACGAAAGGTTAGTGAATTTTATCCATTTGACTATTGTTGAAACGGACGTCAGAGATCATAAGTGACGAATGCTTGAATCAAGTCAAGATCGGGCGTCACAAATTACAGAAAGTTAGTAATACTTTAATCGTGTGTCTACGTATTCGTCGAAAGCAGTGGAGTCGCCTTTTCGAAATTTGGATCCACTGGCAGAACCATTTTTTCGACTGCAGAAGTGATTTCCACTAACGAGGTTTTCAAGTTTCCGCTCGCTGAAATCCCCCGTTCTTGTAGATATTTTTTAAGGTCACACTCATTGCGTTGAAATCAGCTTTATTTTTGTGATCTGCCATTCTTAAATTGAACTCTTTTTGAGGTTGTTATGAGTCTCGCAGAATTTCCCACCTGCGTTACTTAACGTTAAATACGTAATTGCGTGTGGGAATTCAGGCTTCCTTTCGTCCTACAGCGATTCGTGGGCACTAATTTCCTAACAGAAGTGATTTTATTTAACAATCTACGCACTCAACACCCCGAAAATATCTGATCAGGTACATCACTGTACGCAGAACTAGTTCGATTTTTCCATGCCGCAACGCTTCCTGTAACATTCTTCGCATCTGCTTCAACGGCAGCCGAATGACAACTTGCTTGACTCATGATCAAATAAATAACAAAAGAAAGATGCCAATTTTGAGCGAAGAAACGTTTCTTGAAAGTGGGCAGTTATTTAAGAAAAATTTCCAAAGCCGAAATTTGGACACATGTGCTGCGAGCTCGACTCAGTGTCCGAACTTTCGAAGTTTTGTTTACATTAAAAGTCACGTGACACTACACGTGACATCTAAAGCCCAAAAGGTGAATTGATGTCACTAATGATCTGCAGAATCTGCGTGGCGAACTTTGCAAAATCTCCACTACATTCGTGAATAACTCAATGCTTCGTTTAGGCCATAGAGCGCAAAAGTAATTAGAAATGTTAGTTGACGCTGTAACTGTACTGAGGTGTAATCTATGTACGTTGTCGATGAATAATTCGAATGCGTGACAAGACACTTACCAGACCAGAAATGCACATGAAAAGTGTTATTAGAAAATAATAATTTGTCCGTAATTTTTTCTGTAATTTCTAGAAATTTCTATTTTGCAAACCATTAGCATATTTCTATTTCGCAAATTAGCGATTTTCATTTCGTATCGTTTCTTTTCGCTAGTTACAGTAAGCCTTTCTAAGATACAATTAATCGAACTGACCTGGAGTAGCCAAACCGCCTCTCAATTGTGCTGATCGAGCCCGGGTAGACGCCATTAACGATGATACTCTGGGTAAAAAAATACTGACTCAAGAAAAACAGAAACCATTTTGGAGTGTTGAGAAACTGAAGCCATGACGGACGAAATCTAAGCCAGCCATACGATAACTGTTTATTATCAGTTGTTGCCATCTTGAGAGTGCAATGGTGGAGAACGATCTTCCAGGATCCCTCAAAGCTCCGAAGATGTAGTTTAAAGTGAGACGTTCTTTTCAGGATTTTGGTGAGAGTTACATCGGTCACCTCATAGTAAAAAAAACATCAGCTTTACAACTGTGTGAACACTTGAATTTACGCCCAGCACATGCCCAGTAAGAAAGCAAGTTGACCTTGGAGAGCCAAGTCCGCCTAATCCTGAGTACAATGGAAATCGGAGATCGCCATGGCTTTATTTGCATTTATCAATAAAGGGCAAAATTACTGAGCGCTGATTGGTTGAGAGAGAGGGCATTTTTTTCTTAATCGAGGGCATTTTTAGTAATCAAGAGAGGGCATGATTACCTGTTAATGATTGGCTAATCCGTTGCATTGCTAATCCGTTGCTTCCCAGATAAAAATAGACTGCGCGCGTGATTTTCCTTCGTATAAATTTTGCCCTTTCTTGATAAACAAGTAATCCCATGAGACCTCGTACTATTACGGATTAATTGCACTTGAGTTTTCAAAATTTTGACTCGGGCAATTTTGGAAAATTTTGAAAACTCTCGTGCAATTAATCCTTAATAGTACTTGGCCTCATGTGATTACCTATACTAATGAAATACGTATAGTCACGGAATGCTGCATCCATGGTAAGCCAAACATAACAAAAGTATGCTGAATTTAAATCACCTATTTAACGCTAGCCAAATGTGATAAAATTGGATTGAATTTAAATTACCTATAGAGTTTTATTGATCGATATGTGATACTGGAAAATCTATACGTGAGAAATCGAATCACTGCACAAGAATTAAAAACTGTCACGCGAGATTTTATTGCCCTTCGAGAATGAAAAAACATTGATCGAGAAAAAGACTGATGAAGCAAAACGTCGAGAAATGAATATTTACTGTTGAGGAGGAGAAATTGTTGCGTGGGAAAAAAATCGCTAGGGAGATTAGTTTTCGGATTAGTTTAGGGATTTTAGTTTTCTGAGCGGAGTGTATTTTGGCAGGAATTCTCTCATCCTCGGGGTGTCTTCGTTCGCTGGAGTCGGGCAAAATGGCGCAGCAATGAGAACAGCAACTGCGTCAACTTCTTGAGGAAGTTCAAGTATTATCAGAACAAATGCCTCAGCCAACCCAGTCAAATAGTAGTGCCGAGTGTGGCATTGAATGAGCACGGCTATGTTTTCAATGCATGTCAGCTTTTTAAAGCCATGAACCAATTTGGGCAAAATGGATGTAATGAAGTGGTAATTGAACCTCGTGTCGTGCAATTTTGGTCTGAAATCATACTCGTGATTTCAAATCGAACTTGCGCTGCGTGCTCGTTCGATTTTGAAATCACGCGTATAATTTCAGCCCAAATTGCACTCCACTCAGTTCAATCACCATTATTTATTTATTTATTTAATTTATTCGCCACGGTTCAACAAATACAAACCACTAATCTACATTACACAGTTACAAGAAAAGAAAAAATAAAGTGGAGTGGCAGGAGAGAGGAACAGAACTTTTGTCCCAATTGAGAACTAACCCCTATAATACGATAAAAAAGACATACTAAATAGACTAGAATATGTGTACAAAAAACCAAGTCAATTTAAGTTATAAAATACTAACTTGGAGGTCTGTATGAGACGAGTTTAGAAAAATATAGGTTATTTAATTTAGATTTAAATGTTGAGAGTGAGACTGTACAAAAAACGATTTTACATTATAGTTGTTCGGATATAGTTACGAATTTTATAACGAGGATCAGAGGTCATGAATATCGGTAATTATCAGACCATTTCTTGATTTGAAAAATAGTAACAAGTCTGAAATCTCTCTGCGGTGTTCCAAGGGTAGTAAGTTCAGTTTATTTAGTCTCTCAGTATAGGACATGTCTTGAGGATAGCTCAAAATGACCTTGGTTGCCCTACGCTGGACATCTTCTAACAGTTTTCGATGTTTGACTCTGTAAGGTGACCACAGGTTTATTCCAGTTTAGGTCTCACGAGGACACAGTGTAGAAGTTTTCTGATGGTGGGCTGAGAGAAGTTCCGGCATATTCTTTTGATAAGGCTGAGAGTTTTGTTAGCCTTCGCAGCGATGTCTTCAATATGCCTTGCCCATGAAAGGTCGCTGGACACAGTAATACCAAGGTCCTTAATGGAGGAAACCCACTCAAATTGTCGATTACCAATACTGTAGTTACTGTTGTCAGCTCCAGTGGGTGACTTTCTTAGTTGGGTTGAACTCCATAAACCAGTCCCGGCTCCAGTTGTTGAGGGAGTCTAGATCATTTTGGAGGAAGCTATGGGCATCTGGCATGTCCATGGTTCGATATAACTTGGAGTCGGCCAGGTATGCCATCTATTCCACACGCGTTTTTGGGGTCTAAGTTGCGTAACACATCCGCAACTTCAGCCACCGTCAACTGGACATTAGATAGGTGGCTGGGATTAGCTTGAGATAAGGTTGTAAGTTCAGTAGACGGATGTAAGTCAGGTGGACTGAATACAGCATGGAAGCAATGGTTGAGGAGGTTCGCCTCGTCAATCTGGTCGTCAACAGCGAAGATAAACAAGTCGCACCATTTGCAAAAAGACTCGTCGACATCGTTAGGAACAAATGCCATGTCCCAAGGCCTAGGGGTTTGCAAAAGCAATTCTTTTAGGCCCGACCAATTTGCATTCTTGCAATTGTAAACAGAACGCTTCACTCTTGTTTTATTCAATAGGTGATTCCGTGTGACTAGCCAGACCTGAGCTAGAGAGTTGCGCCTCAATCACCTGTAACACTCTTTGTGAGCAAATCTTGGCATAAATCACGCGTGATTTTGTTTCTAATTCAAGGTCAATCGGAAGCTATTGTGATCTCCGATTTCCTTTATTCTCAGGAATATGCGAGCTTCGATGATATGCATAATTCTCCATGGTCGAGTTACTTCTTCGGCTAGTGTATGTACTTCGATCATGCTCCAGCGCTTGCAAAGCCTCAAAACAGACTACCTTCGAACTCAGACTTTATTGACAGATACACAACTAGCACAATATCGGAGGATTATCAGAAACGCTTTCTAAAAAACTTGAAAAGGACGTTTTACTGATAGGGTATCTACAGGGCTTAAGATACTTCCTTAACAATACCCTGCGACACAACAATGTCGGTGGATGAAGACAAACAATTTATGTATCGGTATGGCTGGCTTAGATTTCGTCCGTCGTGGCTGCAGTTTCTCAACACTCCAAAATGGTTTCTTTTTTCCTTGAGTCAGTATTTTTTCACCCAAAGTATCATCGTTAATGGCGTCTACCCGGGCTCGATCAGCACGATTGAGAGGCGGTTTGGCTTCTCCAGGTCAGTGTGATTGTTTTTAAAATTCGGTGATTTGACTGTAAATTGTATGAAGTAAATTCCCTGCATACAACGTTCATTGGCCCATGTCCGAACCTTTACTAACGGACGCCTTCATTAAGCGAAGGGAACAGCAACAAAATCGATGGCTTATTCCTACACGAAATGTTTTCTACACGGAAGGTTTAATTAATGTTTTCATTGATCAAGTTTTCAGAACCTTAAAAACCTTTTTGCTCTTGTAATTAAGTTTCATTTTATCTACACAAACAGCTACATTGCAAAGGCTGGTGATCAATCCCTTTACTCTATATGCGGTAAACAGTTATGTAAGCGCACCTGTGCTAAGAGACATTCAGAGCGTGACTTGCGCGACCTTACCAGCACTTTCCGAATGCAGTACAGTGTTGCATTACAGAATGCCCTGGAATGGGCTGCTACCCATTAGTCTGAGCTGAGCGTCGCTGTTTATCTATCTTCAAACATTTAACCTAAGATTTTAAGTTTATCAATTGGGAACCCTGTCTGGACTCTCTCCTCCGTCAAGAAATTACTTCAAGATTAATTCAATCAAATGCAATTTTTATGACGCTAATCCTTTAACTGCCAAGATCTGACTGTAAATTCTCTTCCCTAGCTGCCACACATTTTCATTATGGCTGTGAGTTCATAGACAGTGAATAAATATATTTTAAAAAAATTACCGACCATTTTGTTCAATTGCGTTGGGATACTAAATTTCCACGTAATTGATAAACACAGTGGATTTGAAAGATGCCATTTATCGTGTGTGAAACTCCTGCAGGGCAAACATCTTCTTTCACTGCATGGTTCCATCTCTCGCAAAGATTTGTTGTTGTTATTATTGTTGTTGTTGTTGTTGAGGGTTTACAAAATTAATCTGCTAACCTGGAGAACACCAGTTTTAAGAGCGTAACAGTTAAGTAAATGTAGAGATTCCTATGAAAATGGTTATTCGCGTTTTCCCCCGAATTTTGAGTTCTCGTTAGTTCCTTTGGATACTTTTCTTTGTTCTGAAGTATTCTCTCTTTTCGTATTAGTTACATGATGGGCATGATAATAAGCAGTTATGATATAGCAGCTACGATCCTAACTCCGCTGATCAGTTACATCGGTGGCTCACGAAAGAAACCGCTGTTCTGTGCCTGGGGTTTGTTCGCTATGGGAGTTGGATTCTATATCTTCATGTTGCCTCATTTTGTTTCGCCTCCACTCGAAGCCACAGGTAGGTGCACTCGGATGGGCAAATTTAGAGTCAATAAATCAACGGATTTTTCATCATTTATTCTTTTCTCCATTTTTTTCTCGTCCTCTTTCACTACTTTTTGGTTTTTCTCATACAAAGTACTGCTATAAAAGGACCTCTGCCGTCTTCTGTGATCCGTTTTCTTTTATCCTCAAGGGAAAAACTATTCTTCTCAGACAGTAGAATGTGATTTTATGCTCTCTTACCACAGAGAATTTTTGAGCTGTAGCCAGACCTGAAAGACATGATATAATAAGAATGTAAACTATCTATATATTTCCACCTTACATCGTCTTTTTTTTTGCTTTCACGCACCAGCTTTCATTACAGACTCCAACGCAAGTATTGATGACATAAGCGTCACTGACCCCAGACTTTGCTGGGCAAATCGCACCGATCAACTTGGAAAAAACCAATGTAAAGAAGAAACCAAAGGCGGAAACACTCTCTACTATGCGTTGTTCGTGCTGGGAATGGTTGTTGCTGGAGCAGGTTGTACCCCAATGTACACGTTGGGAATCCCATACATGGATGAGAATGTCAAAGCTAAGGTGACGCCAATGTACGTGGGCATATTTGCAGCTAGTGGGATTCTTGGTAAGTTACCATGGTAACTGGAATTACACTTCACACATGGAGGCTGAACTAAGAAAAGTAATTTTTGTCTCAATGGCAATTCTTTGTTATTTTCTCAGGCGCTGCTGTCGGATTTGTGTTGATCTCCAGGTTTCTTTTGATGTTCGTTGAACCTGGTGTCGAGACCTCTCTGACCGTACAGGATAAACGTTGGGTGGGGAACTGGTGGATAGGCTTTGCCATATTTGGTGCGATCTGCGTGTTCTGGAGCATTTGGTTATTAGGATTCCCAAAGGTGTTTCCTCTGACAAAGAAACGACGAGAATTAGAAGTATCTCAAACAAAAACGGTGATCGGTGAGGTAGGTAAATTTTTTATCCTTTTACGGTAATAAGTAATACAGGAGTTGGAGGTATTTCCCAGAAAGGAGTGAGTCTGTTTTGGTTTTTATTGCAAATCGAATGAGTGCAGTGGAACCACGCTGAGTTGTTATGAACAGTTAAGTGGACTTAGGTACCCATAGAGACCCTTTTGAAGATGATTCAAAAAGAAGATTTCTAAGAAAAATAGTACTGAAGTTTTGGCTACCGTCCTTGTCTCAAAAATGCCCATTTTTATGCTCTCTTTTGGAAATTTCCTTATGCCAGGGGAGTTTCACCTAGAGAATGAGAATGTCAATCATAGAAAAAAAATCACAAAAAAACTCGAAAAGATTTCAACGCAAAATAAGAGGGTGCAGATGGTCAGGTTGTTTAAAAAGGCACAGTTCCTAAGAGCAGCCTTCTATACATTCGCCTAGACTGCCTTGTTGTATGCATGAATTCTTAGGCCTTTGTCTTATAAAGATCCTAATGGTTGATATTGATTTAATTTTCCTTTTCAGTCTAACAAAGAACCTTCTGATAATTTATTTCATAGGAGAGGAGTGGATATTCAAGCCTGAGAGATCTTCCTAAAGCCACAAAACTGGTATTTTCAAGCCTCCCGTTTGTCTTCGTTACTCTGGCTGGCTGTTTGGAGGAGTTCGTCATTGCAGTTTCCGCAGTGTTCATGCCTAAAGTGATTGAAGTTCAGTTTTATCAGGCGCCAGAAAAATCCGCTCTAATTTACGGCTTGATGGTAGTACCATCTGCATTAGTTGGAAACATTCTGGGTAAGGTGCGCCTCGAGCTATAACCAATCCAAAGATCCCGGCGGGAATCTCGCCCAAAATCCTGACGAGATCTTATTGCGACGTAACGACCGTGAACTCTGTTCTAGGCGTTCTAACCAAGTGCTTGCCACGAGAGTTATATGCTATCGTCATGCTATCCTGGGCCGGGTCGTTCAAAGCTAGGTTAAGATAACCCGTTGTTAGTGTGAAATCTGATTTCAGATCTGAAAGCTTTAAAAGAAAATTCAGTACAATTTTTTTTGTCAACAATTTTATGCTTGGATGCTTTAAAAAGAATAGAGAAATTTATCATCAAAAGGCTCATGAACAATGGAATAAAGAAACCGGTATTTAACTTAATCTTAGTTTAGCGCTAATCGGCCTTTGAACAACTAATATCAAATCAAATTCCGGTGCTTGGTACCTTTTTTCCCCCAAATAGCAAGTCATCACTGACAGAGGTAGTTTTCAAACAGACTTAAATACTTTTTAGACAATCATTTAAGTTTTATCCGGGAGTCACCTATCTTGATTGCAGGTTTAGTACATGGTGAATCATATCGTGAACTGCTGACCTATTTTTTACTACAGGGGCATACATTAACAAACGTCTGAAACTCAACCTGACCGGAGCCGCCAAAATGTGTTTTCTTGTTAGTTGTTTTGGACTCGTTAGTAGCAGTATGCTGTTCCTGAAATGTGACACTCCAAGCATAACGGGTGTTAATACCCCATATCCCAACAGGTGAGAACAGAAAGAAAACAAAGCTTTCTTATAATAGTAGTAGAGAAATAGTTGTTGGTAACTCGTGACTCTCTTGTAGGTAAGAGAAAGAAAAACTTAACCAAATTGTGTGACAGAGAGCCGTAAATGGAAAACACGCAACACTGAACCGACCTATCTGTCATCTTATTTTCGAGAAGCACGATTCGTTTGTCAATTAACGCCCCATAATTCAATTATACTATTGCCTAGCTTCTTTTAAATGATAATGGCAGATCTTTCATTTTAAATAGCACTGATCCCCATCAGCCATCAGCACCATGTAACCAGGCCTGTAACTGCAGTGGAGTGAGCTACTCTCCTGTTTGTGATGGATCGCTGAAATATTTTTCACCGTGTCACGCAGGCTGCAGAAAAGCGAATACGACGAGCAAGGTATAATATATGGCATATGGCGTACCCTAAAACGAGTTTCTAGCGTCACTTTATTTATTTGTGATAAGCTGTGCTAGTAACTGTCATTTTCGTGTTGATTTTGAGAAGAAACTCTTAACTGTGCTAAATATACGCCACTTATCTTTAACATGGAGTGTACAAAGGCAGTATTTTGGGGAAATGTATCGATGACCTGATAAAACTGTTCTGATTTTTTCAATATGCTTTATCTAAGGGTCCGATTCTTTACTCTGACTGCGCCTGCGCCGTAAAATCTGGATACAACTCTGGAAACTTGAAAATGGGTAACTGTGGCGATGACTGCGGACTCAAGTTGATGTTATTTATGGTATTTTTGACCCTGGTCTCGCTTCTTACGTTTATGAATTTCACTCCGGCGTTCATCGTCACATTAAGGTTTGATTGTGCTCTACTTTAACCCTTTAACCTCCAAGATCTGATTTTTTTATTTCCCCTCGAGCTGCTACAAATTACCGTAATTGCCCAATGGGGTTCTCGTAACTAATTTTCAAGCCTTGAAAATTAGTTACGAGAATTCCATTGGGCAAGTGTGGTAGGTAGACTGAGGTGTATGCTTACCAGAGTCTGTCAAAAGAGCTTACACTGTATTTAGAATAACAGTATTTATCATCACAGACAACGTATCTCAAAAAGAATGTCAAATTAACCCGTTGCGAAGAGGAAGGCAAATATTTCAGTTCTTGAACTGTAATCGAGCCCTTGACTTTTGGTATACGGTTTAGACTTCCTAACCAAGAAGCTACAGGAAACTCGCAGGAAACTGGGCCAACCTGTACACCAGGTTCTTGTATGATACGCACTGTACGCTGTTATGGTTATAAGAGTGTCCTGTGCAATATCTATAACATTGTGATCTCGGTGGTCAAATTAGAAAATGCATGTTTTCATTTCAGGAGTGTACTAACTGGCCAGCAGTCGTACGCGTTAGGACTCCAGAATGACCTCATGAGGATCTTTGGGGCCATCCCAGGACCTCTTGTATTTGGAGCCCTCTTGGACAAGACATGCATACTTTGGAGCTCAAGGTACTCATTTTAGAGTCTACTGTGTGACAAGGTTGAGCTGGTAGAAATACTTTTCTTCAGTGGTGAAAATTTTCGTGTGTTTTTACACGGCGCTGTAACTGCGATCAGCAGGCCGAAGTTTACATTCCCTTCTTCCGCAGAGGAATGGCAATTTTCCTATAGCTTTCTTTGAGTCGTCTCTCTGCCTACTCTGATTTTAGAATCAATGTCCCAGAGCCATTTCAAAAATTACCGGCCAGGCTGTTATGGAACCACAGGTACCTGTGGCCATATCGGTTGCGAGTCTCCCTGTGTAGTGTGGTTACGATAGTTGATATAATCCTCTGCTAAAAGAGGTCTTTGTAAGGTCTAAAATGGCAATAAAGATGATCAAAATTTATTCCGAGCTAAAGAGAATCTCTATTCCTCTTCCTTTAGTCGAAACTCTCCCTTTTAGTCGAAAATCTGAGCAGTGCGGTGTCCATGCATATGAACAGGGACCGCACCAAGAGAGGAGCAGGGGGTGGGGAGTGGTTTCTTGATCAGTCACTAGTGTACAAAATCCAAAATCAGCCTATATAGTCCAAAATTTAAAAACGAGCCAATGTCCGAAGTATATAATCGGCCAATATAGTTCGAACTTCGAAATCGACATAAAGTGTCAAAAATCCAAATAACGGTCAGTGGTGTCTAAAATCCAAAATCGACCGCTAGTGTCCATGATCCAAAAACGGCCATTAGTGTCCAAAATCTAAAATCAGCCACTAGCGTCCAAAATCCAAAATCGACCGCTAGTGTCTAAATCCAAAATCGGTCACTACTGTCCAAAATCCAAAGTCGGCCACTAGTGTCCAAAATTAAAAAAAACGGCCGTTAGTGTCCAAAACCCGTAAAAGGCGACCAACGTCCAAAATCCAAAAGCGGCAGTAATGTCCAAAATCTAACAACGGCCACATGCACTAGTGTCCAAAATTCAAAATTAGCCGCTAGAGTCCAAAATCCAAAATCGGCCACTACCATCCAAAATCCATAATCGCCAGTAGTGCCCGAAATCCAAAATCGGCCACTAGTGTCCAAAATCCAAAATCGGTCACTAGTGTCCAAAATCTAAAATCGGTCACTAGTGTCCAAAATCTAAAATCGGTCACTAGTGTCCAAAATCTAAAATCGGCCACTAGTGTCCAAAATCCAAAATCCAAAATCGGTCACTAGTGTCCAAAATCTAAAATCGGCCACTAGTGTCCAGGTGTCCAGAATGTTAAATCGGTCACTAGTGTCCAGGTGTCCAAAATCCAAAATCGGTCACTAGTGTCCAAAATCTAAAATCGGTCACTAGTGTCCAAAATCCAAATCGGTCACTAGTGTCCAAAATCTAAAATCGGCCACTAGTGTCCAAAATCCAAAATCGGTCACTAGTGTCCAAAATCTAAAACGGCCACTAGTGTCCAGGTGTCCAGAATGTTAAATCGGTCACTAGTGTCCAGGTGTCCAAAATCCAAAATCGGTCACCAGTGTCCAAAATCCAAAATCGGTCACTAGTGTCCAAAATCCAAAATCGGTCACTAGTGTCCAAAATCCAAAATCGGTCACTAGTGTCCAAAATCTAAAATCTAAAGTCTGGCACTGGTGTGCAAAAATTCCAAATCAGCCACCACCGTCCAAAATCCATAATCGGCCACCAACGTTCAACTTCCGAAATGGGGCCAGTAGCATCGAAAATCGGCCAGTAGTGTCCGAAATCCAAAATCCAAAGTCGGCCATTCGTGTCAAATATCCAAAATCGGTCACTATTGTCCAGAATCCAAAATTGGTCACTATTGTCCAATATCCAAAATCGGTCACTAGTGTCCAAAATCGGTCACTAGTGTCCAAAATCGGTCTCTAGTGTCCAAAATCCAAAATCAGGCACTCGTGTTCAAAATTTAAGATTCAAAATCAACCAGTGTTCAAATATCGGCCATTCATGTTCAAAATCCAAAACCAGCCACCAGTATCCAAAATTGGCCTCTCTATCTACTCTGATTTGAGTACCAATATCCTAGAGCTGTTTCAAAAAAATACCGTTACCCGCGAAATCCCAGTTATTTTTGGAACTTCATTGCAACCCTTGTGTATCCTGCTATGATTAGCGGTGGACAATAATCTTTATAAGGTCAGAGAAGTCGTCTGTTGTGTAGATGGGGTCTACAGCTCAATGCCAGTGAATTCTGAACCAGTGTTCTTTCGGTTCTACTTTAAGGTGCGGTGACACGGGGTCAGTTTGCCTTGAATACGACCACGATGGGCTGGCTCAAGTTCTGCTCGCAGTGATGACTGGCTGCAAACTTATCACCGCTATAAGTTTTTTTCTGAGTTGGTTCTTTTGCCGGCGACCACAAGGAAGAGAAGAGATTATAGTTGGGACAAATAAGAAGGAAAACGACGGAGAAACTTCATTGTGGTACGAAACAGTCATCTACTGAGGACTATGTTTCTAGACGCTTAGAGAAACAATCTATATATCTGTATCCATTAGATAGAAGGATAGATACACAGGTACACGGAGAGGAAGATTGATGTGAAAGTACTTTAATGATAACTTTTATTAGATGTTTGCTATCCCATCGTCCTTTTTTCAAACTGAGCTGATTTCTTGTAAAGAATCGGTTCAGTTTGGCCGTATCTCGTTTGAACATTTCTTCAGACTCAAGGTGACAATTGACTTTTTCCTGAATTGATAAGTATCTTGCGATTTGTCGTTTTTCTATCATGAGGCGGATTATTTGAAATAACGAGCCTTCCAATTCAACTGAAAATACTTATAGCTTTTATCGCTGTCGAAGCGCTCCACCACGGCCGACGTGCAGACATAAAGGAGTGGCCGTCGCACAGAGCTGGGCATTATAGGGAGCTAGAGGTTCAGTATGACATTTATCTCGCACCATTTGTTCAAGGGTTACTTACGTGTAACAGAGAAAAACGTAATACGATCACAAAGTATCAAAAACACCCCGTTCGGTATCAAAGCTTTAAGTTCGGGGGAAAAAAAAATTCAAGAAAACAACTAGCCTGAGAGGGAGTGAGTCTTCCACTTAGAGTCCATTACGAACCTAATATTTTCACTGTAATGAATTAAAGCTGTCAATTAATTTCTGCATTAAAGAGTTTCTTCATCAATTGCAATCGTCATTAACTGGTAATCATAGGAAGGTTACATCTTGATTGGGACGCATTGTTCTGACCGTTGTTGTTTCGGGTTAAAATAAGAGGAAAAAGGCTGTTGTGGGTAAGTTGCCAACAAGTCGCTGTTTTTCGAGTTTCGATTGTACCTCTATCATAAAGTTTCGTGACCTGTTCTTGCCAGGGTCTTCCTTTCCCGGCTTTTTATTTTAACTAATCTAACATCCTCGAGACAACTCAGCGATGAATGTCATTGGCTTACAGACTGGCCTACTTGTCAAGATCAAAATAGAAAACAGATGTTTGATTCAATGATTGGCTCTTCCGGTGCTGTCAACATTACGTCTCACCTCCCTATTGTTTTCTAATAGCAAGCTGCGTTATTTAATACCAGTACACTCTTTTGCATGTGATTTTCACATCTCATCTGGTTAAGTTTGTCTATTCCTGACTTTTCGGTTTGTCCTTTCATGTGACAGCGAAACTTATCATTAGGAACATCACGGTGATAATTCCCCTCAAATTAGTATCAAACTCGAGCTTGTTACTAGAAGCAATGAAAGTTCTTCTTCAAAACAAGGAGTTGTGGGAGAGATTCAGACAACATCAGACAGAGATGATGATCACAAAGTCCGGAAGGTATGGCAGAGTTTTATTCTAGTCTAAGTTGTGAGAAAGCTCTCTTGATCTGGAGACAAAGGATGTTTGAACTGAGAAAGGTCGCCTCTGTCGATCATTTCGACTCAGAAAAGCCTCTTAAATGAGCCTATTCGCAGTCTGTTAATCTCCATACTGATGCGAAAATTTATCCCCGCTTTCAGTTTTAAACTTTTGAACACCAGATTCGAGAGGCTAACTTGAAAACTCGTTATCTTGGTTCCTTAATCTCAATGTGTGTGGGTGTGCTCTCTTAGTCTCAAACTCTCAAGGAAGGTATACAAGATGGATAATATTGTTTCCGTATTTCACAACTGACTGGAACTGTCTATGAATAGTCTGAATAAGACGCGTAATCTAGTGTGAGCACCTCACTTCTCTGTATTACTCCATAACTGGAGTTTTTACAAAACTTAGAGACCGAATGTTTTCGATCAATCAGTATCGTCTGATCGCAGTGCATGTGTATCTCACCCGCCTTTGCGGCTAAGTAAAATTATTATGTAAGGGTTTTAAGCCTTGGACGGCTTTTAGTAGGTACGTGACCAATTATTAATGAGTGCAATGTTACTTGTCACTTCTGCCATCACACGTTGGTGAAAGTTGACAGATTATCTCCACTGAGCTTGCATAATGCAGGCAAAACTGAAATGATTTCGTTCACAGCTTGAAAGATTTATTGGCATTAACGCTTCCTTATTTCAATAAACACCGAGAGGATGACCCTCGAAAAGTTGACACGGGGTTATTTCAAGTTTGGACTCGAAGAATTTTAATTATCACAAGGTGCCCTTATTGCTGTCAGGTTTCGCACCATCACCGATCCCCTGAAAATAGGGTGACAACAGACGGGTCACATCTGCTTTGTCGAGGTGATGTCAGCGATGAAAGATAAAAACCAGACACCGCGCTATTTTTAAACGAGACACAAATAAATTATTGGCACTTTTTAAACAACAAGGCTTCAATACCTATCTATTATGCAACAAATGACAAAAAAAATTCTATGGACGTTACACAACAACCATTGGAGGCGACGACAGAACTACAGACTTCAAACGCTTGCTTATGAGTGGAAATTGCTTTAATTTCGACGCCAATTTGAATTTGAAGGAGAAATACGTGAAACTTATCTATAATTTGGAGTTAACTTCCCGACGACTGTATCGCACAAAAAAAATGAGGATAAGAGAACTTTTCCCCATTAGTATTTCCAAGTGCATGCTCATGAGTGGGGAAAATCATGTTAACTAAAAGCAACATATTCAATTGTTAAGAGCTTCGATTGAAAATAAAAATGATTTTTACTATACAATTTAAAGGAACAAAATTACTTAAAAAAATTATTCAACTAGACATTATCGGAGCTAGAAATTCTTCAGGAGATCCATAACGCAAAGTCAATGAAATAGTTTGAGACGAATCGAGTAAGGAAAAGATCCTTGAGATTCGATAGATCGCATGCGATCACGTGGCAACCTTATGTTCACGTTTCGAGAAGCTCTATTTTCGATGTCTGTGAGAAAGGTAATTAACGAAGCTTCAAGTGACTTGACCTTTTGCTCTGAGTCATGGCAAGGAAAATATTCCTTGGAGCCGAGGAGCCCAATGAGACCTCATGATAAAAACAAGCGCACTGCCTTGAGCTCAGGAAAACGCGAGTGACCAAGTCGCGATTCTTTTTAGTTTTGAGTTTGATTGGTTGAGAAAGTAGCGCGAGTTTTCTGCACCAGTTACTTAAGGAAATAAAGCAAACCCAAAGCAATCCCAGACGATTTTCGACGCTTAATTAAAATTACTTTAATTTCGATGCCAATTTGAATTTTCCAGAGAAATCCATGGAGCTTATCTACTATTTGTTGTTAACTTCCGACGACTGGTTCGCACAAAAAAATTAGGATTAGGGAACTTTTCCCCATAAGTATTTCCAAGTGCATCCTCCTTAATAGTAACCAAGAATAGTGCTTTGGGCTTCGGTCAAGTGTCTCCGCGCCCACAAAGTCAAACTGTTACTCGCTTCCATCAAATTTTACACCTCTTTCAAAATCAAAAGTTTAAAGTAGCTGGGTTTCAAACTTGTCAATTAAAAGGAAGAACATTGTTAATTGTCGGAAATGTCCGCACACATCAGTTAATTCCTAGATTTTACTTGGTGGAAATGGAAAAAAAAGCACGAAAAAAGGCATGAATGGCTGTTTTAACTTGATTCATCTGATCATCCAGTTTTAACTTTCACTTGAGCCTTTTAACTTGTCTCTTTTTGTGCGGATGAAAATCACAAATTGTATATGTTGCATGATGATTTGTATTCTCGGCTCTGCCTTTTATCTCTTTGTAGGCGAATGTGTCCAGTTATCTCACTGAAATTCGAAGACCTTACTCCGAGACAATTTTACACAGTTATGATAGACTTTGTATTGATGGACGAGTTCAGATATTCCTTTGACGCGGGAACTAATACCTGGCTACCGTACTGTCGCGAGATGCCGGTTGAGGAAGGCCGCGCTAAAGTGTTTGTTCACGCGGAAACGCCCTGGAATGGAGCTACTCTCATGACAAACGGGCTCACCTTTAAAACGCTGAAGCTCACAAACAGTCCTAAGACGGCGGAGAAATCATCACAAGTAAGGGTCTTTTCGAACGCATTTCGATTGGAGAGAAAATGAGACCTCAAAATAAAAACAAAAAGGCAAACTGTCTAAAGTAGGGAAATCGTGAGCAATAAGGCCGTGATTGGGTTTAATTTTGGATTTGTTTGTGTGAAAAAGTGGCACGAGTTTAGAGCTAATAAGATACAAGAGCAAGAGCAAATTAAAATTCATGACTGCTTTTGGAACAGAGGGTCACCAGGTCACACGCGTTTCACGTGCTTGATTTCAGTAAGGTGTTCTCATTGGCTCCCTGTAGATAGCCTCACCTGGAATAAGTTAGGGAACAGTGAGGGCTGGTCTAAGCTTTAGGATACACCAATCCAACTGAGGTTATTGATAAATACTCTCTCGAACGAAAGTTTTTTTTTTCGAAAGGTCTGAATAAAGGCCAACCTCGACCCACTGTTTTGAGTGAAAGCCACGTAGGGACGGATAGTGTGGAATTTCCTTCCCAGAAGAAGAGGAATGGTATTTCTAGAGCGAGATTTTACTATGCTGACGTTTTGTTAAATAGAATTACAAATTAGAACTACAGATAGAACCAAAAACTACTTCAAAGCAATGTAGTGCCATTGCAAACTTCCTCATTGCCCCCCTCTTTCCTTCCATTTTCTCTTGGCGTAAGTGATGTGTTTGTCCTTACTACAGGCGATTCTTCTCAGCACGATGCGGCGTTACACGCCCCGCATTCACGTACTAGAAAGTCCCAATGGAATTTACTTTGATTACAAATTGAGGAAAGAGTTCTACTTCTCTGAGATGGAATTCATAGCCGTGTCTCAATACAGAAACAAGAATGTAAGTTCATGCTACTATCTTAGAGTGTTGAGTCGATTGATAATCAATTTGTTGTTAATTTTGAATTAGGATGTGTTTTTTACAAATCTTTTGTTTGATCATGCTTAAGTTTTTCCATTTCAACCTGCACTCTACATATACTCATGATACTTTCCTAGTATAGATACTTGATCTTCCCGGCAAGACGAGTTTAAACAGTAGTCGGGTTGGCACTACTGAGAGTAATATGAGTTGCTGCAACCCCAACCCTAACCTTCACGAACAGCTTAACAGATTGCACATGACTTGAAAGGCCTCAGTGACAGACTTCTCTACTTTCGTTTTTAAGATCACTAAACTCAAAATAGACGCCAATCCATTTGCGTCGGCTTACAGAAGAGACGGATTACATGGTCAAGCTAAAAGGTATGTTTTGTTTCGTATTTGCAAGTTTACGATGTTGCGCGGGACTCCAGATGTGTAATACTCATACTCAGATGAGAAAGTGGTTCTTGCTATTCGTGGAGGTAAAAAGAGAGTGACTTTAAACGATACCAAAGGATTAACTGTGTATATGGTCTTAATTATCCAAGAGAAAAATGTTCGCATGCGAGGCGCTCTTCGGCTAGAGGAGGTTTATCTAAACTGAATCGCGAGCATGCTTAGGCTTCCCCGCCTCTTACTACCATGCCAACGTTTAGTCCCATGTTTCCTCTCATAAATATGCTCACGTGACAATAGACGCCGCATGGAAGGTCAGGTTGTATGCGAGGATGAGAGAACCTCAGATGATGGTCCGCCGTCCAATAGTTCAAGTGTCCAGGATTCCATCGTCAACGGAGACGAGTTGGATAAAGAAAGTAACCAATCCTCTTCAAACGAACATCCGGAAGAATCTTCGCCAGAAGAAAGCTTCATCTCTGACAAGCAGCAATTGCATGAGAGACACTTACTCTCACCCAGTCAGGAAGGTATGAAGCATGGCACCATTACCTAGTTAAAAGGAAAGGTATCTTCATGAAATCAAGTTTCTCTGTTCGCAATCAACTTGTTGCAATTTAGAATTTCTGCAAGTCAGCTTTGCGTTCGCGCTGCGTTATATGGTTTCTGGTAGAAAACACCATTTTCAAATTCCAACGTTAAGCTCCGTTGTTTTCAGTCTTGATTCTGCTTTTGTACAGGCACGGAAAGAATGGACTTAAGTTACCTCACAATTCAATTCAAGCTTTATCGTTTTTAACAACTATTTTGCTCTGTTAACAAGTGATGGTTGAAAACTTCGTTGAAAATGCTATGATAAACCTCTTGATGTAACGAGTTGTTATTACAACCATAATTATGTCCGTCTAAGACAATTATTTCCTGTTGTAAATGCTAACAACTCCATGTAAAGCGAACTTGGTAACGCCTAAAGTTTACTTTTAAATCTACATGCTAAATGCTTCAACAAGTTTTACGAAGTTTTGTTGATGAGGCTCAGAGGCTGCATGAATATGCACAAATTTTAAAGTTACCTTGACCCTCATCTCATAACGTACAGCAGGAATTTTCCGGATAGGCGATATTCTTTGTTTTCCTGAAAGTATTCAAGGAATTTTTAGGTATACTTTACTTTTACTGTGGTACTCTTATAATATTAAAACAAAATTTCACACCTCAATGAAGACAGGGTAAGCTAGTCCTCTATAGCACAAGCAGAGTAAACTGTTATAGGCAACTTTAATTTTTTTTCTCTGTTTGATCACAGGAATCAGCAAAGCTGTACCAGAGGTAACCAGCTTAACTCAAGCCGAGTTAAATATCCAGGAACAGTCGGGAGTGATTAGCCAGGAAAAACTATCCACTGTGTCACTAGTCAATCAAAATCAAACCCCAAGTGAAACTAGTGACAGTGAGTCGAAGCTAATGTGTGAAGAATCCCGTGAGTGGATATGGGGATTTGACCAGCAGATGTTGGTGAGACATGAATTCGAAAACTTCATTGAAGGAAGTCAGATAACCAGCCATGAGACTCGATTGCAAAACAACTCTTACGCTAAAGAGCCCTTCTGCGATGAAACTAAAGCAAGTGTGAACAGGAGGAAAAAGTACGTGCCAAGAAGGTTTCAAAGAAGGGACGATCTATCCTCAGTAAACACCCGTTTAGATTCAAAGGACAAGGAACAAACAATCGAGGGTGAAGCTGTGGATAAAAACAATTTGAACAAAAAGGGCGTTAAGTTACCACAACTGAGTAACACCAATAGCGCGCAAGATACAAGACAATCTGAATTTTCCAGGTGCTCAGAAGAACTCGGAAGGACACCTAACAAGTGTAACAGTTCACATCAACCAGAGACACTCAGTTCTTACGTAGATGCGGTATTGCCATCCAGTGTAAGGACTAAAGCAGGAGTTTTGTTTGTGATTGGTCAGAACGCTTCACAATCGGTGAGTATTCAAGCTGAAGAACCAGTGGTCACTGTCACCAGTTCTTCTTCAAGGACAGAGGTCCTTACAGGCTCTTCTCTTGATGCATTGATTGCGTTGTGTTCAAAAGCCGGGACAAATACGTTGGGCAACCGAGATTCAACCGAAATTGTTAATAGCCAAACAGTTAACATTTCTTCATTAGAAGCAACTAACGAATTAGTGCATTCAAAAGGTAGCGACTTTCCTTTGTGTAAAGAAACAGAAGAAGCATCGATAAATTCTTCCATTCGCCAGCGTTCTGCAGGACCAAATTGTACCACCTTAGTGTCTCTGACCCCTCAGACTGATGAGCAAAAGACTGTAGGGTCCTGTGTCTTTCCAATGTCGTCTCAGTGCAGTGGACGTGCATCAACATCCCATGCAACAGTAACTACTTTTGCGGTCAACAAGAGTAGCGAGAGTACTCTCATTACCGACTTAATAAATGAGACACCGAAAGTTACCGACACCTACCGACAGTCGCCGACAGTTACGGTTGAATGTCGGGCGGGCGCCACCGTGGTAACAAAATCTTGTGTCGAAAATCCTATCCCTGTGATTGTTGAAACATATTCTGGATCTCATTTGTCGAATGGTTCCAAGTGTGAACAACAACTGGACAGAAAACAAACGAGATACAAACGCATCGCTCCTGCTCCAAGAAAGTCAGTAAACGCCAGTTTAGATGAGCCCGCGTGCACTGCTTCTGTAAGTAGTAGTGGTTGTGATGGCGGCGTTCTTTATCCCAAAATAGTGGATTCTTTCACTCTGGCAAACTGTAATGGACCCAGTGCTGCAGAGAAGTCATCACCTTTACCAAATTTGTATTTCATTCCACCCTGTAACTCAAACCTGCCACAAATTAATCAAGCATATGCTTCTTCGCCATATTTTGGTGTTACACCTGTGGACAACAACTTTATGCAGGAATTTAGGTTAGAGAAATTCTACTCGCTTTCTTCAACAAGAGAACCCGTGAAGTCTCCTGTACGACCACAGGCTCGCTACTACAAAACAACTCGCACGAACTTTAGCCGACTAAGCTTGGAACCGATCTGTAGCGTGATTCATCCGCTTGAAGGCTTCAAACGTCCTTCTTTATCTGATAATTCTGCCATCACTGAAGTTTCGGCTCAAAGACCATGGGGATGGCGGAGTTGATAGGCCCTACCTGCCTACGAACAGATGGTACTTGAACACAGTAAAAATTAATTTTACCATTTTATTCGTGAAGAACCGATACCTTCCCGAAACCACTCGGTTTCGTGGTTGCCAAGTAACGTGACACATGTCGACTTTCCTATATATTTATCCTCTATTTTATCATAACCATTTTTGAATGCTATAGCTGGTAGGCACTACATACCAATCGAAACCGATTAGGATAGCAAACTTCGTGCCACGAAGTTTGCTATCCTAAGACAAGATCGTTCAGACATCCGTCAATCAAATTCACAAATGGCGCAAGCAACTTTTTTCTTCTTTTACAATATTAAATTTCAAGAGCGTACAATATATATATTGTGTCACCATTAAATGAGTGAAATCTTCGCATGAAGAAAACTAAGGACGATACATTAAAAACCGTACCCTCCCTTTCGTTTGGGACAACAGAATCTCATTTATTTCTTTTAATATCATTAAAATGATATTAAATATTATAAACGTCCGGGATGATGTGAAGAAACAGTATTCTGAGTCTTTCGTTTACAACTAGAGGGTCAGAACCCCAAAGTAACTATTGTCATTGGCATAAGCCTTGCCATAAATTTTTATTCCACTTGTTATTTCATTCGAAAAAATCACAGCATCGTCAAGACGCCGCGGAACCAATATTTGTTCACTGACTTTCTTCTTCAGAAATGTCTGGAAAATTAACATCTGCAAACTATTATTAAATAAAGTTCTTATTCCCAAGCCTCCTTTTGCCTTAAATGCTAAGTAACGGGATGACGTCCCGTCTGGTTGGTCAGAATATCATCCGATCTTTCCTCAAGCATCTCCTTAAAAGGGCATATGCTACCCCATGACGAACATTTGTCCTTATTTCGTTTGTGAGCAAAAGCGTCGATATGCTCCGTACGGCTTATGTCGTCCCCCTGATTTTTCAGTTATATTTGTGTGAAACTCGTCTCCAGTGAAACATTACGGCAGCCCATCTATAGTGCTATTAGGAAACAATTTCAACCACAAAATCTTCAAAATTGATATTTTCGTTGCATCTTCCCACGTAGAGTAAGGTAAGTATTAAGAAAATGTGTTTAAATATTTATTTGAAATCGTTTCAAAATCGATATTTATGTTTAAAAACTTTTCTAATATCTTTACGATGATACAAATTTTTTGCTTGTGTAAAAGTTGCTTCCATTTTTCTCTTTGCGGCTTAGGCGGAGAATTTTTGCAAGTGGAAAAGACTAGATTTTTAGTTTAAAAATGAAGCACTATGACTAAAATTTTCCTTTATGTACAAGGGTTATTAATGACAAAAGCCCAGCTGCCCTCTTTTAAAAGCCTTGAACAAAAGTGCTGGGTAAATTAATTTACGAACGTTTCTAGTCAAAATATAATCGTAAGATACAAATACATATATATATCTATATCTATATATATAAGAAGTCTTTGGTTGGGTTTTTTCGTATTACAGTGCTCGATACTTACTGGGAAGTAGAGCGTGATATGTATTGAGTTACGGAAAAAAAGATAGAGAGTGAAAAAAGAGACCACGCTTTATCCCGACAAGTTTGTTTCGTAATTAACTCACTCTTCAGGGGATTTTAAAAACCCCTGAAGAGTGAATCATATACATATATGTGTGTGATGATATCTTTGCTGTAATCAACATTTTTACAAAAATCGACTGTACTCGGAAAACGTACACGGCAGAATAATTTTATCTGATTAACAAAATATATGAGCCGAGACTTTAATGAAGAGTTTCCAACTTAATTTAAAATATGCTATAGATGCCTATTATTGGCTAAAAGGATAAGAGAAGGTGCAGACGAGAAGTATGGAATAAAAATCAAATTGTGAAAGCATCATTTTTTTTGTACAAAAGATTCAATCAAATACCAGAGATTAGGTAGTTATAAAGATACTTCACAAGATCTACAGATGCTCATCTTACCTGTTTAGGAAGCGTAATGAACCCGGCCTGAATTTAATTAAAACAAAAAAGTTTAATTTTGAAGCTACCACACAGATAAATTATCGATAAGTCATCGAGAGAGACAAGAGAGACAATTTTGGACTGTTAGTTCCGAACCAATGTATCGGGGTTCTTCAGACATCTGTTTTGAAAACAGACCTTCAGATTCAAACACCATGTTCACATCAACCTCGCCTTGGCGTAAATACTAGGGAACTGGGCGTCAAACTATTTTATTCACAAGATTTGACAATTCTTCCTTTGTGAAAAATATACAAGAAAAATCTACTTTACATCGATAGTAGTCCATAACATAGCAATCATCCTAGAGATACCCCCTCTTGCTTGCTTCATCCAAAGATCATGAAGGAAATTTACTGCATTGAATATTGAGTAAGAGGAATTTTTTAAGAGCGATATACTCCACACCTGTTCGCAATCTTATTATCTTGTGGGAGGTTAAGGACACGTACTCCCATGGCAATGACGGAAAATTTGTTTTTATAAGCTGGCATATACAACTTAATAATTGCGTGTGTGGGGGAGGGCTACCACTTTAAACGGGAACACGAAAGATTGTCTGATTGCCCACAGAAACGTCAGGACTATTTTAAACAAAGTGACAAACGGTAATTGAGTTCTTTGGCAGAGGAGTTGCCAGACTTACGTCGTCATAACAAATCACCGGTCAGAATGACATACAAATTGAAATGAACTTTAGAAAAGTGGTGGGCGGCAATTGTCATTTCTCTAAACCTTTTCCAAACTGTCCAGTCCATGTCCCTTTCAATTTCCTGTGTTTTGCATAAGTTTTTATTCAAGGTATAAAGCATTATTGTGATGTTCTCGTAGATTATAGAAAATTAATTGCTGGACCAGTAATTCGGTGCTGAAATCGCCATGAATTGATCGTTCTACAGCTCGGATTTTTAGACGTTGAAGCATTTTGTCCACGCAGTACGTGTCAGAAGCAATTTTGTGGTTCAACAATAGATTATTTCGGATTTCACTAAAGGGTCAACCACACGGGCTATTCAGGTCAATAGAGATAGCTAAACTTTTTAGCGTTAATGACTTTTCAAAAATAACCAAAGAAATTTAAAAAATAGTAATGCTAAGTGACCTGTTACTTCCATCTGTCTTGGCAATGTTTTAATTATTGTGAGAGCTTTGACAAGAACTCCTAAAATAAATAGTAATGATCACTGTATTGCTGTTTTTAACCCTAGATTCTGACGTGGAACGAGTCGGTGTTCTTGGACAGAGACAGAACCCACGCTGAAGCGGGTGAGGACTGTATTTCGCATATCTTGGAGCTCTAGAAAGGTAAACTATTCATCTCATGGGGTGTGGAGGCGTTTCTGTCTTGATGACGAAAATAGCTCTAAACCCATACCTTACTAACCCGCTATATTGCTCCGAAAAACAAAAACGTTAAACGTTGATCAGATTATTTAGATGCAAGAGTATACGTTACGACATGCTAAAAAAAATTCATAACCAATCTTGGCCTGCATTCATGTGTATTAGACCGGAAAGACAATATATGACATCAGTCTATAATTCGAATCTAACAAGCTCCTCTACACATATTGCTCAATTGTGAATTGCACAAGCAAATTCTGTGTTATTCTCTCAGCCTTATGAATATAAATCTCGGTATTCAAGATTTAGAGGTAATCATTTTAAGACTTAACTGGTTCTGTGACAGCTGCAAAGTATAGTCTTATAAAAGGATTTCGACCAAGTGTTGAGGTAAGTGAAAGTTTGCCGTTTCTCGCAGTGGAATGCTCGTTTCCTTTACAGTGGTTTATCAAAAGTAAGGTCACTCCTGGACACATGTATACTGAATTATAAAAACATTCAGTGAAGAGTTGTAGGAAAACAAGAAAACTTTGAATTAAAAACGTCTGTTCATTAGGACGATGCTCGTCAAAAACATGAAAGACTTTGCTTTTTCTACGTTAACGATGAGGGCAGAGAAAGCTTTATTGAATCTGCCATCTTACTGAGATGCTCTCTATACTGTGTTGTTCAAACTCTGATCGAATACGTTTTCAGCGCTCGCTAGTACACGGAAAATAGATCACTCACTCAGTCTGAACGTGATCGAAAATCGAGGCATTTCATTGGAGGAAAGAAAACGAGTTTACGAACAACTTCCTTAAATTCTAAGCTCGTGAACAAGTAATTACAAAATAGAAGCAGCTTTTTAAACTTTCGAGCAAGGTGATCCGAAAACTGGCGTCGGTGAGAGATAAACGGTTTGTCGAGTTCACCAATTAGAACTAGCTCGGCGAGTTTTAAAACGAACTGCCCTAAACTGATGTTACATTCCGAGTTTGCGGTCAAAAAGGTTTCAAACTGATCTGCTAACATCCGGTATATTGACCCCTTGGATTTTTAAATGTATCTTTTACAATTGCTACAATTCGTTCCTTGATCGCAAATGAATTCAAAGCGATACTGAGGTCGTTTTTGACTTGTCTATATTGGACCCTCCCCTTCCAAACTGAAAAACAGCAGTATGAACTGTATGAATTGTTGTTTCAATTTCATTGGGAAAGCTTGACGTCGAGAATAGGGCACCTTTTTCCGGTGCCAAGTTCTTAAGATAAAAACTGTGGGAAATAAAATTTCTCTTGACTAATATAAGAGCCTATTACTCAATAGATTTCATTTTAATGGCCTCTTATGTGAGTTTCCTTAGTACCCTATGATTAACTAAGGAGTTTTTCACAAAAGGTAAAAATGAACCATGGGCGTTATCAAAGATTAAAAACTTATGAAGGATTCCACGATGGGGAAAAATCGACAGAAAATTAAGCTTTAATCGTTCATATTGAAAAAACCTCGAGCGCTTCACAAAAGTCTAGTCACTGCAGCATTTATTGTATTGCCTTTTTATTTCATGCAAGTATATTCGTCGTACAACACAGTTGGCCGCCAAGATCATTTTGCTAAATATTTAGCTTTCTACAAGAAAACTTAACTCATAAGTTTAAGATAAGAACTCATTTACCTTAATGGTCATTTTCAAGAGAAATCACGAACCTTAAATGGTTTATCATTATTCAAGGGAATGCTTGCAGTTTAGGATCAAACAAAACAAACAGCGCAAATAAAAGATGATCAAACAATTCCCAACTTTGGAGATTATCACATGACTAACTTCACCTCTCAATCAATCAGATTATTTATCTTTTTAGTACGTGGTTTGTCGGTTACGTTTGTTTAGGTGAGTAATATCTGTAGGGTTAGTTTATTGACTTTTGATAAAGGGCAGAACTTTCATCTTTCGTGACTCGATATCCTTGTGAATCAATACGTTAGGTTCTATCAAGTGAACGTTATACCAACCACAAAAAAATTTTGTTGGAAGTAATTGATCGAGTATTTGCAAACCTCATCCAAACTACTTTAACTGAGACAATGAACTGGAAAAAAGAGAACACGAATCATATCATAGCCATTGTTTTTAGTCTGAAACAAATGTGAGTTAAATGATATGTTTCTATTACCCTAACAAATTATTTCTATGCCTCACTTTTACTAATTAGAGCTAAAACCTCGGCAATTCCGACAAATTTTACGTTTAAGTTGAAAACCTAGCTTGTGAAGCTGGTAAGAGATGTTAGAATACAATTTTTATGGTTAACAGGTTAAAAAGTTTTCTATCTTTCGGTGTTGATGGCTGGCCTATGTATCATGATATATTCCGGCTGATTTTAACGTATTTTTGTGCATATTGACAACAGGTTGTAAGGCTTATTTATGCTGTAAGTTTGGAAATCAGTTTGGTCAGCGGCTTATTTCCAGATGTTTCTACTTTGACATCTTAGTCATATGATATTCCTTTGTGCGTCAACTCTAGAACACCTATGGGCGAACAAGACAGAATTTTTCCTTAAAACATCATTACAATATCAAGCAGATAAGTGATGAGAATACGAATTTTTTTAGTTGATCCCATACGGAATTCCTCGAAGAATTGTATAGCAGACAGAAAGGAGAATTACTAATGAGATCCTTGGAGTGAAAGAGTTAACAGTAATCCCAGGAAGAACGAATCATCAATCTCCTTAGATTTTTCGATGTTGATTGACTTCAGCGTCTTAATCAATCACACAGGAGTTTAAGCTCAGACCAAAGTTATACTGACTAGTTTTCAACACTCAGTTTAAGGACTCTTTGTTGTGAAAGGTAAACATCAATTCCTTGACATACGGTCAAGTTTTCTCGAGGTCCACGACATTATAAATGTATATTTTCTTATCGTTTTCCGATTCATTACGCCATGCTCTAAAATAATTCTGCTCGTTCGGTGGGTGGAAATCTATAAGAAGGCTTGGCAAAGCGTGGAACCTTCAGGTTTTCAGTTTCGAAGAAGCGTCTTCCAGTTCATGTTTATTTCACTTTTAAAACCCGGTTTATAGAAAGGTTGATATGTTCAGAGATGAAGATGCCTCTTATAAATTAGACATATGTGGTAAGTGCAAACTGTGGTTTTGTTGTTCATCACTTTTTCTGTGCATTAGATCTGTAAAGTGATCGCTTTTAAAATCTCCGAAACTGTTTGAATTGCAACGAGTTACTCCACAACTGAGATACCGGCGTTAAAATGCAATCAGGCGATAACCGCAGTTTCGCGGTCACTAATCGTCACTCAAATTTAAACCCCTAACTCAGATATTGGCCATGAATTTTTAAACACTCTCATCATTTTATACCAATACTAGATCTGACATATCGATCTATATACTCATCATCTTGTGTGGGTGTTGTACACATTTCACAAACGCTATACGAACATGTTGATTGGTTTTGTTTTGACAATTTCTGGAAGCTTGCACAGTCAGGTTCTCAAAGTTGCGTGATTGAGCGGCTGTACAAGAATATACGCGGTTAAAAGGGTGTTTTTCTTCTACGTCTACGCTCTAAAGTCATTGGAACTCGCAATCAGGAACAAATAATCGTTGGGGAATACAGCCAGTGTGAGATTTGAGTCCTGATTGCAGGAGGAGGTACGCAGCTGTATTTGATATCATTTTATTTTTAAAACCGCGTTTCATTTTAAACGTTCTGAGGCAAACCTAATTTACTGTGAATGTCTTTGCTGCTGCCTGGTCGTTGCAACTCGCTTGACCTTCCTAAAAGAAGGGTCGATGAAAAGATGGCCGAACGGAAATGCTTTTATCGAATTGTCTCTAACATCTCATGGAATAATTTTTCGTTCTTCCTTTTGGATTTTTTAAGCATTTTTAAAAGAAACCAGGGATCATAAACATTAAAAATCAAGGGAATCAGTAAATCGATTTTCAGTGGCTGTGGTAGACAGGTTTCAAGTACCTGTTAACCTTTAAATATATTGCCACCTTCCATCACAGAAGACCAATAATTCTTTCGATTGTTGATCGCATTAATTTTTTAATCGGACGCTATGTTTCCAGTCTGTTGAAAAACTTTTTGTGCCTATTATCTGCAAATGTTTATGAGCTGTTTTGCCACTGAGGTAAGATAACAACAATATCACGTGGTGTTGTTGCGTGACCGACGCTGCTGCGGTTGCTGAAGTTTCCCTGGGCACCTTATATCAGCTCATATCGGCTTTATTCTCATGCAAAATTTCTAGATGTTTCTAATTCTTTGATTTGGAGAAAAAAATTTCTGACGCCTTGTCTTTTTGTCTGCTAACCTTGTCTTGAAGATAAATATTTTGACGCATGACAAGTAGCTAGTTTGCAACTAAAATCTGAATGTTCAACCCTAACTTACAAGGGCTCAAATTGATTTTCCGTGTACGTGTAAATGAATGATTGATATCAATTGACGGCTGTTGAATATTTTCGAAGCTAGATTAAATGGTTAAAAAACTGGACGGTTACATAATTCCATAAGAAATTAGTTTTAGGAATTATTATGATATCAGAGGACAAACATCCAACGGGACATTCCTTTATCATATAAACTCTACACTATGAAAAGTAAAATTCCTCAGGGAGTATACATGGCCAAATTTCGGAAATTCTGCGCGAACAAGCTGTCTACCAAAGTCAATTTACAAGCCTTCCGGTTTCCGGCGGTATTCCGTTTGGTAGTGGCACTTGGGAATCGTCTGAAGGAAACAATTTTAATAGGGGCATTCCAATCAACGTTACAATTGCAATTCAAGCAAAGAAAATTTTAAAAAAGTTTGAGTTATCTGTTCCGATTTCTTATGCGTTTGGATTTGCAGCAATTTCAGCTCAAAAAATTGGAAATTCATTCCCCATTCTCCATTTCCAATTAACTTCCATTTCTAATTCTGCATATTTTTTCGTAATTTTCCATCACCCATTCTCCTTTCCATCCTCCTTCTTTTAAAGCTCACCTTTAATTAAAAGTTCTATCGACCTGTCTAGTATTTTATATGACAACTGGACCAAAATGCACCGTCAAGTTTCGAAAACGATTAAAAATGCAATAGGCATGACAGTTCCTGAGAATTTTTAATGAACCGGACGTGATGCATGTCTTTTGCTACAATATTTCTTTTCCAAATTACTTGGAATTTCTAAAACAAATTCTAAAAGAGATACAACAATGAGAAACGATATGACAAAAGATTTCCCACTTAGAGACCATGCCACGTTTAAATTTACGCGACCTCTTTGAGTTTAACATACCAGCAGGTGGATAAATTCCTTATTGTTCGGTGGTATTAGATGTTAAAAGCATCCTGTTCACCTGTACTTACTGATTTAATTAAAACGACGAACGCAGTGATAACAGGCATAAGGGTTTACACTTACGGCCAACCCGTAAAGCTTCAAGAATTTAACCAGGTAAGTTATTCTACGAAAATTGCAATTAGATAGGTCTTACTTTTCCTTTCGTCTTATCATTAGTCATTTAACTAGTAGTCATTACCATCGTAACGAAACGATACTCTAAATTGCCTAAACAGTTCAATCCTATTTTAGTGAAAAAAACAGATGAGAGCGCAAAGTTACAATTCTTTTGCTATTTTCTTTTTTTGAACCATGTAAAACTAACTTATCATTTAAGGAGACTACAAAATATTTGCTTAGTTCGTGAGAACCAAGGGAAAACCAGGATGGCTGAGAATGGATAGCAACAAGCTGACATAAAAGCGTAATACACAAACAAGAGCCCATTACTGAAACAAACGATGACTTGGCTATTTTATGAGTTCAGTAGCTGGATCACGTACACATTTCAACAAAAGAGATGCAAAATGTTTAATTCGAAGTTTCTCTTCTGTTCGTGTAGAAGAACTTGAAGAAAAAAAGAGATTCGTGCTTATAATTGTGAGCATCATACACGGAAATTGAAAGATTACCAAAAGATGGGGCCATTTCCTCCAAACCTTCTTGAATGATTAAACTTCTGGGTGTCCTCAGGGTTGCCCTGGTTAACAGCAGTTTCGTTATTTTTAAGCACGAATTCTATAATAGATTGATACTAGCGCACTTTTGTGCTGTTTTCTCAACAACAGTATGGAGAAAAAGCCCGAGTATCGCTAAGAAAGTTTGTTTTATTTTTAATTTAATCGATTTTTTTTATATATTAGACCAAAAGTAACACTTGATGCCTTTAGAAACACCCTTCATTTTAGCCTCATGTGCCTTGAATTCCGACAGAAATGCGACGACCCATTTTCTACAGTCAAATTGCAATTAGCTTCACGAATTCGTCAGCTTTCTGCGAATTTTTTAAAAAGATAAGTCGTTAAACTACGTTTGGAGCCACCTTGAATCGGCGATGATTGAGTATCTTTAGACATCATCATCGAAGCAATAACTAAAAAAACAGTTGTGGTTGTAAAAACTGAGAAAACCGATTCAGAGCGATAAGTTTTTCTGGGGTGATAATCATACGGATATGGAAAAGTTTATTCCTACTGGTATTCGCCATTTTCAAATTTCATAAGAAAAGCCGCCAGTGAGGTGTCTTGATTTGTCACTTAGTGAATGAGAAGAGAAGCAGGTGGATTCTTCCGCGAGGGTAGAATAAACATACCCTTCACAGAATTTTTACAGAAACGCATTTTAATTTATTTTGCCTAGAAACTAACGGATACGATGAGGTCGTTTATTAAACATTTCTAGTCTTTTGAAAACAGCAAAAGGATTTCATTTCTGGAGAACTTTAGCAATTAATACACAGAGGTGAGTTTGACAGACAAAAAGCAAAAACAGACGAACCGACTCAGACGTATATGAAATACGCGAACGTCTGTAATTAAGCCTGGTAAGAGTAAGGTTAAGGATAACGTTTGCGACAAATGGAAGGAAAAGATTTCATCTCTCTGCTTTCAACTGTAAATTCACTGAGTGAAAATATTTGCAAAAGCTGCGATCGGAAGATTTTTTCCTATTTTTTCCACAAAGTTTGCTTTCAGGCATATGGGGAATAAATAAAATCTGAGCATATTTATTCTGGTACACGTAAACTCTTAGATTTTAAAACTCACTAATGTAACTATTACAACCGTTTTAACTATTAAATATAGGAAAGAAAATTTAGAATTCGCTGTTATGGAACATGTCAGTAAAATATAATGTAAGTGACAAGCAACAGATCGCAGCATTTTTCTATTTATTCATTTGTAGAAGAAAAGTAATTAAATTGTTCCCGGCCTGCTGTGGTAAAAGAGATAGGAGCAAAGGAAACATAACAAAGATAAACTTGATTAGCAGTGTTGCTCTGCATGAACTTTGAACTGGGAAACACCAAAAACACACCCGCAGTACTTTATAAGTCTCTGAGCTGTAGGCAAATAAATGACAATTAAATACTGTAACGGTGAATAGAGTCTACATAAATTTCACACCTTAGTTTGGAAGGATGGAAGTTCTTGTTGGTTTAAGAAATACTCGGTAATTCTTAAAAAACTATGGAATAGAACGCAGTTGTATTTGTAGTTCACTTGATAGCAATCCTTACGTTCTCTGAAAATAAGACCCTATTTAATTTAGTTTGAGTTTGTACGTGAAGATAGCCAAAGGGAGATGCATAGGAAATACGGAGACAATTTTTTTTGTAGCCTCAGGAGTTTGATTCATTGTTTACAGTGGCTTATAGTTCTCTAATATGTTGTTAGCAGATCACTTTAACCCCAATCTATTATTGGCTCATCTTTAAGGATATGAAACAGCTAAGGGGTGAGTCTCGTATTTTGTGTTTTCATGGTGGAGTACGGCATGAAATAAGGAGAAAGGGCGTACTTTGCTCCTGCATGTGGCTGTACACGAACTGTTTTGGCTTCTTAAAGAAAAATCGAACTTCATCCCGAAAAGGTACCCAATATTTTAAAGAAGTGTTCCTTAGAGACCCAATATCTTAAGGAAGTGTTCATCGTCGGAACATCTGAAAATGTTTACTCTCTGAAATAATTAATTAAATGAACCACAACATAACTGTCAAAGTGTGGATGTATATCTTTGAATTTACAATGTTATATTGACAAAGAGAGGCCCGGAAATTTACGTATAATTCGTATTGGAACAAATATTATGTGAAAATTGTGAATCTTTAACCAAATATTTTATACTTACTAGCGAAAAAAATAGAGTGCTTTTCATTCTCGATGGCTGAAAATAAGTGATAAATCCATGATATGTTTCTGAGTAACCCCACTTTCAATGGGCAGCTGTTGTACTAGGATTTGCGTAGAATTGTGTCACTAAAATTGCAAATCACTTCTCTCAAACGTGGTGTGCTTAGGGCTATTAGACATAATAACTGTTTTAACGGAAAATCTTAGATGTTGACGCATATGATAACATCATGTTGTTCAGTTGGAAATCATCAGTCGACCTCTTTGAATATCGCGGGTTTATCATGAAACTTATAACTGGTTTGTCGTCGCCGTAAGGGGTCAGTGTACAGTGGTGGAACTGCACGTTCGAAGAGCCTTTGCCTGCTTCCTTAAATAATAGTAACAGACAAATAACTATCATTCAATTTCATTTTGACCTGCTCTTTTGCCGGAATATTTTGCGCTAATCGACAAGCTTACAAAACTATTACGTTAGTATTCTTCTCTAGGGTTTCGACTATAATTGTCACCTCTGTGACTCTGGTCGCCAGAGTCACCAAGTTTATCATCCACTGTGGAGCCTTGCTTTCAGTTCCTGAATTGAATTTGTTTTCTATTATTTTTTGATGCCGATATTTAACTTTACTATTGATTTGTGACTCTGGTTACTATTAAGTTATATTTAAGACTATTAATCGATAATCAACCAAATCTTTGGTCGGGTTTTCGTTTACGAATATGTTAAAGGGGAGAGTGCAAGAAATGCTTTCTACCCTGATGTACAGTTTTTATATTCGCAAGAGGATTCCTTTTCCAAGATGCTTGAAAAAGCCTTTTATTTTTCGAACAATCCTTATACATTTCCATTTCGCGTACTAATTCTTCCTTACACAATTCTTTTCCACAGCTGACCGCCTACTCAAGATGAGCAATACAACTCCATTTAGCGAGCCTGAATCAAGTGTAAGCCAAGATATTCCGTACGAGGAACCTACTGCAAAAGTAGCATTTGAACCCCTACCAAAATGGGACCAAGCAAAAGAAACCTGGCAATGGGTTTGGGACCTCCACTGGGCTGGATTTGGGTCCCTTTTCGCACTTATAGCGCTGTACGCTCTTTGGTCACTAATTAACCTGGCGAAAAGGAAACACAGACGGAAACCTCTTCTTGCGATGGCGATAAGCTCACTTCTATTCTTGTTTGGTTCCTCGAGAGCTGCGTTCTTCTTCATCAACCCATACGAGTCCAAAGAATGCTTTCTGCCGACGAGTTGTCCGGTCATATTGACCAGAACATTATTCGGTATTGCGCTTCCGTGCATCACGGCTTCGTTTTTCCTGGTCCACTTAGCATTTCTCCAGCTATCGAAGCTTACCCTGTACCCTGAAAAACTACAAAGTGTGAAGTTTGTGAGTTGTGTGATTACTTTCCACTTCACACTTGTGTTAATCACAGAAATCGTGATATCACTGTCAGCCGACTGGAGATCATTCAGCATAGTTTGCGAGACGTTCTTCATGCTCCTGAGCTTGATTCTGTCTGCGAGTTTCATCTACAGTGGGAGAATAATTCTCAACTCTGTGCATGAAACACGGTTGTCTGTTCGACGGTTTGGAAGCCTTCACAGCAAGGACAGTCCTCCCTCGAATGTTGCGAAACTTGTCAAGATAACTTACATTACAGTGTTATTGGGATTTTTTAGCGTTGGGCTACAGTTGTACTCGATTTTTTTCATGCACAACATGTATTCCAATGAAAAATCCATCATACCTAAGCCGTGGCCATGGTTAATTTTTCAATATTTGTTTAGATGTGTGGATCTTGGGCTTGGATGTACATTAGCTTACGTGAATCCTAGACAAGTTCCTCACAGAAGACGGTCGAGAAGCACTATATTTTTGAGAAACTGCAAGCTGATCGCAGGGTCGTCATTATATGTACAGAACAATCAGAGCAGTGCTGAGAGCGGAGATCTAGCCTCACCGCCTCCTACTGCTAAAACTTCCGTGCGGACGCTGGTTGAGATTGGGATTGAAAACGAAGGAGGCAACTTCATCTTCCATGAAGAAGAGGATAAAAAATAACCGGTTTAATAATCTACGAAAACACGTCTTTAATAACCCTGCTTTGAGATGGCAAAGAGGAGATAGAGACTGAGAGCGCAAAACACATCATAAACAAACTGTTCTGACTCAACCCGTGGTATTAACTCAAAACGCACCTGTTTCCGCGTGGCACAAACGTGCTCAATCGCATGCAACACTGACAAACATAACGAAAACTGATGTGAATTCAGGTTTCGTTGAAAGTGATAAAGATCACCTTAGACATGACCATAATATTCAGTGATAAAGATTAATATATGAATATATTAATATATGACTTGTGAATGACAAGTGACGAGTAAATTAATTATCAAGCGTAAATAGCAACGAAGAAGAAATTGAAATTGCGCGAAAACGTTCACTCCGCAGGGTAATTATGGAGTAGTCAAAACTAAATCGCCGTAGGCACACTGGAAGACCTGTGAAAAATGTTTGACTTCGTTGCATCGAGACCTGTTAGACGGTGATAACTTGTCCACTATATTGTTGGGTAACGCAATAAGTTTACGTGACGATCAAACAACTATCTTTAGGTCGTTTCTATTCTTAGAAATACATCAATAAGTAAAAATTACTCTATGAATTAAATAGAACGTATTCAAGTTCTAATCAAAATATGTAAATAAAGGCAAAAGAAGGGTAAAGGCTGACAGAAAAAAAAGAGTTAGAGCACCATGCATGAAACGAAATAAAATCACATTGACACCAATTTGACGATGAGTTTATCCTTGCTTCTCATCGGTTCCTCCAGGTTTCTCACAGTGAGACAGACAACCACGTGTCTCCGCTGCGCTTCCCGAAATTCAATGTCTGTTCCCAAAAACTCAATGCGACAAATTTTACGTTCATTATAGTTCTACCTTAATATTCCTTTGACAATACAAGCGAACACGGCCGAGGTTATAAAAAAAAGTGTGGTTGTTCACTGAATTGATATAAATATAAAAAAGATATTCCTATGGCGGACCCGGCTGATTCTCGAACACATATCGTTTTATCTTCTCCCTGGGCTACGCATTTTTTGTCCGATGTTTTCGGAAACACGCATTATGCATGGTCCATAGATCAACGGCTACTACTCTTCTTTGGCTCCTGACATCAGATGCATATAACATATTCAAGGTTGTATAAAGGCTTCTGCTGACAGATGCGTGTTTTCTTCGTTTTCTCTGGAAGTGAATCAAGCCGATGATCATAGTCGTGCAACCCGTGATTGCTTTTTTCTCGGCATAGTAATACGCCAGCTTACGGGTGAGACATACGATTTTTGCCCTCGATTGTCGCTGAAGGCAGCAAGCCTTAGTTTAGAGCGCATCTGGTGGCTTCACATAAGCACACTTGGATTGGCCACATGTTACTAAATAAGCGACATGTTATCGCCACTTGGCGATTGGCTTTAAAATATCCCCATTCGCCGGATATCTTTTTCAAAAGACGTCTCACTTCCAAACCACCCATAACCTTCACGTTTTATCCTTGTGTTTTTCTTTTTTGCGTTTCTTGTGCTTCTTTTCTTCTAGTTCTTCGCTCACTTTACTCTTTTTCCTCTTTTCTTTGCTTCTTTTCTTCTCTTTTTTCCGTTTTCTTTTAGTTTCAGGCTCGTCTGCAGCTTTTTCTTTACCCCCACCGTGTCCTGCAGAGTCAACGATAAAGAGAATCACTGCACGTCAGTTATCCACCGACAATTCTAGTTCTTCATCACTGCCTAAGCGATATAAATTTGAAAAACGCAGCATCACTCTTTCAGTCAAGTCTATTACCCATAACTATTCGGATACATTATACATCCCTTTCACACATGGTATTTAGGGTGAACGACTTTGAAAACGCTTGCTTTGCTATTTAGCGTGGAAGGGAAACATTCTAAATATGGAGCTCTCTCTATAGCGTTGATGTGTGACCTTTGACGGCGAACTGGTGCGAGTTGTCTACAAGTTTCTTAGAGTTGTTGACGAATTGCTCTAAGTTGTTTGTTATTTCGGCAAACTCCTCAGAGTTGTCGGCAAACTCCTCAGAGTTGTCGGCAAACTCCTCAGAGTTGTCGGCAAACTCCTCAGAGTTGTCAGCAAACTCCTCAGAGTTGTCAGCAAACTCCTCAGAGTTGTCAGCAAACTCCTCAGAGTTGTCGGCAAACTCCTCAGAATTGTCGGCAAACTGCTCAGAGCCGTCGGCAAACCCCCCCCCCCCCCCCCCCCGAGTTGCCGTCGAAATCCTCTGAGTCGTTTGCGAACTGAGTTGTCGCTAAACTGCTCAAGGTTGTCGCTCTACTTCTCTGCGTTATCCCCTAAATGCTCAAAAGTGTTAGCAAGCTCCCCTGAGATGTCAGAGTACTATTCGGAGTAGTCCACGAACTCCTTTGAGTAGTCAGCGAATTGCTCTGAATTGTCGCAAAGCTGCCCAGAGTTACTGGTAAACTCCTCTGACTTCTTCAAAAATTCCTATGAGGTGTTGGGAAACTCATCTAAGTTGTCAGCCAACCAACTTGTAACAGTTCTGTGCAAGATGCTTAACAAACGAACGAATGAAACACACTCCTCAGAGAATGTGAAAAACTAACGAGTGTAAAAGATACTGTGGTAAAAATTTATTAGCAGACAATCCTCAGAGTGACCAAGAGACTACTGTAACAATCACATGACTGAGAATCCTAAAAGCATGCCAGATTCTAACTTAAAATGTTATAATGTGCAGCAGTAAATTTTTGCTGAGGTAAGAATAAGGATGCCAAGTTACAGATGAGTCACTACAAGATACACTAATATCACCTTCTTGAATGACTGAGTGCCCAGACACTGCTGCTTCTGCTAAACGACTCAATTCTTCCTCATCAGTATCACTGATAAGAAAAATTCAATCATCAGGATAACATGAAATATATATATATATATATATTTTACAGAATACAGTAAAATAACCAGAACAAACACACCAAAAGGAGGTTATACTGTCACAACAACCCACTTATATCCCCAAAATCTGTGAGGCATCAAAATAAAATGTAAATCAATCAACAAGAGAGATTCGTCAGACATTGTAGCCCTTTAACTCTTGTGAGTGACCAAGACAGAATTTCTCCTTTCAATATCTATGCCATATCATGTAGACAAGTGATGAGAATTAAGAAAAATATCAATTATGGGATTACTAATTGATCTGATATCAAATTCTCCAAACTAACATGATGAGAATCATTTGGCAGACAGTAAGGAGAATTGCTAATGAGATCTTGGGAGTGAAAGGGTTAATACATAACAACTTGAAATACTAGTCAAAAAAGTAGAAGACATAGCTTATAGTAATACACAAAACTGGATTAATGAACATTACAATTGCAGAGTTATGATCAGCTAAACCTTCAAAGTATTTGTGCCATTATATCAAGGGTAAATTAGACTTCTTTTGATAATAAGCATTCATTTGATTCCTTAAAAAAAATTAGAAACATTCATCAATACTTGATGTGCTCGGTAAAAAAATTATTTCAGTTTCACTTGTTTGAAACGGAAAAAGCCTGCATAGAATAACTATAACTATATTAGAAACTAGCCATTGCTATGGTTACTCAGTAGTCTTAATTGGTTAGCAGAGTATGCAATCTGATCTCATACATGATGAGCCTTTCTTGCAAAATAAACTTTATAAGATTTTTCACATTTTCCACATGACTTGCTGTGGTTGGATAAGAGAAAGTTATAACCAACATTAATGCTTGTGGGATTCTCGTTAATTACCTTATCATTATAGGAAAATAAACTCTTCCTTTGTGTAAACAAAGAACCTGCTTAAATTTGCCTCACTCCCATGATGTAGCTTTCAGTTCAGTTGGCTGTGGGGCTCAACCAGAATCTGGCAGCTATGTGCTGGAATCCTATCAAAGCCTGAATTATTTGACCCTCCTCCTTATGCACATTCTTTACTTGGAGTTTGCCTGCCAGGATTGTTTTGTGACTTTCAAAGTTTTGTAAGTTTTATATTCTACACCATTCATGAAAAGGCCAGTTGATTTTTGTAATATTAATAGCCCTGAGTCCACTTGAATGGCACAAATCTTACCTTTCACTGCTAACAGAGTATTTTGTATTCTTTCTAGCAACAGTAGAGCTAGGCACTTCCTTCACAGATTCTCCCAATATTAACTGATTGGATTTCAAGAGCAGTTTGATTCCTAAGGATTCATGTGAACTGCTGACATGGTCATCTTGCAAGTGAGTATTTTCTTCAGAGCTGGTATAACAAATAGGACATTCGTAAAGCCAAGTCTCGTAAAAATGCATAAGATCTTTTACCAACAATAAAAATACAATACATAATTGAATATGGATTGAATATTTACCAGATGAAGTTCTCATCCAAAAACTTTGAAAGCTTTTTTGCGACATGTTGTCTAAACTCAGGTGTTATCAATTCTGTTGAAGAACAGGTAATATCCTCTTCCTTTCGCCAATGTCTAAAATAAAAACAATTAGAGTAATTAAAGGCACACTGACCAAAGTAAGCCAGGCGTATTTAACAATGAAATGTCTTGAGGTAAGTTTCCAGGATATATCTCAAAAAAAAGTTGTATTTCTGGTGTAATGCACCTATCATCGGCCATCCCCTGGGGGGGGGACCCCGGGCAAGGGTGGGGACTTTGTAAAGGACCCTGTCAAAGTTCTTATTTTCCCCCTCCTAGGTGGGGACACAGAGGAATCAAAGTTCCCCTCCCTGAGGGGAATCACCTTGAGCAGCTTGAAACCTGACAAGAAAACAGTACTTTATACCCTTAACGAAATGTCATGTTTTAATAGTGCTTACATGTTCGTAACAATGCAAATTTCAATGTACTGCTAAATACAATTACACAAAAAAATGTTAACCAAAATACAGTGTAATACACGATGTCTGTTCAGCTGACTGACTGAAAGGTGGACCATGTTCTTCTGCACAACGGTCTTCATGTTTATTCATTTAAGACAACTTGAAATTGACCTGTTTCGTTTGCAAAGTCCCCTGTTTTCCCCGTGGTGCAAGGCTTTTGGAAAACAAACCTCCCTCATTTCCCCCACCTCCAGGGTAAGTTAATCGTTCAAATCCCCGTATAAGTCCCCATTCAACGTTGAATTTGCCTGGGTCCCCCCCCAGGGGATGGCCAATGATAGATGCATAAGATTTGTGTGGTAATGTAAACATGGAAAGAGTATACAGTGCCTCCTTTTTACAACCACAACACATTGTTGTGCAAGTTTTCCTGAGGATTTACTCTGACACAACTGTTTGGCACCTTTGAAAATTGCATCTATGGGGTTTCAACTTGTCAGCTTCGTTGAAAAAAAGATTGTGACAGGCCACGTGCCAAAAGTTACTTTTTATAGTGGGGAGAAGATTAAACAAGATAATAAATTTCACACTTTCATTCTGTTCTCTTTTCTTTGTTTCGCTTTGTTTTCAATTTTTTGCGGTTTTTTCCCTCGCAAACTATTATTTTGGAAATAAGGATTTATAGGAAATCTACTGGAAATAGGAATTTACAGGAAAAAGAGGTCTACGAGCTCAAGTAGCTTGCAAATGTACCAACGATAAAACTGACCTCAGACTTGGTTTGGACTTGGAATTAGATGGAGAAGTGCTATGTACCATCGCCACTTCTAGAAAAAGGACCATAAGCGTATTAAGAGGCAAAATTCCATTTCTTCCTGCAGGTAAATTAATTTTTTCATCATACCTGAGTCAACAACGTCAGTAATAACAGCAAACTTTGCCAAATCTTCTTCAGAACTATCACACGAAGAAGCCATGCTGAACTTTCAGTCATTACTTCCAGCCCACCCCTAGAAATTGATAGTTTTGCACCCTGAAAAAGAGGCTCTTTCTCAACTCCCAACCTTCTCTCAGCCAGAAAGGCGTAAACACCAAAGAGAGGCCACTGTCAAATGATAACAAGAAGATTGGTCGTTAAAATTTTTCCCGGAGAGGAAAGCGACGTCCATTAAATCAAGTTTTTATTGCGTAAATCATGGTCTAGCTTGGTAGATCTTCTTTGTGGCGATACCCATGGCATCAAATGTGCCGTATAGCAAGCAAAACGAACTGTTGAACTCGAGTTCGGAGGACTTAGACAACGAAGAAGATGCCGATATAGCGTTGCGAACGAAAAAATTCAAGAAAAAGGGGCGAATTCCAAGACCGATTGAGCCGAACGTCCAGGTACAAAATGATCAAGACTATGCCGGAAAGAGCGGAGAAGTAAGTGAAGACAAGGATCTAGGGTATGGAGATATATGGTCAGCAAATAAGGTAAAACGATTTCGACACAACATTTCGTACATGCGCGCGTGTGACTTAAAGTAACGGATAACAGGCATTTCTTGCACGGATGCTCCAATGCATTTGTCTTCGTTTTTTTCATCACCAACATCCAACGCCTGGTTTCTTACTTGGTCTCTCACGTACACACTGTACAGTGATCTTTATTTATTTATGACTGACAAACTTTGTGTGATAATCCAAAGAACTTAAGAATAAAGCAAGTCTCTATCTCTAAATAATCGCAAACCTAAAATAGCAGACTTAAACATCGCTGGAAACCGAAAGTCATCAATTTTTTCGGGTCAATTCCACCAAATTATTGTCTTTTATGTTGAACCTTAATTGCTGGCTCTGTGTCTTCAGGCTCTTGTTATGATAATATTAATTTTAAATTCTCAATAAACTTTAAAATTAACATACTAAAATGTAAATTTATAATTAACATACTAAAATGTAAATATAAAATTAACATTTCTGTTCTCTGTCCCTCTTTGTGTGGGTTGATATCTCACTTTGTTTTGCCCCTTTGAAGCTGAGGTGTCTTAAGTAGAGAGTTACCAAAGGGAACAGAGCTCGAGGATCCACCTTGGTAACATGCTACAAACAATGTGGAATTATGCAATAGAGAGTACATTGATTCAGTGAGATGTTAAAAACTAGGTTTGCCCTAACCACACTAGTACCTTGTTACTAGGAAATGTCATAACCGTAGTTAATAGGAAATGTCAAAACCAACCAGAACTTGTTCTTTAAAGGTTATTAGATCTAGAGGAAGCATCTGATTCTCCTCAAAATGAAAATATTTAAAAAGATTGGCCTACTGTCTGTTTACATGTACCTTCTGTCATGATTATAACAACATCTTCAAAGGTTACAAAAAGACAAAAAAGTAATAATGTCTGAGAAACACCAGGGTAAGTGTAAGATGAATTATCCTTGAGCATTGTCAAGGATTGTGTTTGAACCAGTGGGGAAGGGGCACATTTTAAGGGAGGTTTGGTTGGGAGACTCCTAGACCCCTTGTAGCTGTAGATGTGTCACTGCCTCCCTTTCTCTTGATATCCTAGTGGGCGGTAGTTAAAGCTGGCTGAAAAATAATAAAGGTAGCTCTTTCCCCACTGCCCTCGACTTATTTGCTTGCCTTCACTCCATGCCTTTGCACAACTGCTGCTGAACCAGAAGGGAACAGTTAAGATTGGTCTGCAGCTTATGGTCTTTAAACCATGATCCTGTTCGAGTTAAAAATCCTATCATTTTTCTACTGACATTGATAAAGACAAAAATTGTACACATTATGGCATAGTAACCTTTTAAGGTATCAAGCACAGGGAGCTAAAAGGGGAGAGGTGGCACAAATAAGGGAATATACTTCCTCCCGGGTTTGAATTTCTTAGTATGCAACGTAACACATTTTGCATGTGCTATTGACAGCCTGACAGTTCAGTGTAGTCAGATTGTGCAGGTTATAGACTGAATTTAATACAACTATCATAAAATTTTTAATTATTATTTAGTATAGTCTCAGTAATGGTAACAGTTATAATCTGACAGCAAAAACAAAACAGTTTCAAAAATATTTTCATGGCAATAGTGTGAAAATCTAAAGAAAAATCATGACTGTTTCTTTATACAATTGTTATGTTAAATACCATTGTTGAACAAAATAAAGTGAGTGGAAAAGTCAAATTTTCACCATTTAGGAGCAGTGTGTATTAAGAAAATTTAAATTTTAGTCATTTAAATATTATAATTACTTTCCTAAAGGACAAAAACCTTTTTAGAAAATTTGCTTTGACTATAGAACATAAGTTGTGAATAAGATCCAGCAAACAGATGGGTGTATGTTTCCTACTTATACATTCAACAATAAAAAGGAGGCATCCAGAACTTAATACTAGGGAATATTTGATAAAAATTTTTTAATATTAAGCATTTAGCATCATAACAATATTTTTTCAGTGAAGATCCCTCTCTTGGTAAATTATACTTTCAGTTCTTAATACTGTGTATAATTCATGATGCTAGTTATAAATAAATAATGAGAATTCTGAGATATGTCATTTACTTAAATTGTGCATTGTAAGCTTGGCTTTGTATTGAAACATACTTTCTGTATTTAATTAATTAATTAATTTTTTTCACTGCATTTTGGTCTTATGTCTGGAAAGACAAATAATAGATTTTTGCATTAATGAAAGAGGCAAAATGTATAATTATGTTATTACATCAAGGTATCACAGAAGGTAAAAATCATTTTTTTAATTACTCGAAAATATAACATCTAAAAATGAAAAAGATCTTTCAACTTCTTAAAATTTTATTTTGGTATCTTTTTTACTTCAGGAGATAAAAAGCAAAAAGTAATTTGAGAGTAGAACAAAAGGTGTTAGATTGATGACACTTCATGTCAATGTCATCACCTAACCAACCATTTGCACTGCTGATTTACTATGCACGCTATTACCATTTCGACATAGATAGCTACATATTCACATGTGCTACACTTAACCTTCTTGACATAATTCCTTACAAATTGTGTTAGGTCTTTGCTCTCTAGCATGCAACAGTGCTGACAAGCAGAACAGTGTCAAAGGGCTTGCTTCAATGTGATTGCAAAACAGCCTTCCCAGTTGTGAAGTGGAGACACATTTATGAAATTTCAAGTTTCTTTTCCTGGTTAAGTGTTTTGGTTTGAGTTCTAATCTCTCAATAGTTTATTCTTGGCTGGTATTCAGTTGGTTTTTCGTGAAACTTGAAGATAATGTTGGAAGTATAGGTAATGATCCCTAAAAGGATGTCCTGGATTTTAGATTTTTTCCTTTTTTCTTGAGATATAGCATCTACAATAAAAACTTTGTTCAAAAGCACTACTTTAAAGTTTAAAAAATGATTAAAAAATAATCAGATATTAAAATAAAAATACCAGACACTTTTTTAGTTCAATATGTGCAGATCATAAAAAAGAAACATGTTGATCAAAATGCATTGTCAAAATAAACTTGTCTTCTAGAACTTCTCAGCATGAAAGAATAAGCTCCCATTCTGTTCAGTGGTAAAAATTATGAAATGAAATGAAATATCAGAATTCAGTGTTTAATAAGCCACAAGAGAATGTGTACTTTTACAGGGATACTATGCATAATTTTCACACCATCTCAGTTTAAATGAAAATGCTAATTTTCCTTTCTGATACCTTACGAATTCCTATCATCAAATAATTGGCTTGATATCAGAATTCAATTTCAAGCAAAAAATTATTTTGCTGAAGACTGTTTCAGGTCTTCTCAGTGGTATATGTTGTGGTTAAATTTTATTCTTGGTTCAAATTTTCTTTTCTTTTGTTTTTGGGTATTGTTATGCATGATAATGAGTTTGAATGTGTATGTGAGTGTATGTATGTTGTGGTTCAGTTTCATCCATGGTTCAAATTTTCTTTTCTTTTATTTTTGAGTACTATAATGTATGATAATGAGTTTGAAACAAAGGGAAATAAAATTTGAACCAAGGATAAAATTGAATCACAACATATACAATATTACTGTGGTGAACACTTGGTTGCACTTAGATCAATGCTGAGATTTTTTATGTGCCTTGTAACCTTATGGCTGCTGAGGTCTGTAAAATCAGTCAATTACTTGAGAAGTAATGGGTTTAAAGTGAGCTTACCATCTGACAAAGATGTAAAAATAACTGTATATTGGTAGCACTATCATTTAGTGTGATCCTACTATTTTTTTTATAGTTCCAAGCCTCTTCAAGTTCATTTGGAGCAAGTTCTGAAAGGAGGAAGACTGAAAGTGTTGGGTATGTGTGAAATTGATGAAAAAGCACAAAAAGTGAAATTATCTACAAGTATTAATTCAAACTCACCCTCAAAAGTGATGGTTGATTTGCTGTTCTCCATTCCTTTATAGTGGGTTAAAGTGAAAACACTCTCAGGACTATTTGTAGTTGTTATTTGAACCATAATAACTTCCAAAAAGAAATATGGTTTGGTTGTCAACTGTTGGTAGTCTTTGGGCTTTCTTATGGATTACAATAAAAAAGAGGAAATTATGTGTTAACAAAACTAAAAAAAAAAAACAGTTTCATTTAGAGAGGTTAATATAAAGTATAGCAAGAGAAAAAAAAAACTTACCAATGCATGTTTCCTCAAATATAAAATAACAACTCTTTTTGTCAGTCATGGTGATCATGTTGCGCCTTGACCTAGGTTTTAATTTTTTACAGTGCAAGTTCGTTTGGATTTGATTCTCAAGAAGATGTAAGTGGTTTCAAGAAAGAAACACTTTTGTAAGTATATACTTTTTTTGAATATATAATCTGTATCAGAGTCATATAATTTGCAAAATGTGTAGTTGTTTCTGATTGAATTGGCCAATGATGAATCTAGTATAGTAAGGTTTTTTTGGTGTTATGGTTTTTAAAGGCATTGCCTTCATTTGTAATATTTGAATTGTAATGTGTGAAGTGTTTAACACCATCAATAATTGTCAAAAGAGTGTTATTGAACTATTGTTAACTTGTGAACTTTGTTGGCATCATGTATATCAAGTGTGAGAACTTAATTGTGAAATAGTTTCCTAGACTTAACTCAGATATTCTCTTGCATTGTTTTCTTGGCAGTTGGTTAAGACATCCCAGAATTAAAGAAAATTGGAAGACTGTCACAGCTGCCTTTTTGTTGTTTGTGGCTGGAATTGGTGTGTATATAATTATTTTTTTTTTACAAAAAGTAAAAGTCTTCATTAACCAAACTGTGTTCAAGTTGGTAGAGAAATAAATAGTAAGAACAATTTTAATTAATATTTTAAAGAATATTGTGTCCTTTCCATAAGTAAGAACTTTTGGGTTTGAAAGAATGATTTTAATAACATGGGTCATCCTATTTACTATCATTATTGCCTATTTCTTACAAACTGCTTTACCCTTATTTGATGGAGTGGACAGCATGGTAGGCTTTCAATCAGTGGATCCTGGGTTTGCATCCTGCTTTCACCATCAGATGAATTTGTTTTGTTTTTTTTTTTGGAGGGGGGTGGCAAACCTTAGTTCAACTCCTCAACCATGTCTGTAAATAGCAAACTGATTTACCTCCTGCCTTTTATGATTTATTATGGTAATTGTGTTGTAATTGATTCATGTAGTGTGTTTCTAGATATCTGTTGCGAGCAGTTTTAATCAGTGGGCCTGAGTGACAACTACAAGGCCAACAGTAAATCTGTCACACTGATAAAGTTGTTTTGTTTTTATACAATGCAAATTTACCTTTTTCCCTTTCTTCTTCCTCTTTTCCAGCTTTCCTGTTAGCTGGAATAATCCTTACTGCTATGAGAGAGGATGGTTTGTAATTTTATGATTTTCAAATAGCTCTTATCAGTCCACCCTTCTTTCCCCCCCCCCCCCCATAAGACTTTATTTAAGGACCACTTTAAACAGGGCAATGCATTGCAAGCTTGTCATAAAATAAGGATGCACTTTGGTCTGAATGATCTGTAATTGATCATTGGTTCTAAACTTGATCATTCGAAAGGAACACACACAAAACTTATTACAATGGTAAAAAATCCCAACAGACCAAGTCAAACAAGAAAAAGAAACTTTTCATGAACTCTTTTACTGTAGGCAGAAAGATCACTGATTGCTTAATATTACCACTGATGGTTATTTTTTGATGTGCAATCATGGGCAAATGAAACTAATATTTTTTTGGTTTGTCTTATCCAGGAATGAAGATTGTGATATTTTTTGTTTGTGCTGCTATTTGCATTCTCCCTGGAGGTAATTGGTGATTGCCCTCAACCCTGATATGAACTTTATACCTACACTTCCATCTTTACTTTGTACTCTGGGGCCCTTAATGCTGTATTACTAAATTTGTGAATTTTTTTTTTTTGCAGGATATCACATAATTTACATATACAGAGCTACTAAAGGACAAAGAGGATATAACTTTGAGAGTATACCCTCATTTCAGTGACATAGAATATAACTTTTTTATGGCTGATTAATGACATTACAAAATATTGGGTGATAATTGTTATTGGTGGTGAGAATAATGAAATCCCAGAATTGGATAGGTTCAGAACCCTTGATCAAGAAAGTCTCTGTATTGCATTGCACTAAAACTATTGAAATGAAAATGATGTGTTATTTATTAAATCTTGAAACTTTTATGGAATCCAGTATTGGCTATATTGTGAAATACTACTTGAAGTTTCTTTGAGTATGTTTTTTATCATGATAATTGGTCAGAATCTGCCGGGCTGTCACGACTCTAATAAATTGAGCTGCCCCAGTGGCATTCAGAGTTTGAAAAATCTCTACAAGCTTCCCTTTCATCTGTGAACAGGGAATGCAGAGAAAGACTCCATGGGCTAATTAGCATGACTTCATTAGTTTTTCCTTTTTCATTTGGTTTGATGGTACTTACTCCTTTGTGTTCACAAGGTAAAGGCAAAAGACTGTTTTTGGTGGATCAAAATTAAACCAATATATAAATATCCCAACTATCTTTGGTTGAAAAATTATACAGCTTACAAGAAGGCGTTTAAATATTGCAATGTTAAAATAATGTACGAGGGCCAAACATTGTGTAATAACCTAATTAATGGACTTATTAACTTTAATATTGTTTTCTTCATGACTTTTTGGTGTTATGGTTTTTAAAGGCATTGCCTTCATTTGTAATATTTGAATTATAATATGTGACTTGTTTAATGCTATCAATAATTATCAAAGAGTGTTATTTATATTAAATCCTACATGTCAAATCAAACAAAACTGTTTATTTGTTTTCACTGCATGGTGTTGGTCTGTTTGAATTTTCAGTTGTGGAAGGATTTTGTAATCTTGATTGCATTCTTCAAGAGTCAAAATCAGTTTTTCAGAGACACCAAAGAAATGAGAACCAGCCAGAACCAAGTCTTGTTATGGCCCCATCAACAGCCACCCACTCCCTCGCTTTCCTCTAATTACATTGCAGGAAAATGTTATTCAAACATCCTGTCTAATCAAAGGCTTTGAGGGGGGGGGAGGGGGTTAAACAGCAGGTGATTTTGGGAATCTAGTACTTTTTCCCTTAGTCCATTTTATGTTGAAAGCTCAGCTCTAGGACACTACTTTTCAGGAAGTCTCTTTTAGATGCCCAATCTGTATTCCTGAGTTAAAAAATGTTTCAATCAACTATGAATCTGTTAACCCGGTTGAGGTGGCTCCTTCATGAGACAACTCTCTTTAAACTTGGAGCCGACGGTGTCTCGTGTAGAGAGATCTCAATTTAATTAATTTTTTCGTGAATGTGGGAGAATCGCGTTTGCCGCTTCCGCCATCCCATTAAGTGTGAATATCTTTGCCAACGATCTTTTTAGACTTGAACCAAAGTAGCAGACCGTCTACTTCCGTGCTCGTACCTAGACCTCCCACGTTCATTGAGGCCGAAGAACCAGAAACAGGAATAGCTCAACCTCTCGCTTTATCTAAAAACAAAACTGGGACAGATGTGAATTATTTAGAGCCTAACGAGTTTTATTATAGGTCCAACAACTACAGATTTCTTCTCAATGATCTTGTACCCAAATATATACGATCTTACTGCATATTTCGCCAGAGTGAGTCAAAGTGGCCAATAAGTTATGAATTCTCGTTCCTTACTAAACTTAGATTCTTTTCTGAAAGCTTCGCGTTGTAGTTACCATGGGAAAAACTACTCCTGATCTTACCTAAAATAAAACAAAACAAAATAAAACAACTGAAAAAAATTGCTAAAAACAATTTGTCTTCAAATGTGAAGATAAAAATATGTCTTTGGCAGGGCTCGAACCTGCGACCTTCCGCGTGTGAGGCGGACGTGATAACCACTACACTACAAAGACCACAACGATATGTTTGGGGAAACTTTAATTAATTAATTCTTATTTTCCTTGGTCCTATCGCCCTCAGTTTTTTCTCTTTCGGCCTTGTGATAAATGCAAATAATTACTGACTAAACATCTGCTTGAACTGAAGAGTCGATGAAACCTTTTATTCCTCAGCTGGCAAAGCTCTTATCCTTCTGTTAAGACCCACAACAATTGTCTCTCATGACACAAGAGTTCCTATGCCTGACTTAAAGAAAGAATACCCGTTGAAAATATATCGCCCCAGACTTCACTGAGGTTACTTTTTTGGTCTCGACCGTCTTCATCCTAAATTCACTCCCTCCTTTCTTTCCTTTCTCAATTCCTTGCTATTTATCTATGGATCAGTTGACCTAAAAATTTACTCAATGAACAACTGCTCTTTGTTTCACGCACATGTGCAAAAAGTATTGTTCCGAAACGTTAATCCCGGAGTCCATTTGGCGTCCTTTGTCCAGATTCAAATTTTCTTGATTTCCCCCACGCGGCATTTTCCGCGCTTTAATTACTTCCAGCCTTTGTTCCTTGCCCTCGAGGCAGTTTCCAAGCCTATTTCGTCCCATTTTCCTTCCAAACGTCACCCTAGGTGCTTCTTCGATTCTAGAAATGCCAAGGAAGCGTAAACATTCGAGTGAAGAAGAAGAGGAGGAGGCAGAAGAAGTTGAAAATAATATTCGAGCGAAGCGGCGCGCTGCTGTGGAAGCACGTGATCGAGTAGCGGCTAAGGAAGGCGCGAGCGACGATGAAGACGAAGAAGATGACCTGGATGAGGAGGAGGACGACGACAAAGATGAAGATTACGAAGGGGAAGGAGTAGGAGATGAAGAAGGAGACGAGGAAGGTGATGAAGATGATGAGGAAGAGGAAGAAAATGACGGCGCTGGAGGAGCAGAGGGCGAAGATGACGACGAAGACGATGAAGAAGTCGAAGATGAGGAACAAGAACCGGATACAGTTGAATGCATTCTGGCTGATTTGGAGGAACCAACGTCAGGTATTTTATCTATTTATTCAGCTATTTTTTGTCTTAATTTCCGATAAGGTTGCAAAATTTTTCCACGGCGCTTCGTAAATTGCTATTATCCCTCGTTTCGTGATCAAATCGCGTGTTCAGTCGCGCGCGATGGAACACGACTACAGGATTTTGATTGAAATATTGAGCTCGAGTTTAGCGTGTTTTCGAGATAAATGTTTTCCGCCGGATCATTATTAGGAGAAAAAAGTTTAGACAGATACGTAACCTAAAAAAGAAATTCTCCGTGATTTAGCTTGTGTGTTGCTGAATCCCCTTTTGTCTCCTAATCGTCTTTTGTCAGGTTTACGCGGAGCACGTGGAAAATTTTCTGTAGTTGGGAACGCTCTCATGATTTGGCAGATCTTTTGGTTATTTTGGCTATTCTTTATCGGCACAGCTGATAAACTTGTGTTTTAAACCACTTCCGCTTGGATTCTTGATGTCAAATTTAATTTATAAACAAATAACTAGTCGTTTGATTGTAAGTTGCCAAAGTACAAAGAATTAAGCGTTATTCTATCTCAAAGCTTTAAATCTTTGACGGATAAGCGAAAAATAGTTGTTTGCTGTCTTAGTCTTGTAAGTTCATTAATATCATCCTTTACTTATATGCATGTGATTAAGGAAGGCATTAAAGATGAAATACTCTGTTGTGTGGCATCTACCAATAGTCTGTGGCTAGATCGTTGCACTGACGTCATAAGCTTCAATCATATAATTTTAAGTCTTTGACTTAGTCACTTAGAGCAGATAACATCTGTAATACCGTTTGAAGATTTAGCACCTAATGTGTTATTATCCAAATACACAGATCTAAAATTGGGGAAAGCAAAATTTGTGTTTAAGATAAACTTGAGAATACCTTTACCAAGACATTAAGAGATGCTAAAATTAGGATAAACTTTTCCAACGATTTTGAACTCAAAGGAATTAGAGGATGGGTTTTGATCTGTTTGATATTAACTCTGGAGACCTAGCAGTGATCTGAAATACCACCCTGTACACATGAAATATTGTTATGACCTAATAGTTATTATGGTGATATGGTTACTCTGAAATTTCTCTTCTTGACCCTTTGATCTTTTAAGAGAAACTAGTTTCTAATTTCTCCTTCAGTATCATCCCTGAATCACACATTATGGTCAGGAGAATAAGTGAAATGATCACTAACAAAAGAAACCCTTAATTGTTGAAAAAAAAACTCACCTTGTCAGCTCACTAGGAATTGTATAATGGAAGATACAAGGGTGCAAGAAATGATTCTTAACACAAGGTTTTGTATTATACATCAGGCTTAAAAATACTATTTTTGAAATTTTACAGATACTCCAGGTTATGTCTTAAGGAAAAAAGACAGCCCCAAGAAAATGGAACTCTGTTTTATGGGAGAAATGAGGGAAACATTGGTTGATGTCACCGAAGCTTTTCAAGCACATTTTGAGGAGAAGAAACTACCTGTTCTTCAGATTACAAAATTTGACATGATAGGAGATACCAATGATACAACACAGGTAAGTTACTGAGTTCAAGGTCTCATTCATTAACATTGTTCATCCAGGGTACCCAATACTGTAATTTCTTGTCTCATCTGTAAATTGCTAGTAAAGGCAGCCAATCAGGTTGCCTGATTCAATCACATGGCTTTTAAATTGAGTCCTAGGAATAAAGAGGGAAGGCAAGGTTTCCACACCCAGTGTAAAAACGTTTCTAAGTGTGCTCCTTAACTATTAATAAAAAACTGTTGTTAACTTTTGCTTGCAATCAAATTTGTAGCAGTGGATATATATTATTGCCAAGTGTATCATAAACTTTATTAGTGTTCTAGTAACATGACATTCAAAAGGCATTATAGTTCTTTGAATATTTTTCTTTGTACTCACTCAGTGGATTGTTGTTCTTTATTCACCAGGTTGATGTTTTGGAGATCAAATATGACAAGGCATATGACATCAGAGAATTAGATGATGACAGTGATGACATACTTTCACAAAATTTTTATTGTGTTGTCAGAGTAGAAGGAATTGAAGGCACTTGGGCTACACAATATTTTCTACCAGAACCTGAGGACTGATTTGAACAGGGTTTAGGCATGATTGGGGGCATAAGCTTTCAGAACTAGCACATCTGTAAAAATGAAAAAGAAAACGTGCTTTTAGACCACAAAAAATTTGATGATCTTGCTGTTTAGGTGATACCTTTGTACTAGTTAAAAGCACAGTATAAAGTGTGTTGTTCAATTTTTTGTTGTGTTATAATGTAACCTGGTATGTTTGTGGAGGTAGCTGTTAATTTTGTCTGTTGCTGTAGGTTTGATGTAAGCTACACTTAAAATTGAAAATTAATTTAGTTAGTATTTGAAATTTGGAAAGGCAGGTTAATGTCCAACTATGTCTGTGAGATTATTGCTTTGAAGCAAGGATCACAAGTAACATGTATGTTTGTGGTTTTTTGGTAAACTTTGTAGTTTAGATATTTGTAAAAAATAAATGAAAGTTAATAGACACTATATGGACATTTGCTTGATTTTTCTGAAGTATATCTGTAATGCAATTGTTGTTCTTCACCATCTTGGGAAAATTATTTAAACACAATACAAGTTGCCATGTTCCTGATGGACATTTGTAGACTGGTGCCCATGGTGATGCTGCACAGAGGAAGCTTGATAACCCTTTCTCTCCCAAAATTGAAATTGCAAATTCTATGCACTGTGTCCCATAAGAGGCTAATGCTTTCTGTTCTGAGAATATAATCTTAAAGCATAAGGCATTCATGCTTAGCTGACTCAAAAATTTAAGAGTAAAAGCTAACACACATTCCAACCAACTTAAAAGTGGAGAGAGAGCAAAGGATGGAACCTGCATTGGTTTTTACACATATACACATTTATATCTTATAGGGCATTTTGGTGTGTAGTACTGCTGAGTAATTTTACAAAATATAATGTATCTTGATAAGCCTGCAAGGCAAGTCAAAATACATTTAAAAAAAAAACAGTAAAAATATTCAGCAATACAACACATCAAGACGTCTGATAAGTTATTTATTGGCCAATTACATTATTTTGCATGCATTTCTTATAAGACAGGAAAACAACGCAAATAGAGAAGTGATTTGTGACAGGTCTCCTGCTGGATTATCATACAATACAACTAACCATCCAAATTACCACACAATATCATGGGATATTAGTATTAAACAGAATTACCACATCCTATCCCAACCCTTTGCTGAGGTATCTGATAGTTCATCAGTCCTTAAGTTCTAGCTGCAACCATCACTTGTTCTGCACCGTGCAGTATTCAATGAAGAACAACTGCCATCTCATCTCAAACATTTACATCCTTATTACCCTACATATCAAAATATTTGCACAAAGGAGACATGTTGTGATCAAGGTCTATGTTGTTGTTCTCTGTCTGTTAAAGGTACATATCGTACACCCATTAACTTTTGCCGGACTATATTTCCATCTTTGTCCTTGTCAATCTGTTCAAGCCATTGGTCACCACTGATGGGGCCTACAGGTATAAAAAGCCTGCCTCCAGGCTTCAGTTGTTCCAACAGGGCATCAGGGATGGGGTGAGCTGCAGCACCCACATGAATTGCATCATATGGTGCATCTGAAACAAACAAAATGTATCCAGTTAATCCTTGAATCTTAACACCCTTACATCAGTATACACATTCTACACAATGTTTCTTTACACTTTGTATAGTACTGACAAGAAGAATTTGTTTACAAATTAACAGCTTTTTATGGTGGTTATCATCTCTCTTATTTTCATGATTTATATGCTTAATTCAGAAGCGATAGGGCAAGTCTGTCTTCTAGCTACTACAGCTGCAAAAATCCCATGAATGAGATATGGGTCAGAATTTTTAGATCATGACCACTCCCACTTTCTCCCCTGACCCACAAACATTTGTCTGTGTTGTTTCACATATCTCCAGCTGTTGTTAAATAATGAGAAGTAGTTCATTTCGAGGCAATGGACAAATTTGGAACTAAATAAATGATTGGATGTTTCTAAAAGTAATCCAAGGAAAATCTGTGTGGACAATTCATTGATCTGAATAAACTCTAGAAGGGGATCACTCTAGAAAACAAGGTTGAAATTTGTCCATTGCTTTATTACTCTTATTGTCAACATTGGCAGGTGCATGAGAACGTTTCATATGCAGAAATATTGTTACATTTAAAGAATCAATCCTCGCAGTTATCAACACTACTGAACTAGTATTTGAAATAAGGCCTGAAAAAATTAAGGCCCATATGGGATTTGAACCCATGACCTCTATGATACCCATGCAGCTCTCTTCCAACTGAGTTGACAAGGTTTATTTGGATCCAACATAATGACCAGCTCCCATATATTTACAGCCATTATTGTCACATTTGTTTCCATAATTTTGGTAACCTACCATCTGCATATCCCCTTCTTCCATCCCCTATCACAAGAACTATCCTCCCACTGGTCATAAGATCAGAATTTTGTTGTTTTATATTTTTTTTAGACATCTCCACAAGTTCAGGAATATGGTCAATACCAATCACTTTTCCACTCTCTCCTACCATCTCTGCCATACATGCAGTTAAGTAGCCACTACCTGAAACAAAGAATTTTATTGGATGATATATGAAATATTTTTCAACAGATACAGCCCAAGGACTGAAGGGGGTCTTATTTACAGTGAGCCAGTTAGTATTGCAAGTTTGTTATCATTTACCAAGCCACCACTTGTTAGAAATTTATTTTTGTCACAGATCTTACCCTACTCTAAAAATTCAAAATGGTTGCTGATAGAAAGTTTTTCCAAATAAAAACTGAGTACTTAATTACTGGCATCATTCAAATTTTTGAGACTCTATGGAAAAAGATTTTAGTAGTTGCTTTTAAACCCCCCCCCCCCCACCCCCCAGATTTGCTTCATAATTCAATAGAACTTTTTCCTTAGAAGGGTATTTTGCTTGTGAAAGATTACTTCATCTTCATTGGAAGCAGCATGTAAAGAAGTAGCTGAGTAAGCATTATGATATGAAGGATAGGGTACAAAGGTGTAGCTAGGAGAAGGGGGTGTAGAATAAACCCCCAACCCACACCAAGGTATGAGAAAAAAAAGAAAAAAATTTCCTAACAAAACAATTACTATGGCTCTTCAATTCTAGGAAGACACTTTAATACTTTAATATAACCCCCTTGTTGGAAGATTCTGACTGCATTAGATAGAATTTCTGTATCATACCTGAACCCACATCCAAAGCCTTAGCCCCTTCATACAAATGGTCTTTGAGCATCTCCAAAGCGTGCGCGTGCATATGAGGAGCACTAATTGTCACGCCATATCCAATCGCCTGAGGAGAATCCATATACGGTGAGATACTACAGTAGTTTCCCCGATCTACTTTTCTCATAGCGTCCTCCACTCGTCGAGATTTGATGATTTTGTTCCGCTTAAGCTTAGAAACAAGATCATCGTTGTCATTTCCATGCGAGCGCCACTCCATGCCACTTGCATGAACTGGTTCTTGTGTAAGCTCCGGATCCTGTTGCTCCGCTCGTTCTTCACCTTCTGGGCAGCTTCTTCCTTCGCAGAAACCGGTTTCTATCTGCTGAGCGATTACATAAGCCAAGCCATAATATAGCATAAGTATCACACACCTCAAAGTGTAGTGGCTCATTATTATTCACAACACGAAACAACAGTGAGAGGCTGGGGCTGAGCACTATAAAATATTTCCCAGAAGACAATAGTGTGTTATGAGGAACATTCGTGATCAACAACATGGCCATGAAATTAGTTATAGAGACAGTGAAGGCGAGATTCCCTGGGGTGCCGTATATCTCAACTGGAGAGTTGTGGCAGCTTATGAAAAAAGGCAGTTCAAGTCAGAAGTTAGTCTTGTTGGTTAGTATTTTCCCAAACCTTGCTCCGATTTTGCATGTATTCGCTCGATCGTGTTAAACATACATGTATTAAAAGTTATCTAATTAACAAATAGATTCCAAGTAAAAAAGTTTTAATGATGACGTCATCTATACGTCTGTCCTCCAATAGATCATAATTGAGAACCAATCAGAATGCGTGCATAACTGAGCTTATTATATAATTAACAAATAGATTTCAAGTTGCCGTGTGTCTGTTCAGTAATAGATCACAGATGACGTCAAAACGTGGTAAGAACAATAAAGTGGCACACGAGGTGCAACCGAGTGTGTCACTGATGTTCTTACCACATTTTGACGTCCTCTGTGGTCTATTACTGAACAGAAGTACGGCAACTTGGAATCCATTTGTATTATATAATGAAAAATTAAACTATACGGTAAAAAAGTTTTAATGATGATGTCATCCATACGTCTGCCCTCCAATAGATCATAAGTGAGAACCAATCAGAATGTGTGCATAACTGAGCTTATTGTATAATTTTCATTGGACTTATTTCACGTTGGCCTTACGGGTTTGATGACTGGACTCTGGTTGGAGATGTTCAGATTCAGGTCATTGTGTTGTGTTCTGTTACCAAACACTCTGCTTGTTGGGGGGGTGGGGGGGTAACCTTCATCCAATCCAATACTCTTATCTTAATTCAGTTGCTTCATGTCATGGAGACAGGATTAAGCAATGGCTTGATTGGCCTCTTTGCTGGCATATTGCTTTCTACCAAATTGCGTGGGACGGTAAACAATATCACTAATTTTCCAACTCCTTAGGCTATGGCCAGTCCTTCTTTCTTCTGCATGAGTCAAGAGGCATCAGCTTAAAAATATACTGATGCTACCTGAACTACAGAAAGTAAGACAGGCTCAAAAAGAGGCTAGGAGACTAAGCCGAGGAGTTGAAGTTCATTACACCCATTAGGCAAATATATGATTGGCTGTTTGTCAGACATCTGTTAACAAGTGGCAACTGGTTGTTATTAAAACTAAAGATGGATTTACTGACTAAATTTGTTTTTGCCCCAGGCTTAGTGAAACCAATCTCAAGTTATTAAGTAATGATGATTTTATTTTATTTTGAAGGATGTTCGAGAAGAGAAAGAATTTCAAGTTAGCCATCTTTGCAGTGCCAGGCATGTTGACCCATCAACAAAAGACATGGACAGTCTCATGAAAACTATTTGTGAAACAGGTAAGCAAGGGAGAGATCTTTCTGCCTATGACCATTAATCAGGGGAAGAAAAACTAATGTTAAATTAGCTCATGAGTTAGGAAACTCATTTTGGTGGAGATTATTCTGGGACTATTGTTTTCCCTTCCTCCCTACTCCTCTAGTACATCAGAGGATTACTTCCCAATACTTCATCAGGCTCTCCTGACAATTTAATAGTAGGCATGTTTACTCTTGGCTGGAGAAGTGCACCTTGAGAGCCAAGTGTCTTGCTCAAAGTTACAATACAGGTTCTTATGCAGAGCTTGAAAGCTGAGCTTTAGATCTGGAGTTCATCACAACAGCCACCAAGCCACTGGGTCCCCTGCACAACCTGATGGTTAAGACACAGGATCTAAAAGTCTAGTTTTTCATCAAGGTGGGGTCAGTTTTTATGGGGGGCTCTTCTTACATTGGTGTTCTCTACCTTGGAGGGCGCTAGAGTACCCTGATAGGGTGCCATTTGCTACTCATTGCTGATTTTTGTAGCATCAAGAGACAAGGAGACCATGCTGTATTTGGATACTATTTCAGTATTGTTTACTGCAAACTCCTGGGTAGCAAAGAGCTCTGTAAGGGTTAAGTGTTAGAACACAATGACCCACCAAGGGCCTGCTGTGGTGTGTGGACTGTGAGGTCTAGCATAAATGACAGTTTATTATTGAAGTGTGAGTTTTCAATTATGATTACATACAATACTAACATTACTTAAAAAACTCATTACTTACAGTACTTACTCTACTAACAATTACTGACATTACTTGAAAAACTCGCTTTACAGCTTACAGAAACTTGCTCAACTAATAATGTTTACACTGCTAACAATACTAATTCAAACACTTATAATTACATGGAATACTGGCATTGCAATTGTCATGTTAATAGCTTTTTTTTACAATATTTTTAGTACTACATTACTTGCCATACCAATAGTAGCAATATGTTTTTAATCAATACATACATAAAAGATTAATAAATAGATAGATAGATAAACAAACAGATTAATAAATGAATAAATATATAACTAGATGATTGAATAAGTATAGAGTATGTTTATGCAGCAGTAGTAATCAGCATTGATTTCTTGGAGGCAGAGCAGTAAACCAAAACTTACAAAAGAAGTATGTGTCTGGGGAGAAGGGACAGTGCTACAGAGAGAGAGAGAAAAAAAAATTCGATATGAAATTGTCGAGTTATGTTTGGAAATTAAATATCTAAAAAGTTCCAGTATTTTGTTTTTGCCCATATCTTACATTTACAGAGAAAAATGGAGCTGGAGCCACTTTAAGAGAGGTGAGCAAAAACCAGAAATGAGCACTAACACCATCTGATACACTAAATATTTTTTCACCATAGGGAAATCATCTGAAGACAGTGTTCAGGTTGTGTGCTACTGTTCTGTGGGTTACAGGTCAAGCGCTCTTGCTCAGGAGTTGTTGTCTGAAATGAGAAAGCCTGCTTATGAAGAAATAAAATCAAAGATTAGGATTTATAATTTGGAAGGTTCAATCTTTAAATGGGCCAATGAGGGTAAAGACCTCGAAGACAACAGAGGAAGGAAGACTACAGTCGCACACCCTTACAGTAGTCTGTGGGGAAAGTTACTGAATGCAGAGCTGCGGTGCTCAGAACCCTCTGAATCTGATGAGAATCAAGAGAAAGATCAGAATAATTCATCACCAAAATCAAGTAAAATGTGAATGGTTGAGAAAAGATTGGTAACAGGCAGGAAGCTCAAAATTAGTTGCTGCCAGAGCAGAACAAACATTTAGAGTCATATTACTGTCTTCAAAAAGTAGCATACAAGGCTACATTATTAATCCTTTCACTTCTCAGAGTGACCAAACAGAAATATTCGCACGTTTTCAAATAAAAAGGTGATAAGAAGCAAAGAAACAAAATTTGAGATACACACAATCTGATTGTCCATTTACTATGACATCGGAAACCAACTGATTGATTTAAAAGTATCGGTGCTAAATAAAACGACGTTTGATAGGATATAGTGGAGTTTCATTGACTTTTTCCATAAGCGGCTACCAAAAGTGTAATATACGGCTGAGCAGGAAAAAGGGGCCGTAAGGCAAAACCCTTACAAGAGAGGCTAGTTACAAGCCAAACAAACGGCGGTAAGAGGTCTTATGGGCAGCGGTAGACCGCCGGTGAGCGCTTTTATTGAAACCTCTGACATAGTTAACTAATCATCTGGTCGAATTAGAAGAACAAATTATTTAAAAAGCAAGGAACGAATTGTTGTCTCCACTGTTTTAGGGGTATTAAATACACAACACATTGTTAATGAAACAGCAAGACACGAAATGAAACATTGATCTGTTAGACGTGGCAGGAAATACTGAATAGTCAGACCCAAATGTTTGTAATAATCTGCTGAATTCGGTAGAGGGTTTTTGACAAATGAAAATGGTCCTTACTCAAACCTACTCCATAGATTCTCCTAGTAGGTAAAGCTGTCCTTTCCAGTATCTGACGATAAATGTCTGAAATTAGTCAATGGTCTTCGGAACCCCCTTAAATATAAGACAGGAGCGTCAAAAGTTAAACTGGAAACGTCATGTTGGCGAGTCATCTTTGTTCAGTAAAACTGTACTTTCAAATGTCAGACGGAGGTGTACTCGTTAGTATCGTAATCAGACCCGAAGCTGAAGTGATGGTCGCAAAGGTAATCGTGGTACTTGGAGTACCAATGGTGGCGAGGATAGAGTAAGGGCTAGGGAAGGAAAAGTATCAAACCCTCAGTCCAATCATCAGCTGAGGTCTATCTCGATCTAGATTCTATCTACATCGTTCAACTTTTTGAAACCAAGAGATAATGAAACTCTTACTTCAACTTTACAGAGTAAGCCATTTCATACGGTAAATGGTTTGAACCAGGGGTAACATGTGATAGTGTACTCTGTTCGTCCGGTTTTCGGTAGTGGCGACTGACGTTTCAACAACTTGAGCAGAAGTAATTATCAGAGTAAAGTGACAAGCTGACTCTGACACTCAGGTTGTCGAAATGTCAGTCACCATTACCGAAAACGGTGCTTTTCAGGACTACACTCACCCGGACGATCAGAGTACACTATCACAAGCTATTTCATATGACATTTCTTCCCCACACCTTATTGATTGATATCTTACTCATTTCAGATTATGAGTGAAAGGAGTATAGGGTTGCTTGAGGCTGAGATGATTATCAATCCGAAAGGGTACAATGTAAAGATTTATTTAACAATATATATATACATACATACACATATATATATAACAATAGTCAAGGTATCTCAAAATAATTTTTCATGAATGATCACGTCTCTTATCAGTAAGGGTTTATCGCTGAATCTTGTTTAGTTTTAACCAGTATATTTTAGAGTTTCTTGTTGAAAATGGACGGCGTCTCGTGAATCAATTCCTCTCCAAATCTCTTTCTCAAAACCCTTGCCTTCCTTCGTTCCACTAGTATTTCATCACTTTCCTTAACGATTCCGACTCGACGTCTCGTCACCCACGGCATTCTGTCTTCGTACTGCTGCGATCTATCCCGCGCCGCGCGACTTGAATGAGTTTCGATCCTCTTGGCTGTCACATCTTCGTGATTTTTCGGCTGATCTGTATGGTTCTCTTCTTTGGTTTTCTGCCTTATGTTTCCACCTTCAAGATCAACCTGTACATCTTCAAGACTCAAATCATGATCTGATTGCGAGTTCCTGATTTCCGAAACGCCAGTTTCTTTTATCGTTGAATCTTTACTTGTGACTGGAGTAAACTTTGCCATGGTTGCTTTTCGGAAATCCTAAAAAAATTCAATTTTGGCTTTCTGTTTAGCCCAAAATTAGCCTTATCGTTAACGTGAGGTAGATGTAATGTTTACCAAAAACAGCTTGTTCCCTGCTTATAAAGAGAAATGATACAAGATGATTGACTGCGGCCGACCCAATCCACGCTGATTACAGAAGTCCCTGGAGTTAAGATGCCCCTCCCTAAAGTTTCTGTCGGCACTCACAAAGAGGTCAATGTCGTAACCAATATCACGAAAATAACTTTTCGAAAACAAAAAACTTTTTTCTTGAGTAAGGAAAGATAAAAAAAGACAGGACAGCATGGGACATGATCTAAAATTCTTGGTTACATAACCGTTTGAACGACTCTCTGAAAAATGGCTCCATCTCACGTCGTTCCTTTTCGTCTGCAGTAAGAGCATCTGCACGTAGGTGAAGAAAGAAGATAAAGGCGTGGTCAGAAAGGTGTTACTGCCATCCAATTTGGCTCTGAAGTGAAAATTGTTGTTTTTTTGCTAATCTCCAAATATGGAAAACCAAAAATTGCTTTTTTTAGCAAAAATATTTACCAAATAGGTAACACTAATTGAAGGTCTCCGGCAGGAAGTTATATTTCGTTATGAGAAATTGATGACGAAGCTGGGTTTACGGGCAGAATTTGTCACAAACTTGACAAAGAATTACCAAAGGCGAAAAGATCAGAAGGACCTCAACATCTCAGGGGATTACCATGTTCTAATCTCGATTCTTGTCGACGAAAAAAATCACTAATAGCCACCACAGGGTAATCCCGGATCACAGGTACCCCAGGCACTGACGACGAGACGGTTGCGCATACGTGTGGAATTATTACGCAATTTTAACAGCTTTGAATGTTGAGACTCCTGCGAGAATCTCGAAATAGATTATTGAAGTCTCTCATTATGTGACGTGAGGGCGTACGTGTGAAATTATTTCGCAATTTTAACAGCTTTGAACGTAGAGACTTCTGCGAGGATCTCCAAATAGATCATTGAAGTCTCTCATGATGTGACGTAAGGGCTTCAGATACTTTTCGTAGTTTAGGTAGTTTGCCTATTCTTACTTTGAGTTATCAGTGACTAATTATAATTTAAAACTTTGTTCATATTGGTTGTCTTGATTACTCTGAGTTTGCTATTTCGAGACTCAGTAAATTGCTAACTTCGTTACTGCTTGCTCTAGACTTGGTTTTCTAAACAGCACTCATAACAAACCCGTACAAAGTGACATAAGCGCTTTAGAGATGTGACGTTCCCTATCAGTTGCAAACATAGCGACCCTCGACACCAAAGGAAATTAGATCAAATCTTGATCGTTACTTTCCGGGAAAAATAACTTTAGGATAGTCCATGTGAATAATGTGCTCATTTTTCGAAATAGACAGAAATTCGCGTGAACAGACGGTAGAAAGGGTTTTAGAAGTTTATCTCGGCCAAACGTCTCTTTCATCGAATTTCTTATTTCAGTTTGGGAAAAAGTCAGTTCTTATCAGAACATTCCCATCGGTTTATGAGGAAAATTTTCTGGAATTTACAGGTATATATACTTTTTTCCTGATCGTGAAAGTGTCAATTTACTCTCCGTTCGACGAGATTGAAGAATTTCTCGTGGGCGTTGATCCTCAATGGAAAAAAATATACCATGGTGAACCCACATGTAGTGATATAATAGGCTGAATTTTACACGTGTTTTAAATGCTTCTTGGTTAAGATGTATTGGAGGGCAGACGCATACATGGTGTTACCATGACAGCATTTTGCTTCTTTAGTATATAACACAAATAGTTTCCATGTTTTCGTAGGTTTGTTCAGTTAAAGATCACAGATTACGTCAAAATGTGCCAAGAACATCAGACACACATAGCTGTGCTTCATCTACCACTGTGTTGTTCTTACCACATTTAAACGTCATCTGTGATCTATTACTGAACAGACCCACGGTGACATGCAATTTATTTGTTTTAAAGAAGCAAAAATGTTGTCATGGTAACATCATTTATGCGTCTGTCCTCCAATACATCATAACCAAGAACCAAGTAAATGTGATTCGTAAACCATTTTGCTTTGGGAGATTTAACTTACATAAATATTGGTCGTTTTTAGCCCTCTGCATAAAAGTTTTGAGGTGATAAGACTTAAAAAAAATCAAATCATAAGATATCAAACCAAATAAATGCGAAAAGCATTAATGGTTTAAATGAGTCCACTTCAACAGTAGGGTATAAGGCACCCTTTGAGTACACCTTTTACTAGAATTTCTCCATATGCCAAAGTAAAATGAGTGAGTACCAAGCTAAAGAGCTTTTATTACAGTTCTAGAGGCTTAATTAATTTAAATAATCTGAGACAAAATTGGACATGTAAAATACAAGTCTACAATTATCTAGGTATATGTTTTTGTTACCATGGTTTATAATTACACTTAACCATACCTAAACACAAAGTTAAAAGTATCTTTAAGAATACATAAGTTTGAACCACAGCATTTATAATGGATATTTCATTGTAGGAGCGATATGCGACCTTGTAAATAATGGTTTGTTAATGCCTGGTTAAAATAGTCAGTTCTATTAAATAACAAGACTAGTACAAAAACAACTGCTTGTGAATATTACTTATGACAGCTCGAGGTTACCATTACCCAATGTTATTTGAAATATTAAAATTGCTTATAATTTTCAATACAGCCCTCAATATTCCAAATATGTGAATATGAAAGCAATCTTTGCTGTAATGAACACAACTTGAGCACTGAGTAGTGAAAATAAGGCCTGAAAAAAGAAATTTTGGCCTGTACTGGATTTTAACCCATGACCTCTGTGAAACCAGTGCAGTGCTCTACCAACTTAGCTAGCAAGTCAACTGGGAGCTGATCACTACTTTGGTTCCATATAAACCCATGAAGTGATGAATAAATAACTGTGAATATATGAAAATCATAAATATGTGAACTGTGGATAAAGATGTAAATATGAAAGTGATCTTCGCAGTAATGAACACTACTTAAGCAGTAGTGAAAATAAGGCCTGAAAAAAGTTTAGGCTTATATGGCTTGCACATTAATATCAATTTTACATGAAATAGCCCCAGTCTTAACCAGGCAACCTCATTATTGAAGAAGCTGCCATAATTCAAAGTACCAGCATGTAAGTTTAACACTAGCCCATGAATCAAACCTCTTACTCAACTGGAATAGTCCTCAACATGAATGCATGAGTTGAGGAGTTAAAGTTGTTTTGTGAAGAGAGCACTGATCTCTTGTTTTGACATAGGTTTTGACTATCTTATTACATGATAAAGTAACTTCATTAAATTTTAAGTATATGAAATAGAATTTTGATATCCTTGAATCAGTGATTGTAAAACTATTTCTACTTATGTGACTTAAAATGTCTGCATTTTATATAAAACTATAAAAAATTATTGCTTCTTGGAGGGTCACAAGCCTCCCAATTTTACTGTTTATCTCAATTTTTGGCAGGATTTATCTTCTCTAAAATTTGTCTTAAGAAGTATGCATGCCATCTCGTATCTTCTGTCAATTCTGGATGAAAAGCAGTTGCAATCAAGTTGTCCTGAGCCACACCCACCACAACAGGCTCCTCTCTCTGTGGTACAGTGATTGTGGCTAAAACTTCAACTTTAGGGTTGTTAACAGACACCACTGCTGGAGCTCGAATGAAAACACCATGGTACCCATCATCTATGCTGCCATCACTGAATCCATTTGAACTATTGCTATGATACTCTGCAAGAAACTTATTGTGGAGACTCACATTTGCTTCAAAACTGTTGACTTGACGACCAAAAAAGTTCCGGGAGGTTGTGACATCAATACCACCAATCTGATGACAAAGATTATAGTGACCAGTGACTATTATAAATCTAATCAAAAACTATAACAAAATTCTGGAACATGATTGGTTATCACCAGCCTGAGCATTGATAGGACTGTGTACACATCATACTTGTGATTGGACTCTTAACACGTCATGCCTGTGTAAGTGAACAGAATGTATCATGCCTGTGCTGTTGTCTCACATCTTACCAAGTTGGCGTTTTTTTATGAAAATGTAAAACCGATGTCCAGTTTCTTTCTCAAATTTTGTCGCAGTTTTGATCAAGTAGTAACAGGACTTAATGTCATCCAATTCTGTCTGTTATCATACTCTTGATTTATATATCAGACTCCCACTTTGCAGTTGTCCCATTTGTTAATTACTTGTATGATTACAGACTGCATTGGACTCCACTCTGTCCTATTACCAATATCAATTTTTCTAGGATGGATATTTGTCACATATGAACCCAGTTAAAGCATTGCTCACTATCAAGGTCTCTCTGACTCCATGGTCAAGTGTTTGAGTAAAATCTGGTTTCACTCTAAGGTTTGATTCTTTGTGGGAAACTCAGACTTTCCTTGGACCAATAGAACAGATGGAAGAGTTTGGTTGTTTTATTGAGATTTTTCTTCCTTGATACAACTACTTTACAGATCCAACTCATACTACCTTTCAGATTCTTACTACAATTTTCCATCTCTTTCATGGATTCCCTGTCATGCCTGATGAGTCCCTTTAGGAACTCAGTAGACGAATCCTGAACATGCTCCCTGACACAGCCATCAGGGTTGTGCTCATTAATGTTAACCCCATGACCTACCACTATATGCATGTGGTGAAGGATTGTGGGAAGGAGAGAAAATAGATGGCCTGGATTGGTTTCCTCTAATAAGCAAAGGACTCAGTTCATAGACAGAGCTGGTTGCCAGTGGGGGAGGGGAAGGGGAGTAAGTGGGGGTGTCATGTCCTTGAGGGAAATGTTAGAAAACAATGAAAACAGAGGAAAAAGAAAGTGTGTGAGAGCATTACAAGCCTTCATAAGGGAATCAAGTGCTGAGCTCTGGGTGCTTAAGAGTAGAGGCTGGGGATACTCTATGAGGAATTATACTCTGTCACAAAACACTAACTATGTGATACTCCCCTCTCCGAGTTGTTCTGTGTTCGTTCAAACCAACAACTTACATTTGATTGTCCACCTTCTTTCTGACCCTCTATGTCATTTGAAAGTAAAATCAGTCCAGCGCAAGTTCCCCATACAACTCTCTGATTCTCTTTAGCAGCGATCCATTCTTTAAGAACCTCCTCAAAGTTACTTGCTTGAAGGAACAAACTCACTGTCGTGCTTTCCCCTCCAGGTAATATCAGTCCATCCAACTCTACCAGTTGATCTGGCTCTCTTACGTCCACAACTTCAATCTCAGTTTCCTTGCTGAGTGTTAAATCATTCGCTGCTTTGAGAAGGGCGGCTCTATGCTCGAAGAATGCTCCCTGGATTGCTAAAACACCTATCCTGATCTTAACACGAGTTTCAGACATGTTGTCTTCAGGGCGGTCTACTTCAGTGTTCGTGGCAAGATTTTGGCAGCTGCGAGGGTGGGGTAGGTGGTTTTAAGTAGTATGTAGAAGATTTTTTAGCGCGAATATTTTTACTATGTTGTCAATTATTAAGCCTATGATTGCTTATTTACAAAGGCTTTTATAAACCCTCTACACTTTGTTAACATTATATCTCTGTGGTACCTTAGAGCTTCACTTCCTGAGTGACAACATTAATTTACCCTCCCCTCCGGGGCTAGTATTGTTGAGATGGAGCCCGCGTTGTTCGTCGCCGACTGCTCACGTGTAGTGAAAAAGTACGGAACGTTGTGAAACTTTCAGACGTTGTTGCGCGAGATTACTCAACGAAAGGTCCCAGAAGAGGAAAGGAATATTAGTTTCTAAATCAGTCATGGCAGTCCCGACGGTTAACGGTGTAGCACACGGTTAGTTAATAGTTCCTTTATACCCCATTTACTTTAAGCACACTTCAGCCGTAAACAATAATTTTACGAAGAAGTTTAGGATATGTTCAAACACCCCTACTTTGGAATTGTAGGGTATAAGTTAAACACATTTGCGACAACTTGAATATCATTGGTGATACTCCTCTGTTTATCATTTTCTTAGTGAACATTTTGTTCGGTGGTCGATATGATTTAACTTTATTAAAGTGAAAAGCACCTTAACTGAATTATGCAATGGCTTAAGTTAAGAATCCACGTTTCGCTGCTCAATGACAAAATTCATTCGTTATGTAATACAATGTGAGAACGTTAGTTAGATTTTCTAGACGAAGTCGTGTAGGAGACAACTTATTAGAGAGAGTTGGTGTGTTTTTGTCTAGGGTTTTCGGAAATGCAACCTAGTTTATTGTTCACGACAAAATTTTCGTTTTGGGAGGAGCCAGTTGTAAACTCAAATCCAACCTGTTTGCAAGAGTTTGAGAAAATTCACTGAATTCCTTTCTGAAGTAGAGAAAGGAATGCTAAAGTTGTTACGAAGTGTCTTTTAAAGGATAAATGGAAAGGAATACCAAGTTTACATTTGAGTTGAGGGGTAGTATTTACCAAGAGAGAGTGTTAGATTCACGTCAGGAGTGTTCTCTGTAGACGTCAAACCGCGGTCAGCAGTTTTTAGTTAGAGGGTAGAGGTTTCCAGACTTTCAGCTTTTTAGATTGACGTTAGATTTCACCAGAAAAAATTAATAAGTACGGCACTATCTTGAATTACACAAAGGATGGAGGTCCTTTATTTCAAACACAAAATGTGGCTAAAAGATTTGTTTGCTAGCATCCCAAACGGAATGGTTATAAAGAAAAGACTTCAATTCACATATATCTATAGGACATACTAGAGAACGTTCAAACAGGAAGACAAAAAGTATCAAGGGAGTTTAAATACCGGAAACTTCCTTGCCTGAGGTTCAAACGTGGACAGCAACGGGCAATTGGCAAACATGACCACTGGAGTCTGGTCACGTGACTCCTAGACATTTATTGTAACACATATTCAGAAACAAATGTGGATTTAAAACTCCCTAATGTGAAATCATCAAAACCCACACATGGGTACAAATTTTAATAAATTGCTATTTAAGATCTCATTGGACCATTTGTCAATATCAGGAGAAAATACAAAATCCTGAAAAAAGAACACGAGGTATGGTTCAAGGGAAACTAGTACCAATGAGAGGAAGGTGTCAAAGTCATTATCATAATCTGAAAGGCCTCTATCAAAGTGTTATCTTTTTGGTGGACATTTGTCTGGGATGTGGATATGCTAATTTTTTTTTCCCACATTGTGTCCTGCACTCTTTACATTAGGACATTTATTAAAACAGAGTGCAGTTTAAGAGGATTATGAGTTCATATCATTTGTTTTAGGATTAAATCCAGAATATATAGGATTTGTACTAATTTATCACGTGCTGAAGATACACTGTATTTTCCTTTTCCATCCTGAAGAATCAACTTCTTAGACTTGGTTGTTAAAAATAAATATAGATTTGGAGTTTAAAAAAAGTTTTATTGTATTTATTGGTTTCTCTTGACCGTTTTTTTTTAGATTTACAAGTGGAAGTGAGCAACTTGACTTTAAATGGCATACCAGCGGAGAAAACTACAAAGGATATCACAGTTTTTCAACAGAAGACAGGTAAGCCTTTAAAATTTTTCTTTTTACTTTTTAGGTCACCTAAGTGAAAAGTTTCCAGTCATGCAATTTTAATTTTAGAGTAGCCAGCTTTGTCTATAGGTCATAAATACAGGTTTACCAATACTGCCCTCATTCTATGCTTTTAAAATACAGTGGAACCCTGCCTTATGCCCTCTCTTTTATGGATGGGCAAAACAGCTGTACATTTTCTCATAAAAATACCTTTGTTAATGCAGTCATCTGTTAGTATGGCCAACAGCCACATTTCAAAATCCCACACAGTAGAATCCTTGTTAATCTTATTCAGATAATACAGCCACCATTGCTAAATTTAGAAAACCTAATGCCTGATATGTTGATTTCATTGCTTTCTGTTGTTTTCTCATCAAACAACCAATTCATTTACAAGTAAGAAACACTCCTTCCTGTTTTCATCAGAAACACGATAGGAAATAAATCTTGAGTCTAACATCCACTCAGGAAACTGTGAAATGATTAGGAAATTTGACCCTGCCTCTGTAATACGGCCACTTTGTTAATACAGCCAGTTCTTTTTTTGCCCATTGATGACTGTACTAACAGGGTTCATTAGATATGTTTATTCTGGATTATTGTAATATTTTCACAAAAGCAATATTGAGCAGTCTTACACTGTTGTCAGCAAAAATACAAATTCTCAATACTATTTCAAGCTCAGCCATGTTAAACAAGAAGTTCAGCATTCTCCTTTTCAGGCAGTAACCATGAAAATTTACCAACTGTAGTAACTCTTCTTATGGCCTAAAATTGCTTAGAATTCTTCAAAATCCAAGCAGTAAAATTAAATAAATTATAGTTGTTTACTTTAAACTAGTTTCCCTCAGTTTTAGGGAAAGCAATGATTAACAGGTGTGGATTATTTGATGGTGTCTGATTTATGTGATATATATCTTTTTGAAAACTTGAGGAACATTTAAGGTAAAAGCGGGATTGGCGCAGATGGCTAAAGGAGGTATTATAATGGATGTTACTACAGCAGAGGAGGCCAGAGTAGCTGAGAATGCTGGGGTAGGTTTTGAAATTATTTCCTTACATTTAATATCCTTGTTGTAGGTTAGTCTGTTAAAAATACTTAATTTTGAACAATTTTAGAAATGCTTGAAAATGAATCTATGACTTGATCATAAGTCTGATTTTGTTTGGGCTATTTTGGCACATGATTATTATAAACAAGTAAACAAATGCTGTGCTCTGGTCTGTGTTTTAGTTACATATGCCTGGATACAGGTCACAATTGACTGCATGGATACTACAGTGACCTTCATTAAATGTCATGTAATCATTCTGTTCTCTGTGTTGAGGATTTAGATCTCTCCTATTGCTGAATATGTGCCATTTTGTTTTGGTTTTCATTAACTTAAACCCAAAAGCTGATAGATTTTGTGTAAAAAAAGTCACATGTACACTGTACATCACTCAAGGTGGTATCATTAAGGAAAGGTGCCAGCATTTCAGTTGTGGTTAATGGCTTAGGTTATAATCTAGAATTCTTGTTCAAGTTGTCAAGTTAAAATTTGAGTGACATTTAACACTAGATATGTTGTCTTGTATTTGCAAAGGCATGTGCTGTAATGTCTTTAGAGAGAGTGCCAGCTGATATTCGTAAGCAAGGAGGTGTAGCAAGAATGACTGACCCTAAGGTACTTAACAATTGCATCTTTACAGTTCTAGTCTTGCATTTAATTAAGATTTGTTCAACCTTGGCGACCATCTACTTGGTCAGTTACTTCACATTTGAGTCATTTTATTCTGTTGTAGAGAACAAAAGAAATCATGAATGCTGTCACAATCCCAGTGATGGCTAAGGCCAGAATTGGACACTTTGCTGAAGCACAGATTCTGGAGGCTATTGGTGTTGATATGATTGATGAATCGGAAGGTTAGTTGGCCTTCTTAACCTAAATATACCCTTGGATTTCTGCAAGTATCTCTTAGTCTCATTGGTACCTGACAGACAAATACAACGTGTAACGGGATTGTCAGATAGCTTTTAATTAGGAGGATGTACGGTTTGAAGAAGAGAAATTTCTCAGCTGAGTAAAAGGGTTTGCTAGAGCTGCCCTGTAATTTTCACGGTGTAACTAGGGTTACAATTTGAGGTCAAAAGGACATTTTTGTATGGGGTTGTTTGTGGTGTAGAAAGTCTTATTGTAACTGATGTTGGTATTTATACATCAATGTTTGTTGAATCCAACAGTGTTGACACCGGCTGATGAGTCACATCACATTGACAAACATAAATTCACTGTGCCCTTTGTGTGTGGTGCAAGAGACTTGGGAGAAGCCCTTCGAAGAATTGCAGAGGGAGCAGCTATGATAAGGACTAAAGGACAAGCAGGGACAGGTGAATTCATTTTTACATGAAAGTATTTCATCAATTGAACAGAGATACATGTAAGGGTAAGAAAGAATGAAAAAAACAGCCTAATTGTGTTCTGTAGCATTGTTGAATGTTCATATTGAAATTTCATTCAGAGTATTGACTATTATTGTACTTTATAATTGTAATTTTTTTTTTGTGTCAGGGGAAGGTTTTTAACTGTACCTAAGTGTGTAAGATGCTTTGACTATTAAAAGTCAAGCTAGAAAGAAACATTAATGAGCAAATAAGCGCTAAATTGAAGCAAAGTTATAGCAACGTCTTATATTTGTCTAAATATTCTCTACTTATAGGTGATGTTGCTGAAGCTGTTCGTCATGCAAGAACCATTCGCAATCAGATTCGCCATGCTCAAGCCCTAGACTCAGCAGAGTTGTTCACCTATGCAAAAGAGCTTAGAGTTCCTTTTGAACTTCTTAAAAAGACTGCTGAAATGGGGCGTCTTCCTGTAGTTAACTTTGCTGCAGGTGGTCTTGGTAAGTATTGGTTTGTCTCACTCTTGATTTCAATGCCATTATTTTAACAGTTCTGTGGCTAACTTGTTTTTATTCCTTATAGCTACTCCAGCTGATGTGGCTTTACTGATGCAGCTCGGGGTGGATGGTGTCTTTGTTGGCTCTGGAATCTTTAAAAGTGACAACCCCAAGAAAAGAGCGTGGGCAATGGCTCAGGCTGTCACTCATTATAACAACCCCAAAAAGCTTGCTGAACTCAGTGAAGATTTAGGAGAGGCTATGTTTGGAACGCCAGTTTCTGCTACTGCACACAAGTGATATGTTCTTACAAATTGTGTGCACAATTGCTAGCTAGATAGTATGGATTTTCTCTCAAATTCCATTGAAGCAAATAACTATGGGAAAGAGAGAGAAAGAATCTTAACTAATAAATAACTAGTTTTTAAAGTGGTAGTTATAAATTTCTTTAGGGTAGTTCTGGGAATATCTAGTTTGGTAGAGGTTCTCTCAAGATGTTTCCTTGTCTTGTGAACTTGGTCATTGTTGTTGCTGATAAAAATTTAAGGTCTAATGATCAGGGTATAATAATATCACAAAATGCAATGTTAGATTTAAAGTCTCTCAAGGCATCCAAGGCTTTTTCTCATCCCATTTTATTTAATATGCTTCTTTTAAATATATCATTAGAAGTAGAATTAGTGACAAAGTGTTTCAGTCGGTGCATTTAAGTGGTGTGCTGAATGCTGATGTATGTGATTTATCCTATGGTACACTCATAGTAACAGACCCACACTTCGACAGGCTTAGATTAACCTGTATTTAAATTATTTTTATTTATACAATATATTGATATGCTGCATGTAGACAAATTACTTGTAGTATCATTAGAGGTTTAAACAATGTTGGTTATATTATTGTGAATATAACTGTGGCAATCAGGTAACATGGTTACACTGACTGACTCAGACACTGGGTTTTCAGTTATTGTGAGTAGTGATCAGAGATTGAATTCTGTGGCTATTATGCTGAGTTCTTGGGCTTAATTTTGATAGGTTAGGCATTTTATTAGTGGACCTAGTGAGGGATTCCTAAAAGCTGGAATATCTTGGGCATTTTCTTTTTATTTTAATGTCAAATTGCAAATGGTTAAGTTTCATAATGCTTTCTTTTTATTTTAATGAATCAGAAGTTACACCTGCTTCTGTGGAGATACACACACCTTTATATTTATTCACTATTATTTTAATGGCTAATTTTGTCCACAGACAGTACATGTACATCAGAGATCTTGTGGTTGATGGTCACAACAGCTTTTTTGTTTGTTGTAATTAATGATCAATAATGTCATCAACTGCCTGAGATCTGCTTTTGATTGAAAGTGTTTCACTAGGTTTTCTGTTGTCAATTGACATGGGATGGTAAAGCCCTGACTTTGAGCCGTTGGTTTGGTTGTGTCATGAAGATTTTTATCAACCCTCCCAGACCCACACTTACAGTGCTTGTTGTCAGTGGAATTTTTTGTGTGTAATCTCATTGGTTATGAGTTATTCTCGTCATTTGGGACAAAATGAGCTGGTCATTTTTCTCTTACATTCATTAACTAACAATCACCTCACTTGATAAAAGAGTTCATTCAAGAAATAGATCAGTTGAACTTCATAACTATTAGGGTGGTGTGGTCAACATACTCATATATTACTGTATTTGTGATCAATAACCTGGAGGTTATAGGCTTAATGCAAGCACAGCTTAAATAAAGGTTTACATGATATTTAAATGGTGACCTTGAAATATTTGCATGAAATGCCAGTAACTTGGTTACACTGTATTCATCTACTGTATGATAAAATTGCTCAGATTATACCCCTGTGCAACACTGCAATTCTGGCTGCTTGTTTGAAACTCCAACTTGCAACCATTAATAATTTCAAAAACAGGAGCTGGCAAAACATGAGGTGTCACCAAACTCTTAATGTTATATTAATTTGGAGGCAACTTTGTTGTCATGTTTGTATACTGCAAAGGTGTTGTCTACCTTGTTTTTGAATTACTGTTAATTTGAAAGTACACTTGTCACCTTTGGACTTAATTCCTGCATTAAACCTGAAGTTTATTGCACTTCACCTTAAACAGAACACTGTTAACCCTTTCAAAAAGTCATTAATAATTCATAAGCCCATTAACCTATCAAATGGTAGATAATACATCACGTGCAGTGACTTTATATCGATAAACCTCATCCTTATTAGTATGCGGTGTTTTATCAGATATAAATATTATGAATATTAATTAGCAACACAGAAACTGACACAACAAATGGTGGGAACATATTTAATGTTCTTTCAACAAATTTCACACAGTAAATTTACTTTTGCACCAAATTAATAGTACAGTTGTGAAATACACATCTGGAAAAATTCTCTATTCCATTAGTACAGTAATCTGGTAAAGGCATATTAGACAATACATCATCATTGTATGCTAATTTCTAACAAAAGCATAATTGTTATGAACTCTCTTGACCCACGCTTTTCCAAGAATGTTTTTGAAGCCGTTCAAAAAACTCGCAGCACGTGTTTTATCGGGTCAAAAACCACTCGGCTACGCCTCATGGTTTTAAACCCGATAAAACACTCTTGCTCGCTTTTTAAACATTACTTTGACTCCCAGAAGTGATTAACATGCGACTTCTCCCTGTAGTATTCATACATCATCCAGCAAAACTCAAACTTATCAGGTACAAGATTGATTGAACACCAAGTTCTTGCAGCTAATTTACAAGGAAATGTGTAGCACCCAGAAGAGAGAATTCACCATCAGATCTTGGGGAATTAAAGGGTTAAAAAGCATGGATATTTAATTCACATATGGATTAACATTTTTCTGTTATTATAGTACCTCTGACAAATAGCTTTTGGATTTGTGCATACACAAAATAAACTCCTGCCACAATCTTATCCCAAATAATATCTTGAGTACCTTTCCACCAAATACTTAAATGTTTCATCGAGCCCTGAAGGCTGTAATGCATTTCCTTGAATAAACACCCATGCTCTAAGTACCCTCCCTAATATAGGCACCCACTTTCTGGGCTTTTGAGTCAATGTGTGCAACCCCTCCTCCCTCGTTTTCTTGGTAAAGACACTGGGAAGACCTGTTTCTATTGCCATGTTCTTTATACCTTGTTGAGCTTCAATTAACAGCTGAATCCGAAAGAGTCGAAAAGTTCCTGATAAGCTCTCCATGTGATTAATCACCCTCCTTCCAATAAGTACTCCTCCTTCAAGCTAATATATTATATCGGTAACAGGGCACTTATTGGAGGAAGTACATGATTAATTACCAAAGCTTCTATACTGAGGGCTTATTTGAGAATGACTGGATTTGGGAAGTGTTTGATAGAAGAAGAGCTTTTTAATAACACATTGAGTGCCAACATTTTGTGTATTTTTCTTCTGAACTTTTCATCAGCTTTAATGAATACCGAATAGACACACAGCAACTTTGGTCAAGAACACCCCACCAAATCACAAGCGGATACACAGTTTTACAAACAAATATGTTTTGTCTAGCCTAACTGTTGGGCAACTAATAAAAAGTAACAATATGCATAGCCTTATCAAAGCACCATAATTCCCTGTCTTTATTCTAAGGATTTGTTCGGAGGGAGGGGCATGAGGAGGGAATTTTAAAGAGAGTACTATTATTTTGAGATTAGTTCAAGGACTCCCTTAAGTAGTTCAGTTTATGGGATTCCCCTGTGCTCAATTTCTTAGCAACAGTTTGTAAACTGCTTGGAGGCTTAGGCTGCTTTGGAGGTTTAAGCTGCTTTGAAAGCTGATCCCACCCTCCCATGGTCTTGGCTCAGGAAGTGACAATAGGCCATTTTACAGTTGTGTCTTAGTTGCCAAGCCTTTGATTTGGAGTGAGGCTGAAGGTGACCTTGCTGTGATGGAGACCAGTATCTAGTTAGCATGATAACAAACTAATTTGCATTTGAAAAGCATAACAAGGTCAACTTTAGCCTCACTCCTGTTCAAAGGCTTGGCAACCAAGCACACAACAGCAAAATGATCTAATCAAGTAACCATTCACTGGCCAGTACCAGTCAATCCCACTGTTTATACAGTGTTTATACAGGGAAAAGAAATAGTCTCTTATGGCAAACATAAGAACATTGGTAGCATTCTTCATCGATTTTAATTTAGACAAAATCAAATGATTCTGTGACATGACACATTTTATTAATCTAGTCACATACTATATAAAGTTAGTAACAACATCTTTACTGTAAAGGACTGTTCTTCCCTGTGCTATCATTTTCACTGAAAACTAGCACAAATATCATAAGCATTTATGTGCTTTACCGCTGCTGTTGTATGCAATGGGCCCCATTTTAACAATTTCCAAAATATTTCAGGGTGTTTCTGAGCCTTGGCTCTTCATAAGTGAGTTTTACAGAGATATACTTATGTAGCATGTTATGCTTACTTATCTTTAGCTCATAGAACTTTTTTGTAACCTGGCACAGTTCTGGTACTGAGATAATAGGCAAGCTAAAAATTGTGGGCAAGGTCCAAAACAGTGATGAAGGTTGATAGTACTTATTTGAACTCTTTTTGTTCACTTTCAGAAAGCTGTACAATTTGTTCATAACAACAGTCCATCCAAGAAAAGTAAAAGAAGCAACAACAAACCCGTCAGCTGAGGATGTTATTTGTTTCTACAAATTTCTGTACATTGGGAGTTGAAGGGCTCACCACAAATTAATAAAAAGGGTGGTACCCCTTTCCACTTCCTGGCTCCACCCTAATCCCTGCCACCATTAACACAGTTTGGTCGTCAATGTTTGCCTAATTTGTGTTGCTGCCTACACACTTTTTTTTTTCAAGGAAGTTAGAAAAGTAGACTTTCCTTGTGAGCATAGAAAGTTGGCATGAAATCTGCTTGCTTCCACCTTCAGTGTAAAATTCACACATGGCTCTGTTCACTCTTGTGAGCATAGTCATTAAGTCCTCCTTGTGAGAGTTCTCACATAGAACCTGTACCAAGCAAGAGATGAACCAGGAACCCAGACTTTCCTTATGTGTTTCAGCATATCTTCTGTCAACTGTGAAGCGTCTGTGAGAGATTGTGCCTTTGGTGGTAGAGTAGGCGATCAAAAAATCTGCATCGGAGGGAAGTTTTACAGGCATCTCATTGTTGTCAGATGTATTAGGATAAACATCTTTTGGCCCTCTTGGTACAAAGTACCCTTTGTCATCAATTTCTCCTCTGCATGCTTGAACAAAAAACAATTTTGGTTTTGTTGCAAGCTGGGGACAAGCATCATTGTTTCCCTGGAATTTCTCCATTATGGTCTCCACTGAAATAGTTTTATGATCTCTGCATAAAATACCTTCTTCGTTGCCATGGCTCATAATAATGCAGATAAAACTGTCATTTTCAACTGTAACAGAATAACGAAAGAAATCAACATTGTATCAGTTGCAATTCAAAGTACTGAACAGAGGTAGAGGGAGCTTCACTGCAATATAATTTAGGCAAAAAATTATTTTGGCAGCTCAGAATTTCCCTTTGGTTTTAATACCACACCTTCCTGTGAGTGCTTTTATCAATGAACGAGGAAAAAGTTCTGAGATCTACATACTCATTAAAGACAAATCAAACTTTGAAATAAACCTCTTCTGGACGCCATAGAATTTAGGAGTAGAAGTCGGAAACGTTGCAAATAGATATGGCAATAGGAAATTTTTTTCTAAAACCATGACACTTTAGGAGTATGTTACTTTGCTGCAGCAGCTAACTTCCGGTCTTATCGAAACTTAAAGTGCACGAACCTCATGGATGTAACAAAAATAGAGACTGCATGTAGAGCTACTTACCCAAATCTGCATTTTTTCGGGTTTCTTCAAGAAGTTTCAGCATATCTTGTTTTTCCAGGTCAAAATACCACAGAACACTGCTGAAACCAGCTTCTCTTACAAACCTCTCCACGTTATCTTGATCGTGTTTAGCCCCATTCCTTGGTCGTGGGTCCTTGATAAAGTTTACAATGTTTATCACCAGCACGTATGGATTCCGTATTTCTCGATAATTTTGAGGATTATCTCTTGCGAAGAGAAAGTTTCTTGGACTTAAATCAAGTATTTGAGATACATCCATGGGATCTCGACATGCAAACGAATCTGATCGTTGAAAGACAACCCTTGGAGGATTCGAAGGCGGAGCTGATAAAAGATTACAAATAATTCAACTTTACATCGTGTCGTTCTTCGATCTTTAATGTTAGTTATTACTTCAGTCACGTATCATGGAGCTTCTTCAGTCAGACTTGTCAAACTTACGACGGAATATGATGGAATAGTACCGATTGATCCCTCATTCAATTTTTGCACCCTTTACTGACGAAAGGAGAAGCCTCGAGAAATTTCTAAAGGACGACGCAGACTTTATACTTTTTACATTACTTTAATTAAGAAAAAAACACTCACCATGCATCAAGTCAGTTTGAGAACTGCTATCTTGATAGAATCCTTCACATCTGTTAGAGACTTCCTCGTCATCTTCATTCACGCAGTTGCATCCTTGTCCACCAAACTCTAAGCATTCACATCGACGAAATCGCTCAAGAAAACGTTGCCATGTTTCAATTTGAGAACGCAAATATTCTACACTTATTTCCTTCGAAATCGACCTCACCTTAGCGCTTTCCATCATTCACCTACTGCTACGTCGTTAGTTCCAACTATAGAGGAAAAACCTTTCGCGTTTAAAATTTAATCGCTGGATGTCCTTACGTAAGTCCTTATGAGCGTCAGTCATTTCACCGGATGTTCTAATACAAAGGACGAATGAATTGTAGTTATTTCGAAAAAGCCACGTGATACTGTAACGTCTGAAACTAAAAGATCAATGCAGATTAGTGCCACGAGTGTTAAGTCCTAACTGAATGCTGTTACTTTCGAGAGTTCCGTCAATTTTTACTCCGATGTTTCAAGTCATGTGTTTTCTCTCTTGTTGAACCCCGGAGGTTGCCTTTCCTGTTTCGGAGCGATTCCTAGATTCATTGCGTTTGACCTTCAGATAGTGTCCTTGTTAAATTTAGTAAATAACAGTGTTTCAGATTGTGTGACAAGATTTTGGTTTCCGTAATTAAAAATAAGTGTTTGACATCATATTTTACTCTTCAACTCGTTCTGTGGGCGTGATTTTAAATACTTTACTTATCAGTCAGTTGTAGAATATTTCTCAGCTTGCGGGCAGCGAGTTGATAAAGATCAAAAAGATAAATTTTACATCACGCAACCTTCTTTAGAATTAAGGTGCCTCTGAAATTTCCTTGTTTTCTATAAATGTTTATAAAGAGATCGATACTAGTTTAAAAGTGCGTCAGTCAGTAATTGTCACGTAGGTTTAAGATTTCGATCCTAACCATAACTAAATATTTTTGAAGAATGTAGCCGCGGGGAGGGGGGAGGTTACGGGTACACGTAGGCTAGCCTGTGTACAGCCGCCTCCTACCCGTCCTTTCCCGATTAGAAGAATGGGTCTTGCAGATTTTTCCGAACGTGTCGCCCCATGTAAGGTAATCCAGGACAGTATTACATTCTGGATTCCACGCTGTGAATGCCAGATTCCAGGTGCTGGATTCCGGATTCTACCCCTGCATATTCCGGATTACGTCTCAAATTACTTTTTTTAACTTTCCTATTTCACAAAGACCATATTAAGGAAAAATTGAAACTAAAATACAACTTTTATCACACTCCGTGTATGTCACAAATAAATCGCAGATTATGACTAAGAAAAGCTTGTTTTTCTATATGTAATTGGCTATGATGTTCGACATTACGAGATTGCCCATAAAACGGTGTTCAACCAACTTAACTATACTTAAACCTTTGCAAAACCGCGAAAGATCTGCATTTACACGGTAATTTTCCTAGAATAACAGATTCTCTTTTCTATACTTCCTTTTTTCATTAAAAGGTTAACCAAGTCAAGTCACATTACGTCGGCTATGAATTCTCTGGAGCAATGATTCTATGAAGGTTTAAGGTGGCCCGCCGCTATTTTCTTTCCTAGAAAATGTTGTTTGACTCTAAAATCGAACAGTCAGATTTTTAGAGCCTGTTTCTTTAATCAGGTCATATTATTCTGATATATTAAAGTTCATAAGGAAACCAGGTGGACAATCAAACATGTTTTTATGCTAAATCAATAAAGGGGTAAGTTTCTAAAAAAACTGTGGTGCTGCGTCGGTGAGAGAGTATAGCAGGTAATTTAGTGTTAGCAACTGGGTTGAAAACGTAAATTAGCCACCGTAAAGGGTAAAAAAGCTGACGTTTCGAGCGTTAGCCCTTCGTCACTTCAGTGAATGTAACCGAGAAGTTATAATTCATAGACCCAACGTTTCGACACTCCTGTCTAGTGCCTTCATCAGGGATGATCTAATCGCTGCAACAAGAGGTCCTTCTATTTTCTCACTAATTAGCTGCCCTTTTTTCTGACGAGGTGTAAATAGGCCTCAGGTAGTAAGCTGTCATCATCAAGAGGGCGGAGATGATATGCCAGGCTTCCGAAAAAAGCGTTGGTGGTGACGCCGATTAGGGGTGATACTTTTAGCTTATCCCACCCATTTGTATGGTTAGTTAGGCATGCGTGCTCCGTCAAAGCTGAATTTCCTTTTTTTGTAAAAGAAGACCGCTTTTTGACGCTCTTAAACGTGTACCAACTATCGTTTGTTCTGTCCGATATACTTGTGATCACAGTCATCGTACGGAATAAACGTTGTTCTTTCGTAACAGGATCCTTTCGTTTAGAAAAAATATACCATAAAGTCTGAAAAGGTTTTTTAGCAACTTTAACGTTGTAGCTATTCAAAATTCTCTTGGCAATTCAAAATTATCTTGTACCTCATCAGAAAAAAGGGCAGTTAATTAGTGAGTATATAAAGGACCTCTTGTTACAGCGATTAGATCACCCCTGATGAAGGAAGTAGACAGGATTGTCGAAAAGGTTGGGTCTATGACTTGTAACTTCTCGGTTACATTCAATAAATCTTTAAACCAGAGTAGCACCAAACCATGTCTCAAATTATTCTGTTCAAGTGCTGTCCACAGTAAACCTTTATTAACGACTGTGCATATAAAAATTCAAACTTATCAAGTTACACTTACAGTATTTAATCTTGGTTAAATGAAAAAATCAGTATCGCAACTGCTTGGACTACTTACTCTGGATAGGCAACGTATTATCTTTGTCGGAAGAAAATATTTGACTATTTTATTCCATGAACCACCTTTCGAAACAAGTACAAACGCGTTATTTTTGGATGAAAGTCCTAGCTACTGAGCGGGAGAGGGTGGGGGTTATTTGCGGTTTGTTCTACTTCTAAATGTAAGTCTTCCCAGCCAATAGAGGAACATCGCCAGAAATCAAGGACATTTCGAGCCCGCTGACAATTATCAGCGGTATATCGTATTACACTCCGGAACAATAGAATTTCAAGAGAATTCAATATGGCGGCGATCACGACTCGATCTGCAAAGAAGAGTGTTTCGTACCATGACTTACACAATTTGAGCACCGCAGATCTTCTATTTGATGAAAAGAAAAAGAAAAGAAGACCTGCAAGTAAATCTTTAGGATTTTTCGAGGCAGAGCGATGACATGATGTCAGAATTTTGATTTGCTTTAATTTAATTTTCGCGCTAAGACTACTAAATTTGCATTCAATGCCTGGCATATTTTTATTCTGAAAAGGACCTGAGAACTAATTTATTTCCCTGCAATAACATAAACAAATATGGCCGACGATTCGAAGATAAGCGTTGCTCGTGTTTAACTATTTCAGTCACAGTTTTCAACGTGGCGTCTCGTCACTTACTCAACATGGAAAATCAGGGATATTCTGACGCGTTGGGAAGTTTTTTGATGGGAGGAAATGACAATTTTACAGGATATTTGGACGCTTCGAACTCTGTAGCAGTCAATTCGATCGAGAGCAGTTGACTTTATTGATGCACTTTCCTGTAATAGGCGACTGTTTGGGATGGAGAACGACGGATTTTGAAGAACTGTATGGCGACCTAGGTCAATGATCAATGACAAAAGAACTGGCTCGGGAAGTAAGTGGTTTTTATTTATCGAGTCCCTGTGAGGTTTGATGAATAGCAGAATCAGTACTGAATATGTCTCGATCGAGAGCAGACGGGACCATGAGCTCCTGATTGTTATAATTTAGAAATTTTTACAAATTTCCATACAGTTTCTTATATTATTTGGACGCCATTATGAACGAAATGCGCAAGCGCGGCCGCCATCTTGTCCAATATTTCTGCCGATGATATGACAACGCTATCAGCTAAAACATGTCCATTTACTAGAAAGTTTATCGCAACTAAAAGAAGTAATTACTATTCAGATGTCTCTGGTTCAAGGGCAAGTTTGAGGCCGTTTCTTATCAAAGAAATTTGCAAAGTAGACTTTTCTCGTGAGCATGGTGAGATGGCATGGAATCTGTTTGCTTCCACCATCTGTCCTATATTTGATCATTTCTTGATTCACTTTAGTCAGCATTGTCATTAAGTCGTCAACGTGCGAATTTTCTTGTAGAACCTTCACCAAGCAGGAGATGAACCAAGAGCCCAATTTTTCGCTGTGTCTTTCTCCGTTCACCGTAGAATCTACAAGCTGAAATATTGAATCGGTGTCAGGGCACTTATTGGAGGAAGTACATGATCAATTACCAGTTAAAACTTCTATACTGAGGGCTTATTTGAGAATGAGTGGGTTTGGGAAGTGTTGTAGAGAGGAAGAGCTTCTTAATAACACATTGAGTGCCAACATTTTCTTCTGAACTCTTCATTACCTTTAATGAATACACAGCATTTTTGGTCGAGAACACCTCACATGATCACAAGTGGATACACAGCTTTACAGACTAATATATTTTTTCTAGCCTAACTATTGGGCAATTATTAATAAGTAACAATACGCATAGCCTTATCAAAGCACCGTAATTCCCTGTCTTTATTCTGAGGATTTGTTGAGAGGGAGGGGCATGAGGAGGGAATTTGAAAGAGAGTACTATTATTTTGAGATTAGTTCAAGGACTTTCGTAAATAGTTCGGCCAATGGAATTCCCCCTGCTCAATTTCTTAGCAGCAGTTTGTAAGCTGCTTTGGAGGTTTAAGCTGCTTTGAAAGCTAATCCCACCCTCCCCCCCCCCATGGTCTTGGCTCGGGAAGTGACAATAAGCCATTTTACAGTTGTGTCCTAAGTTGCCGAGCCTTTGATTTGGAGTGAGGCTGAAGGTGACCTTGTTGTGATGGAGACCAGTATCTAGTTAGCATGATAACAAACTTATTTGCATTTGAAAGGCAACAAGGTTTTTATCATAACAAGGTCAACCTTAGCCTCACTCCTGTTCAAAGGCTTGACAACCAAGCACACAACAGCAAAATGATCTAATCAAGTAACCATTCACTGGCCAGTAGCAGTCAATCCCACTGTTTATACCACCACTGCCTGCTTTGAAGGAGGGGAGGGAAGGGAAAGGAAAGAGTCTCTTATGGCAAACATAAGAACATTGGTAGCATTTTCATAGATTTTACTCTAGACAAAATCAAATGATTCTGTGTCATGACACATTTTATTAATCTAGTCATGTACTTTATAAAGTTGGTAACAACATCTTTATTTTCACTGAAAACTAGCATGACTATCATATAAATTTATGTGCTTTACTGCTGCTGTTGTATGCAACTGGCCCCATTTTAACAATTTCCAAAATATTTCAGGGTGTTTCTGAGCCTTGGCTCTTCATAAATGAGTTTTACAGAAATATACTTATGTAGCATGTAATGCTTAATAATCTTTAGTTCATAGAACTTTTTTGTAACCTGTCACAGTTCTGGTACTGAGATAATAGGCAAGCTAAAAATTGTGGGCAAGGTCCAAAACAGTGATGAAGGTTGATAGTACTTATTTGAACTCTTTTTCTTCACTTTCAGAAAGCTGTACAATTTGTTCATAACAACAGTCCATCCAAGAAAAGTAAAAGAAGCAACAACAAACCCGTCAGCTGAGGATGTCAGTTATTTGTTTCTAAATACCAAATTTCTGTACATTGAGAGTTGAAGGGCTCACCACAAATTAATAAAAAGGGTGATACCCCTCTCCACTTCCTGGCTCCACCCTAATCCTGCCACCATTAACACAGTTTGGTCGTCAAGGTTTGCCTAATGTTGCTGCCTACACACTTTTTCTTATCAAGGAAGTTAGAAAAGTAGACTTTCCTTGTGAGCATAGAAAGTTGGCATGAAATCTGCTTGCTTCCACCTTCAGTGTAAAATTCACACATGGCTCTGTTCACTCTTGTGAGCATAGTCATTAAGTCCTCCTTGTGAGAGTTCTCACATAGAACCTGTACCAAGCAAGAGATGAACCAAGAACCCAGACTTTCCTTATGTGTTTCAGCATATCTTGTGTCAACTGTGAAGCGTCTGTGAGAGATTGTGCCTTTGGTGGTAGAATAGGCGATCAAAAAATCTGCATCGGAGGGAAGTTTTACAGCCATCTCATTGTTGTCAGATGTATCAGGATAAACTTCTTTTGGCCCTCTTGGTGCAAAGTACCCTTTGTCATCAATTTCTCCTCTGCATGCTTGAACAAAGAACAATTTTGGTTTTGTTGCAAGCTGAGGACAAGCATCATTATTTCCCTGGAATTTCTCCATTATGTTCTCCACTGAAATAGTTTCATGATCTCTGCATAAAATACCTTCTTCGTTGCCATGGCTCATAATAATGCAGATAAAACTGTCATTTTCAACTGTAACAGAATAACGAAGGAAATCAATATTGTATCAGTTGCAATTCAAAGTACTGAACAGAGGTAGAGGGAGCTTCACTGTAATATAATTTAGGCAAAAAATTATTTTGGCAACTCAGAATTTCCCTTTGGTTTTAATACCACACCTTCCTGTGAGTGCTTTTATCAGTGAACAAGGAAAAAATTCTGAGATCTACATACTCATTTTAGACAAATTAAACTTTGAATTACACCTCTTCTGGACGCTATAGAATTGGGGAGTAGAAGTTGGAAACGTTGCAAATAGATATGGCAATAGGAAATGTTTTTTTAAAACCATGACACTTTAGGAGTATGTTACTTTGCTGCAGCAGCTAACTTCCGGTCTAATCGAAACTTAAAGTGCACGAACCTCATGGATATGACAAAAATAGAGACTGCATATAGAGCTACTTTAAAACTTAACACTTTAGGAGTAAAATATATATATTTAGCCAAGCCTAAAAGCGGAGCTCGCATTTTTTTTCCCGCACGTCTCAAGGGCACAACGCCTTGCCCTGGCCAGGACTAGAACCCGGGTCGTCCGACTCGGAGCCCAGTGCACTGACCACTGGACTACTGGACAAACCGTGGCGTTAGCGTGCCCGCGGTACAGTTGACCACGCATGTTAAAAGTAGCACCTTGTACGGTCGTACATCCAAATTTTTTCGGCTTGATGGGTTACTGCTATTTTGTATAATTATGGGGCTACGCTCTGCGAGCTCCGCCATTACTTTGCTACAGCAGCTAACTTCCGGTCTAATCGAAACTTAAAGTGCACGAACCCTCATGGATGTAACAAAAATAGAGACTGCATGTAGAGCTACTGACCCAAATCTGCATTTTTTCGGGTTTCTTCAAGAATTTTCAGCATTTCTTGTTTGTCCAGGTCAAAATGCCACAGAACATTGCTGAAACCAGCTTCTCTGACAAACCTCTCCACGTTATCTTGATCGTGTTTAGCCCCATTCCTTGGTCCTGGGTCCTTGATAAAGTTTACAATGTTTATCACCAGCACGTATGGATTCCGTATTTCTCGATACTCTTGATCTTTTGGAAGATTATCTCTTGCGAAGAGAAAGTTTCTTGGACTTAAATCGAGTATTTGAGATGCATGCATATATGCAAGCGAATCTGACAGTTGATAGACCAACCCTTGAGAAGTCGAAGGCGGAGCTGATAAAAGATGACAAATAATTCAACTTTAACATCGTGTCGTTCTTCGATCTTTAATATTAGTTGTTATTTCAATCACGTAACATGGAGCCTTTTCAGTCAGACTTGTCAAACTTACAACGGAATATGATGTAATAGTACCGATTGATCCCTCATTTCGATTTTTGCTGACGAAAGGAGAAGCCTCGAGGAATTTCTAAAGGACGACGCAAACTTAATACTTTTTTTACTTTACTTAAGGAAAAAACCCTCACCATGCATCAATTCCGTTTGAGAACTGCTATCTTGATAGAATCCTTCACATTCGTTAGAGACTCCCTCGTCATCTTCATTCACGCAGTTGCATCCTTTTCCATCCAACTTTAAGCATTCACATCGACGAAATCGCTTAAAAAGACTTCGGCATATTTCGCAAAGAAAATATCTTTCACTTGTTTTCTTCGGAATCGACCTCAACTTAGCGCTCTCCATCGTTCACCTACTGCTCCGTCGTTGGTTTTAATTATATAGGAAAGATATGTCGTGTTTATAGGCTGGGTGTCCTTACGCAAGTCCTGATGAGCGTCAGTTATTCTACCGGAAGTCCAAAAACAAAGGACGAATGAATTGTCGTTATTTCAAAAAAGCTACGTGATGCTATAACGTCTGAAAATAAAAGTTCAATTCAAATTGGTGCCATGAGTGTTAAGTCGTAACTGAATGCTGTTACTTTCGAGAGTTCCGTCAATTTTTACTCCGATTTTTCAAGTCATGTGTTTTCTCTCTCGTTGCACCTCGGAGGTTGCCTTTCCTGTTTCAGAACGATTCATAGATTCATTGCTTTCGACCTTCAGATAGTGTCCTTGTTAAATTTAGTAAACACCAGTGTTTCAGATTGTGTGACAAGATTTCGGTTTCCGTAATTAAAAATAAGTGTTTGACATCATATTTTACTCTTTAATTCGTTCTGTAGGCGTGATTTTAAATACTTTACTTATCAGTCAGTTGTAGAATATTTCTCAGCTTGCGGGCAGCGAGTTGATAAAGATCAAAAAGACAAATTTTACATCACGCAGGCTTCTTAAGAATTAAGTTGCCTCTGAAATTTCCCTGTTTTCTATAAATGTTTATAAAGAGATCGATACTAGTTAAAAAGTGCGTCAGTCAGTAATCAGGTCCGAAACCATAACTACATATTTTTGGAGAATGTAATGTAGGTACGGTTACACGTAGGCTAACCTGTGTGCAGCCGCTTCCTACCCGTCCTTTACCGATTAGAAGAATGGGTCTTACAGATTTTTCCGAATGTGTCGCCCCATGTAAGGTAATCCAGGACAGTATTAGATTCTGGATTCCACGCTGTGGATTCCAGATTCTACCCCTGCATATTCCGGATTACGTCTCAAATTACTTTTTTTAACTTTCCTATTTAACAAAGACCAAATTAAGGAAAAATTGAAACTAAAATACAACTTTTATAACACCCCGTGTATGTCACAAATAAATCAGATCAATCATCGCAGACCATGACTAAGAAAAGCTTGTTTTTCTATATGTAATTGGCGATGATGTTCGACATTACGAGATTGCCCATAAAACGGTGTTCAACCAACTTAACTATACTTAAACCTTTGCAAAACCGCGAAAGATCTGCATTTACTCGGTAATTTTCCAAGAATAACAGATTCTCTTTTCTATACTTCCTTTTTTCTTTAAAAGGTTAACCAAGTCAAGTCACATTACGTCGGCTATGAATTCTCCGGAGCAATAAAGGTTTAAGTTGGCCCGCTGCTATTTTCTTTCCTAGAAAATGTTGTTTGACTCTAAAATTGAACAGTCAGATTTTTAGAGCTTGTTTCTTTAATCAGGTCATATAATTCTGATATGTTAAAGTTAATAAAGAAACCAGGTGGACAATCAAACATGGTTTTTTGCTACTCTGGTTTGAAGATTTAATGAACGTAATCGAGAAGTTATAATTCATAGACCCAACGTTTCGACACTCCTGTCTAGTGCCTTCATCAGGGATGATCTAATCGCTGCAACAAGAGGTCCTTCTATTTGCCCACTAATTAGCTGCCCTTTTTTCTGACGAGGTGTAAATAGGCCTCAGGTTGTAAGCTGTCATCATCAAGAGGGCGGAGATGATATGCCAGGCTTCCGAAAAAAGCGTTGGTAGTGACGCCGATTAGGGGGTGATAATTTTAGCTTATCCCACCCATTTGTATGGTTAGTTAAGCATGCGCTTCGTCAAAGCTGAATTTTCTTTTTTTGTAAAAGAAGACAGCTTTTTGACGCTCTTTCAAACGTGTACCAAACTATCGTTTGGTCTGCCTGATATACTCGTGATCACAGTCATCTTACGGAATAAAATGAATAGCGTCGGTTCGTTGTTCTTTCGTGACAGGATCCTTACGTTTAGGAAAAAATAAACCCTAAAGTCTGAAAAGGTTTTTGAGCAACTTTAACGTTGTAGCTATTCAAAATTCTCTTTGGTATTCAAAATTCACTTGGCAATTCAAAATTATCTTGCACCTCATTAGAAAAAAAGGGCAGCTAATTAGTGAGTGTATAAAAGGACCTCTTGTTACAGCGATTAGATCACCCCTGATAAAGGCAGTAGACAGGATTGTCGAAAAGGTTGGGTCTCTGTATTGTAACTTCTCGGTTACATTCAATAAATCTTTAAACCAGAGTAGCACCAAACCATGTCTCAAATTATTCTGTTCAAGTGCTGTTGACAGTAAACCTTTATTAACAACTGTACATGTAAAATTCAAACTTATCAAGTTACAGTTTTAGTATTTACCCTTGGTTAAATAAAAATATCAGTATCGCAACTGCTTGGACTACTTACTCTGGATAGGCAACGTATTATCTATGTCTGAGGAAAATATTTTACTATTTTATTCCATGAACCACCTTTCAAAACTAGTACAAAAGCGTTATTTTTGGATGAGAAGTCCTAGCTACTGAGCGGGAGAGGGTGGGGGTTATTTGCAGTTTGTTCTACTTCTAAATGTAAGTCCTCCCAGCCAATAGATGAACTGATATGACAACGCTATTAGCTAAAACATGTCCATTTACTAGAAAGTTTATCGCAACTAAAAGAAGTAATTACTATTCAGATGTCTCTGGTTCAAGGGCAAGTTTGAGGCCGGTTCTTATCAAAGAAATTTGCAAAGTAGACTTTTCTCGTGAGCATGGTGAGATGGCATGGAATCTGTTTGCTTCCACCATCTGTCCTATATTTGATCATTTCTTGATTCACTTTAGTCAGCATTGTCATTAAGTCGTCAACGTGCGAATTTTCTTGTAGAACCTTCACCAAGCAGGAGATGAACCAAGAGCCCAATTTTTCGCTGTGTCTTTCTCCGTTCACCGTAGAATCTACAAGCTGAAATATTGAATCGGTGTCAGGGCACTTATTGGAGGAAGTACATGATCAATTACCAGTTAAAACTTCTATACTGAGGGCTTATTTGAGAATGAGTGGGTTTGGGAAGTGTTGTAGAGAGGAAGAGCTTCTTAATAACACATTGAGTGCCAACATTTTCTTCTGAACTTTTCATTAGCTTTAATGAATACTGAATAGACAGCAACTTTGGTCGAGAACACCTCACCAGATCACAAGTGGATACACAGCTTTACAGACTAATATATTTTTTCTAGCCTAACTATTGGGCAATTATTAATAAGTAACAATACGCATAGCCTTATCAAAGCACCGTAATTCCCTGTCTTTATTCTGAGGATTTGTTGAGAGGGAGGGGCATGAGGAGGGAATTTTAAAGAGAGTACTATTATTTTGAGATTAGTTCAAGGACTTTCTTAAATAATTCAGCTAATGGGATTCCCCTTGCTCAATTTCTTAGCAGCAGTTTGTAAGCTGCTTTGGAGGTTTAAGCTGCTTTTAAAGCTAATCCCACCCTCCCTTCCCCCCCCCCATAGTCTTGGCTTAGGAACTGACAATAAGCCATTCTACAGTTGTGTCCTAAGTTGCCAAGCCTTTGATTTGGAGTGAGGCTGAAGGTGACCTTGTTGTGATGGAGACCAGTATCTAGTTAGCATGATAACAAACTTATTTGCATTTGAAAGGCAACAAGGTTTTTTATCATAACAAGGTCAACCTTAGCCTCACTCCTGTTCAAAGGCTTGACAACCAAGCACACAACAGCAAAATGATCTTATCGAGTAACCATTCACTGGCCAGTAGCAGTCAATCCCACTGTTTATACCACCACTGCCTGCTTTGAAGGAGGGGAGGGAAGGGAAAGGAAAGAGTCTCTTATGGCAAACATAAGAACATTGGTAGCATTTTCATAGATTTTACTTTAGACAAAATCAAATGATTCTGTGTCATGACACATTTTATTAATCTAGTCATGTACTTTATAAAGTTGGTAACAACATCTTTATTTTCACTGAAAACTAGCATGAATATCATATACATTTATGTGCTTTACTGCTGCTGTTGTATGCAACTGGCCCCATTTTAACAATTTCCAAAATATTTCAGGGTGTTTCTGAGCCTTGGCTCTTCATAAATGAGTTTTACAGAAATATATTTATGTAGCATGTAATGCTTAATAATCTTTAGTTCATAGAACTTTTTTGTAACCTGTCACAGTTCTGGTACTGAGATAATAGGCAAGCTAAAAATTGTGGGCAAGGTCCAAAACAGTGATGAAGGTTGATAGTACTTATTTGAACTCTTTTTGTTCACTTTCAGAAAGTTGTAGAATTTGTTCATAGCAACAGTCCATCCAAGAAAATTAAAAGAAGCAATAACAAACCTGTCAGCTTAGAATGTCAGTTATTTGTTTATAAATATTATTTCTGTACATTGGGAGTTGAAGGCTAACCACAAATTAATAAAAAGGGTGGTATCTCTCTCCACTTCCTGGCTCCACCCTAATCCCTGCCACCATTAACACAGTTTGGTCATCAAGGTTTGCCTAATTTGTGTTGCTGCCTACACACTTTTTCTTATCAAGGAAGTTAGAAAAGTAGACTTTCCTTGTGAGCATAGAAAGTTGGCATGAAATCTGCTTGCTTCCACCTTCAGTGTAAAATTCACACATGGCTCTGTTCACTCTTGTGAGCATAGTCATTAAGTCCTCCTTATGAGAGTTCTCACATAGAACCTGTACCAAGCAAGAGATGAACCAAGAACCCAGACTTTCCTTATGTGTTTCAGCATCTCTCCTGTCAACTGTGAAGCGTCTGTGAGAGATTGTGCCTTTGGTGGTAGAATAGGCGATCAAAAAATCTGCATCGGAGGGAAGTTTTACAGGCATCTCATTGTTGTCAGATGTATCAGGATAAACTTCTTTTGGCCCTCTTGGTGCAAAGTACCCTTTGTCATCAATTTCTCCTCTGCATGCTTGAACAAAGAACAATTTTGGTTTTGTTGCAAGCTGAGGACAAGCATCATTATTTCCCTGGAATTTCTCCATTATGTTCTCCACTGAAATAGTTTCATGATCGCTGCATAAAATACCTTCTTCGTTGCCATGGCTCATAATAATGCAGATAAAACTGTCATTTTCAACTGTAACAGAATAACGAAGGAAATCAATATTGTATCAGTTGCAATTCAAAGTACTGAACAGAGGTAGAGAGAGCTTCACTGCAATATAATTTAGGCAAAAAATTATTTGGGCAGCTCAGAATTTCCCTTTGGTTTTAATACCACACCTTCCTGTGAGTGCTTTTATCAATGAACAAGAAAAAAATTCTGATATCTACATACTCATACCCAGGACTAGAACCCGGGTCGTCCGACTCGGAGCCCAGTGCACTGACCACTGGACTACTAGCGTGCCCGCGGTACAGTTGACCACGCATGTTAAAAGTAGCACCTTGTACGGTCGTACATCCAAATTTTTTCGGCTTGATGGGTTACTGCTATTTTGTATAATTATGGGGCTACGCTCTGCGAGCTCCGCTATTACTTTGCTACAGCAGCTAACTTCCGGTCTAATCGAAGCTTAAAGTGCACGAACCCTCATGGATGTAACAAAAATAGAGACTACATGTAAAGCTACTGACCCAAATCTGCATTTTTTCGGGTTTCTTCAAGAATTTTCAGCATTTCTTGTTTTTCCAGGTCAAAATGCCACAGAACATTGCTGAAACCAGCTTCTCTGACAAACCTCTCCACGTTATCTTGATCGTGTTTAGCCCCATTCCTTGGTCCTGGGTTCTTGATAAAGTTTACAATGTTTATCACCAGCACGTATGGATTCCGTATTTCTCGATACTCTTGATCTTTTGGAAGATTATCTCTTGCGAAGAGAAAGTTTCTTGGACTTAAATCGAGTATTTGAGATGCATGCATATATGCAGGCGAATCTGACAGTTGATAGACCAACCCTTGAGAAGTCGAAGGCGGAGCTGATAAAAGATGACAAATAATTCAACTTTAACATCGTGTCGTTCTTCGATCTTTAATATTAGTTGTTATTTCAATCACGTAACATGGAGCTTTTTCAGTCAGACTTGTCAAACTTACAACGGAATATGATGTAATAGTACCGATTGATCCCTCATTTCGATTTTTGCGCCCTTTGCTGACGAAAGGAGAAGCCTCGAGGAATTTCTAAAGGACGACGCAAACTTAATACTTTTTTTACTTTACTTAAGAAAAAAACCCTCACCGTGCATCAATTCCGTTTGAGAACTGCTATCTTGATAGAATCCTTCACATTCGCTAGAGACTTCCTCGTCATCTTCATTCACGCAGTTGCATCCTTTTCCATCCAACTTTAAGCATTCACATCGACGAAATCGCTTAAAAAGACTTCGGCATATTTTGCAAAGAAAATATCTTTCACTTGTTTTCTTCGGAATCGACCTCAACGTAGCGCTCTCCATCGTTCACCTACTGCTCCGTCGTTAGTTTTAACTATATAGGAAAGATATGTCGTGTTTATAGGCTGGGTGTCCTTACGCAAGTCCTGATGAGCGTCAGTTATTCTACCGGAAGTCCAAAAACAAAGCACGAATGAATTGTCGTTATTTCAAAAAAGCTACGTGATGCTGTAACGTCTGAAAATAAAAGTTCCATTCAAATTAGTGCCATGAGTGTTAAGTCGTAACTGAATGCTGTTACTTTCGAGAGTTCCGTCAATTTTTACTCCGATTTTTCAAGTCATGTGTTTTCTCTCTCGTTGCACCTCGGAGGTTGCCTTTCCTGTTTCAGAACGATTCATAGATTCATTGCTTTCGACCTTCAGATAGTGTCCTTGTTAAATTTAGTAAACACCAGTGTTTCAGATTGTGTGACAAGATTTCGGTTTCCGTAATTAAAAATAACTGTTTGACATCATATTTTACTCTTTAATTCGTTCTGTAGGCGTGATTTTAAATACTTTACTTATCAGTCAGTTGTAGAAGATTTCTCAGCTTGCGGGCAGCGAGTTGATAAAGATCAAAAAGACAAATTTTACATCACGCAGGCTTCTTAAGAATTAAGTTGCCTCTGAAATTTCCCTTTTTTCTATAAATGTTTATAAAGAGATCGATACTAGTTAAAAAGTGCGTCAGTCAGTAATCAGGTCCGAAACCATAACTACATATTTTTGGAGAATGTAATGTAGGTACGGTTACATGTAGGCTAACCTGTGTGCAGCGGCTTCCTACCCGTCCTTTACCGATTAGAAGAATGGGTCTTACAGATTTTTCCGAATGTGTCGCCCCATGTAAGGTAATTCAGGACAGTATTAGATTCTGGATTCCACGCTGTGGATTCCAGATTCTACCCCTGCATATTCCGGATTACGTCTCAAATTACTTTTTTTAACTTTCCTATTTAACAAAGACCAAATTAAGGAAAAATTGAAACTAAAATACAACTTTTATAACACCCCGTGTATGTCACAAATAAATCAGATCAATCATCGCAGACCATGACTAAGAAAAGCTTGTTTTTCTATATGTAATTGGCGATGATGTTCGACATTACGAGATTGCCCATAAAACAGTGTTCAACCAACTTAACTATACTTAAACCTTTGCAAAACCGCGAAAGATCTGCATTTACACGGTAATTTTCCAAGAATAACAGATTCTGAAGGTTTAAGGTGGCCCGCTGCTATTTTCTTTCCTAGAAAATGTTGTTTGACTCTAAAATCGAACAGTCAGATTTTTAGAGCCTGCTTCTTTAATCAGGTCATATTATTCTGATATATTAAAGTTCATAAGGAAACCAGGTGGACAATCAAACATGTTTTTATGCTAAATGAATAAAGGGGTAAGTTTCTAAAGAAACTGTGGTGCTGCGTCGGTGGGAGAGTATAGCAGGTAATTTAACGTTAACAACTGGGTTGAAAACGTAAATTAGCCACCGTAAAGGGTAAAAAAGCTGACGGTTCGAGCGCTCTGACGAAGGGCTAACGCTCGAAACGTCAGCTTTCTTACCCTTTACGGTGGCTAATTTACGTTTTCAACCCAGTTGTTAACACTAAATTACATGGTTTTATGCTACTCTGGTTTGAAGATTTAATGAACGTAATCGAGAAGTTATAATTCATAGACCCAACGTTTCGACACTCCTGTCTAGTGCCTTCATCAGGGATGATCTAATCAATGCAACAAGAGGTCCTTCTATTTGCCCACTAATTAGCTGCCCTTTTTTCTGACGAGGTGTAAATAGGCCTCAGGTAGTAAGCTGTCATCATCAAGAGGGCGGAGATAATGTGCCAGGCTTCCGAAAAAAGCGTTGGTAGTGACGCCGATTGGGGGGTGATAATTTTAGTTTATCCCACCCATTTGTATGGTTAGTTAAGCATGCGCTTCGTCAAAGCTGAATTTTCTTTTTTGTAAAAGAAGACAGCTTTTTGACGCTCTTTCAAACGTGTACCAAACTATCGTTTGGTCTGCCCGATATACTCGTGATCACAGTCATCGTACGGAATAAAATGAATAGCGTCGGTTCGTTGTTCTTTCGTGACAGGATCCTTACGTTTAGGAAAAAATAAACCCTAAAGTCTGAAAAGGTTTTTGAGCAACTTTAACGTTGTAGCTATTCAAAATTCTCTTTGGTATTCAAAATTCTCTTTGCTACTCAAAATTCTCTTGGCAATTCAAAATTATCTTGTACCTCATCAGAAAAAAGGGCGGCTAATTAGTGAGTATATAAAGGACCTCTTGCTACAGCGATTAGATCACCCCTGATGAAGGCAGTAGACAGGATTGTCAAAAAGGTTGGGTCTATGAATTGTAACTTCTCGGTTACATTCAATAAATCTTTAAACCAGAGTAGCACCAAACCATGTCTCAAATTATTCTGTTCAAGTGCTGTTGACAGTAAACCTTTATTAACAACTGTACATGCAAAATTCAAACTTATCAAGTTACAGTTATAGTATTTACTCTTGGTTAAATGAAAAAATCAGTATCGCCACTACCTGGACTACTTACCCTGGATAGGCAACGTATTATCTATGTCGGAGAAAATATTTTACTATTTTATTCCAGGAACCACCTTTCAAAACAAGTACAAACGCGTTACTTTTGGATGAGAAGTCCTAGCTACTGAGCGGGAGAGGGTGGGGGTTATTTGCAGTTTGTTCTACTTCTAAATGTAAGTCCTCCCAGCCAATAGATGAACTGATATGACAACGCTATTAGCTAAAACATGTCCATTTACTAGAAAGTTTATCGCGACTAAAAGAAGTAATTACTATTCAGATGTCTCTGGTTCAAGGGCAAGTTTGAGGCCGGTTCTTATCAAAGAAATTTGCAAAGTAGACTTTTCTCGTGAGCATGGTGAGATGGCATGGAATCTGTTTGCTTCCACCATCTGTCCTATATTTGATCATTTCTTGATTCACTTTAGTCAGCATTGTCATTAAGTCGTCAACGTGCGAATTTTCTTGTAGAACCTTCACCAAGCAGGAGATGAACCAAGAGCCCAATTTTTCGCTGTGTCTTTCTCCGTTCACCGTAGAATCTGTGAACCTCCTGTGAGAGATACAGCCCGCGGTGGTCGAGTAGCTGATCAAAAAATCTGCCTCAGAAGGAAGTTTTACAGGCAACTCCTCGCTCTGGGTGCTATCAGCAACAACATTGTCTGATTCTTGCCCATTGGTGACCCAATACCCTTTGTCGTCAACTTTGCCACGACATGCTTGAATGAAGAACAGTTTGGGTTTTCCCACCAGCTGGGGACACGACTCTTTGCCACCACGAAATTTAGCGGTTATTTCGTCTACTGGAATGGTTTCACCGTGCTTGCATAGGATTCCTGTCTCATTACCATGGCTCATGATAATGCAGATGAATGCGTCATGTTTACCTGCAAAAAAAGAAATGATTAGATAAATGGTAAATATTCCAGAGTCGTTTAATTACATAGACGGATCCTCCCCTAAATTTGAAAATAGTCTTTAAATTCGCTCTGAGTGGTTCAGAAAACTTGTACCACTCTCTCAACCGATCAGATGCAAAACTATAACCAATCACGATTTGGTCACCGACAATTTTCCGCGCTTTTGGTGGTTGGCTTGTTTTACGTTCGTTCTGTAGGGTATTTTCCTTTCTCTGTATTTGCCTCGTTCTTAATTTGGTTTTGTTGTTAGGATACGCGATCGAAACGCGCTCTAAGTACAGTAACTGAACTTTCGGTCCATATCCTCATTCGGTAGTCTTATTCCCTTTTGATCACGCGTAATCTTTTCCTAGGTTGGAAAGAAGGAGCTTTGCGTAGCAAGACTCAACAACGGATACAGAGAGTTGGTAGACTAGGCATTTGCTGACTTGTCATAAAACCTGTTTGAGGTAGTGTAGAGAAACTTACCCAATTCTCTGTTTTTGCGGATTTCGTCAAGGATGTACACCATCTCCTGTTTTGTTAAGTCCCTGTGCTGCCTTACAGCTTGGAAACCAGCTTCTTTAGCAAATTTCTCCACTTTTCTGAGGTCGAATTTAGCTCCATTTCTTGGAACTGGGTCTCTGATGAAATTTACGTTGTTTATTACTAAAACATATGGATTCCGTACTCCATCGTACACTTGATCGTTCTGATGGTCTCTGGCTTTAGCAAAGTTCAGATACGTATCTGCCATTTGTGGATTAGCTGTCATGGAATCAAAGGCTTGAAATACAGATACTTGTCCTTGATTGTCCGGCGAACCTGCAGTGAAATAGTTACAAATACGTATTCAAGATTTATTTCCGTAATCATTCTTCAACGATACTAGATGTTTGGCTCACTGAACTAAACAAATCATCCTTTGTATAATTTCACGTAGCCTCGAAAACTGAAACGAATTTATTTCATCGAAAAAAAAAAAATATGAGGCTTGATACATGACCGGATGCGTACATCGCTTAGTTCATTATGATTAGGATGCGATCGGTCGTTTTACATTGCCAGGCTCCAAAATCCTTTAGGATCCTACTGGTGAAAAATCATGGTCATGTTTTAGTATGAATAGAACGTAAAACATACCATTCTTTACTTCCTCGTGAGAGCTTCCATCTTCCAAAGTTGCTTTAATGGTGTGTTCCTCTTCAACCTCTCTGATCAACCACTTAATTATAGAGTTGCCCATATTTCAGGACTGTATTCACCAACGAATATTGATCATTAACGATGAAATCTTGCTTTTCTTTAACAAGCTAGGTCCTTAAATACGGATCGTGACGAAAGTTTATTTGACGGAAGTCCAAACACGAACGCATTCTTCCTTTCTGGGCTATTGACGTCATGTAAGCGCCCCAGTCAAATCTTAAAATGAAATCATACATTTCACTATCACTTCTTTTTGAACCCTATA